TCAATTATCTTCGTTGTTAATTGTCATAACTCCTTCATCTTTTTTCCAACATGTAGCTTAGAAAAAAAAGAAATCGAAAGTGTGCCATCCGTTTTTTGATTACTCTTAGCGATTTTGAGATATGGCGTCCGGAAAGTAGGTCAAACTAAAAAAGTTCTCCAAATTTAACATATGAGCTATGAAATAAGAGTAGAATTTTCTCAGAAATCCGAATCTGCAAACCAAATTTCGATCCGACTTCCCGTTCGGAAGTTATGGCGTTTTGAAAGCTCAAAAATCGCTAAATTTGGTGCCCCATGTTAAGTCAATGGGAAAAAAGACTTTTTTGAATTGTAAAATATGAGATATAGACTGAGTGCAGCTTAACATAATGAATTCCTATAAAAGAAAGGTACCTTAAAAGCTACCTAGCTTCAAAATTTGGACACCAAATTCCCAAGGTCAAAATCTAGGTCAAATTCATAGTTTTTCCTAATTTTAAAGATTCTGGCACTACACTTAAATGATTTGCTTCAAAATTTTGTATACAGGTAGCAAAGAGTGCGTTAATAGTGTTAGCCTTTTGCCGTCAGAAATTATTTCGACCCAATTTTGAGATATTGTGTCCGAAAAGTAGGTCAAAACAAAAAGTTCTCCAAATTTAACATATGAACTATGAAATAGGAATAGAATTTTCTCAGAAATCCGAATCTGCAAACCAAATTTTGATTCAACTTCCAGGTCGGAAGTTATTGCGTTTTGAAAGCTCAAAAATTGCTAAATTTGGTGCCCCATGTTATGTCAATAGGGAAAAAGATTTTTTTTGAAGTGTAAATTACCAGATATAGACTGAGTACAGCTCAACATAATGAAAGCCTATAAAAGGAGGGGACCTCAAAGGCTACCTAGCTTCAAAATGTGGACACCAAAATGCCAAGGTCAAAATCTAGGTCAAATTCATAGTTTTTTCTTATTTTTGCGATTCTGACATTACACTTTAATAATATGCTTCAAAATTTTGCATACAGGTAGCAAAGAGTGTGCTAATAGTGTAAGCTCTTTGCCGTCAGAAAGTATTTTGACTCACTTTTGAGATATGGTGTCCGAAAAGTAGGTCAAAATAAAAAGTTCTCCAAATTTAACTTATGAGTTATGAATTAAGGGTAGAATTTTCTCGGGAATCCAAATCTGCAAATCAACTTTCAATCCGACTCCCTGTTTAGATTCTACGCCATTTTAAAATTCACATTTGCCAGTATCCACAATGCAGATCCATCAAATGTACTTTCAAAAATTCCTACTTACCCATATACCTACTCTACTACTTACTTAGCTACCTACTTCTCAGCTACTTACTCAGCTACCTACTCAGCTACTTACTCAGCTTAAACTTAAACTTATCCTTACTCAGCTACCTACTCAGCTCCTTACTCAGCTACCTACTCAGCTACTTACTCAATTACTTAATCATCTACTTACTCAGCTTCCTACTCAGTTACTTACTCAGCTCTTTACTCAAGTAAATCAATCTGGAGTCTTAAATTGAACTTTGTTCAATTTACCAATCTAGTTATTATTATTATTATTTTTCTTCTTATTCTTCCTCCTTACAAGATTTCTCACCAACTAGAAGAACATACTTTAATCTGCTTACATGATCAACTAGGGAATGTATCTGGGATTATGGGAAATTAGGTCAAATTTTTATCTAGGTCAAAGGTCAAGAACTAGGTCAAATCCAGTACTTTGTCACTTTTTCCAATTATCTCGGTCGTCCTTCAATATTTTTGATCCGGGTTTTTTTCATTGTGTTCCTCATACAAAAGTAGAAAACCTAGGGTCGATTTAGTTTTTTGGTATCTCAAACCGATTTCGAGATATCAGTGTCCGAAAACGAGGTCCAAAAAAAAGTTCTCCGAATCCAATGTCCAGGATATCAGTCTTATAGGAAATTTTCTCAGGATTCCGAATCTGAAAACCAAATTTCGATCTGACTTCCGGTTCAGAAGTTATGGCGTTTTGAAATTTCGAGAAAAATCGATCTGATGGTATCCTGATAGAAAGTCAAGGAAAAAAGATTTTTTTGAAGTGTAAAATATGAGATATAGACTGAGTACAGCTTAAGATAATGAATTCCTATAAAAGAAGGGGACCTCAAAATCTACCTAGTTTCAATATTTGGACACCAAAATGCCTAGGTCAAAATCTAGGTCAAATTCATAGTTTTTCCTTATTTTTGCGATTCTGGCACTACACTTTAATGATTTGCTACAAAAGTTTGTATACAGGTAGATAAGAGTGTGCTAATAGTGATAGCCTTTTGCCGTCAGAAAGTATTTTGACCCACTTTTGAGATATGGTGTCCGTAAAGTAGGTCAAAATAAAAAATTCTCATAATTTAACTTATGAGTTATGAATTAAGGGTAGAATTTTCTCAGGAATCTGAATCTGCAAACCAAATTTCGATCTGACTTCCGGTTCAGAAGTTATGGCGTTTTGAAATTTCGAGAAAAATCGATCTGATGGTATCCTGATAGAAAGTCAAGGAAAAAAGATTTTTTTGAAGTGTAAAATATGAGATATAGACTGAGTACAGCTTAAGATAATGAATTCCTATAAAAGAAGGGGACCTCAAAATCTACCTAGTTTCAATATTTGGACACCAAAATGCCTAGGTCAAAATCTAGGTCAAATTCATAGTTTTTCCTTATTTTTGCGATTCTGGCACTACACTTTAATGATTTGCTACAAAAGTTTGTATACAGGTCGATAAGAGTGTGCTTATAGTGATAGCCTTTTGCCGTCAGAAAGTATTTTGACCCACTTTTGAGATATGGTGTCCGTAAAGTAGGTAAAAATAAAAAATTCTCATAATTTAACTTATGAGTTATGAATTAAGGATAGAATTTTCTCAGGAATCTGAATCTGCAAACCAAATTTCACTCCGACTTCCGGTCAAAAATTCCTACTTACCTAACTACCTACCTACCTACTCGGCTACCTACTTAGCTACTTACTTCTCAGCTACCTACTCAGCTACTTACTCAGCTACTTACTCAGCTACCTACTCATCTACTTACTCAGCTACTTACTCAATTACTTAATCATCTACTTACTCAGCTTGCTACTCAGTTACTTACTCAGCTACCTACTCAAGTAAATCAATCTGGAGTCTTAAATTGAACTTTGTTCAATTTACCAATCTAGTTTTTATATATTTTGGGGAGGTTTTGTTTTAATTTTTTGAATACTTTCTGTTAAATCAACCAAATTTTCATTTGTATATTATAATTTTGAGAGGTCTAAGAAAATGTTGTATATATGCTATTTTGTTCTAACAAGGTTCGGAAAGATATTTATTTAATTCTCAAGAATTGGTAAAAAGGAACAAACAATTGCACAAAAAATCAAAAAATGTTAACAAAAGCAGTTATCAAAAAATGTATTCAAATAATTTTGGCATTAAATTGTTGTCAATCAGTGACCATTACATAAAGGACTGTGTTTTTTTACAGAATGTTTTCCAAAATCCGTTAAGAGAAAAATGTTGAATTCAGTTCGCCATATCGATACCAATCCTTTCAAGAAAGTAATGATATTATTTTGTTTAAGAAATTAGTATTTATTATTCAGGCATGCAAGAAGAATGTTAGTGCCATAAATCAAGGTAAAATTATAGAAGTATATAATTTGGGCCTCTAGCTTGTTTAAAATAATTTCTTGCTTCTTGGTAAATTTGAGAGGATCAGGGGCTCTTTGTTGGTGGAAGAATCTAACATAACTGAATCACGCCAAAAAAAATTAGATATATATATCAAGTAGAAGTATTAACCATAAATGAATTACACCCAAATAGCTGAATTCATAAATCAAATAGAAGTCTTAAGCATAAATGAATTACACCAATAGCTTAATTCATAGATCTGGCAAAAGTATTAATCATAAATGAATTGCACCCAAATTGCTGAATTCATAAATCTGGCAAAAGTATTAATCATAAATGAATTACACCCAAATAGCTGAATTCATAAATCTGGTGGAAGTATTAATCATAAATGAATTACACCCAAATAGCTGAATTCATAAATCTGGTGGAAGTATTAATCATAAATGAATTACACCCAAATTGCTGAATTCATAAATCTGGCAAAAGTATTAACCATAAATGAATTACACCCAAATAGCTGAATTCATAAATCTGGTGGAAGTATTAACTATAAATGAATTACACCCAAATAGCTGAATTCATAAATCTGGTGGAAGTATTAACTATAAATGAATTACACCCAAATAGCTGAATTCATAAATCAAATAGAAGTCTTAAGCATAAATGAATTACACCAATAGCTTAATTCATAGATCTGGCAAAAGTCTTAAACATAAATGAATTGCACCCAAATAGCTGAATTCATAAATCTGGCAAAAGTCTTAACTATAAATCAATTACGCCCAAATAGCTGAATTCATAAATCTGGTGGAAGTATTAAATATAAAAGAATTACACCCAAATAGCTTTATTCATAGATCTAGCAAAAGTCTTAACTATAAATGAATTACACCCAAAGAGCTTAGTTCATAAATCTGGTGGAAGTCTTAACCATAAATGAATTACACACAAAGAGCTTAATTCATAAATCTGGTGGAAGTCTTAACCATAAATGAATTACACCCAAAGAACTTAATTCATAAATCTGGTGGAAGTCTTAACCATAAATGCAAGGGGACTATTTATTCATTCATTAATATTTTCTTTTACTGGACATATTTTTGTTTGTATAACTATACAACACATAAGGATCATATGAAAATTTATCCATTTAAACTGATAATATTCAAGTTTAAGGTCTGCCATGTTAATGAACCTGAATCAGCCACCTGATGGTGAAACTGGTAACTACCTACTCTTATCTGGGTAATTGGCATAAGGAATCATTTCTTCAGGTTTGTCGGCAAATGCACACATTGAAGGTACAGTATACCCAGGACAGTATATTTGATTTTATGTAATGTCCATGTTTCAGTCTGGAGAAGACTTGGACCTTAAACAAGAAACAACAAAGAAGACACTATTGTCAGAAAGATTGGAGGTGCAGAACTTACAAGAGACAAGACTAAGGGAGCTTGTGGATCAACCATGGATGCCCCCTCAGAAACGTGTAGTGGCTCAAAGGTAGAACTCCTTGCAATAAAAATCCCTTGCAAAAAGCAAAATAAGTTTGTGGTTGAATTTTATACTTTTAAATGATATTGTTCAAAATGTTCTATGTCAGAAAACCCTATTATACGAGAACCCTAAGCTTATAAGGTACATTGGCTCATCCTGGGGGTTAAACCCTTATCTTTATTGTACTGAACATGTTATTAGACATTAGGGATACGCAATGTTATGTTATTGTTATATATGTGTTATAACTAATGTTTTATCCTGCATTTATTTATGTTATCTTTGTTGTTGATTTCATTTTATTACCTACCAAATATTTATTTTATCCCACTAGCATTGTTTTGTCTCGGATATAGAGAAGCTGACCATCCATCCATCTTTTTATCCGTACATCTGTCAGTAACATAGTCTCCTTTGAACCTTACACAAAATGAGATATATACCTATGTAAAGCAAAATAAACCATACCCTTAGTTTGCTTTCATTCATGCATGGCAAACCTAGATTTGTTTTTATTTGCAGACAAAACTTGGCAGGTGGAGCAGACTATAAGTTACCATATAAGGCAATAGAAACCCCATATATTCCTAGTATGTCATACCCCACGCATGTAAACCCTAGAGTTGTGTTTATATCCTCACGTGTCCCTGCAGCAGATGTAAGTGCATCACTGAAAATACTCATTTCTGTATATAATGGAAATGAACATTAGGTCATATTGTTATAGCAACCATTTTTGACTTATTGACAGTCAGTATCTGTAACAATTCTTACACCATTTGCAATTTTGAGGTGGTAACATTTTGTCATGTTGATGCCCTATTGTTTTACATTTGTTGACCAGTTTTTCATATTTGTTGATGGAATAGTGTCAAATTAAGAGTAACATCTACCTAATAGCATGAAGTGAACAGTACAAAACTGAACCATAAACATCATACCAGAAATAAAGGAATGTTTTAACCATGACTAATGAACTAACATATAATATTTCAGCTTCTGATGGATGCTGTTCTATTTGGAGTCATCCCCATAGTTTATGAGTATGAGGGTACAACCCTGGAGTCTCTGTTGAGTAGGCTGGAGATTGTCCTACAGGGGAGACATACACAGTAAGTAGATCAAGAGAATGCTAGGGTCTAACACTCAAGTGTCTGATGTTCTTTTTAAAAATTAGATTAAAAAGTGCTCCAAACTTAACATAATAAGTGAACAAGTGTGGAAATGACAAGCATGTATTGGGATATACAGGGTGTCCAAGAAGTAACGTCAATGACCCTGGCATTTTGTCATTTATGCTTCAAATGTCATGAAACTTTGTCAAAATGTTCCTTGTACATTTATACATATAAATACGAAGTATGGAGTGACTGGCATTTGATTGGCCAATTTCATGGTTGCCATAGTAACACAAGTGCATGGACCCCGGGGCAGTTCAGAATGTACCTGGTAAATATTATCTAAATCAGGTTATTATAAGTTAAAACCTTTGGCAAAAATGAAGTGCAATGTCTTGGGACTTTTTCAAATCTTAACGGTTTTATTGTTTATTGGGAGTTACCATGGTAACACTTCTTTGGAGTACTTTATGACATCATAATATGTTTTCTGTCTGGATTGTGCCTTTCACTGCACTGGGACAATGCCCCCATTCACAAGGCCAGGAACACCATGGAAGTAATTGAGATACTAGGAATACCCCTACTTGAACAAGCTCCATATTCGCCTGATTTGGCCCCTAGTGACTTCTATCTTTATGGGGCACTGAAGGCTAAACTTGCTGGACAGTCTTTCTCTTCAAATGAGGAACTTAAGAGCTCTGTTCTGTCATCCCTTGCAGAAATGAGCTCTGGTGGTTTCAATAGAGTTTTCTTGGAGCGGGTAAGAAGACACCAGAGATGTGTGGAACTTGGTGGTGATTATGTAGAGTAACATTCGATAAACTTTGATATAACACTGATATAACGCCAGCAACAGCTATATTATGAATACATGATGTGTAGTTGAAAACATTATATTTGTGGTCATATTATAAATAAAAGATGTACACTTCAAAGCTAGTGTAAAGATCTTACGGATTGCAGAGCTGCCCCGGGGTCCATGCACTTGTGTTACTATGGTAACCATAAAACCGGCCAATCAAATGCTAGTAACTCCATACTTCATATTTATATTTATAAATGTACAAGGAACATTCTGACTAAGTTTCATGACATTTGAAGCATAAATGACAAAATGCCAGGGTGATTGACGTTACTTCTTGGACACCCTGTATATTGTACATGTACATTACATATAATGTACATAATTTATTTCCAGGAGTATTGGTGTGTTCACCCACTCTGTTGACCCTGGGGAGATACTGCTGGTGCATGGCTGTAAGGTTACCATAGAAACATTGGATCAACCAGAAATCATTGAGTTCTTTGAGACCATAAGTAACAGTATTCTTCCTCCAGAGCAGAAAGGATGTGTGGATATATTTGCTCCTATTGCATCATGTGGTAGGTTATATTTAACTCTTGAAAGTGACACTAAAAAAGATTTACTTCTGCATTCTTAGTAGAATGGTTTATGTGCACTCATATTTGGAGGATAGATGATACAGTACATGTAGCTTCATGAAGTTAAAAGTGCACACATTTGATCTGAATGTTTCATATTATTATAATGCCATCTTGTGTCTTATTCCGTGATAGGTTGAACACAGGTCACATGACAGAAAAATATCCTGGTATAATTCCTTGTTATGGTATTCATCAATTTATTCATCTGTTTGTTAATAGTCCAATTCTTCTTAGACCAGGCAATAACTCAAAAAATAATTAATTGATTTATATTTGGAGATAAACATATATAGCATATTAAGCTATGGGCCTTTAAGACCTCTTGCAAGCCCATAATTATGCAAAATTGGTTCATGTAAATATGGTAGCCATTTATCTATTACATTCAAAAGTAATAGATAAATATAATTGTATATAGAAATACATATCTGTTAAACAAAGGAGCCACTGTGATCTGTAATTTGGAATGATGTAAATTAAACTTTTTATCATTATTATTTTGAATATTGTGTTTTAATTCTGTGTTTTCAGAGTCTGGAATGGAGACGTTGATACAGCTCAACATATTATGTGGAATGCAGTTCTCAAGTCCAACTGGTATAATAGGAAACTATAACCATAGTAAGCCATTTCAATATTGACTGTACACTATTTTGGGTTTAATTACTTTATCTTATAAACCTTTGAAAGTACATGTACATGTATTTGACCTAAAGTAGCATATATTTGTACATTAGTAGAAAAACATTATAACTTTGTGCTTGCCTCCTTGATACAAAATTTTAATGATTGTTTTTATTACAACACTATTTTCCAGTTAACAGTGAGTGGTCATTGGCTGTTGATGACACACCTCCTCCGATGTCCTACTTCTGTACTAGCAAACTGAACATCTGGGCCAACACTGCCGACCAAGTCCAAGAGGCCTGCCAGGTTGCTAAGAAACTACTGGCCTCATATTTTCAAGAAATTCATAAAGATGTTGTTTCTCAAGTCACAGGTAATTCAGTATTCTCTCATGTACAAAGATCCATTAATAAAAGGTTCATTACAAAGATCAGTAAAACTTTGAGATACTATATCTTTAGTTTGAGACATTGAATACTGAGAATATATAAATCATAGAGTAAGAGACAGAATATATAGCATCTAAATTGCTAATTTGAAATTATCTCATTGGTCAAAGTTTGGGGGTATAAAGAAAAGCATTTATGGAATTGTAGTGACGCAACATGTACCATTTTTCTATGCATGTAAAAACATGCATTTATTCTAAGGGCAAGTATTTAATGGATAAAACGTCTTCATTAAGTCTCTTTATATGTCTCTTTATATGTCTCTTTATATGCCTCTTTTTATGTATGTTTTATGTATGTATGTGCTTATTACAAACTTGCCTTTGATTCAGGCCAAGTGATATTTGATGCAATGGGGCAGTCAGATATACAAGGGTTAAATGCATTATCAGACATTCTAAGAGAAGGTTTAATGGAACTGGGCACAAAGTCAAATGTAAGTATCAACAAGGCACTTATACATGCAAAAATTAGAAACATCACCACCTATCATTTGTTACAGATGCCGAATGCCAATTGCCACCTACAGAACACTGGCCACCAAATGCCAAATACAATCCACAAAAAAGTTGGAGACTATAACAATATGTCACCACTTGTGATTTGGCATTCAAAATTCAGTAAAATGTATCATTGGCAAATTGCTTTAGTGAACCCCTTTTCAGTAAAAAGCCTTTTTTCCCATTGACTAAATAAGTTTCTTGTCGTGAACACTTAATCTTGGCAAAATGATTTGAATTAACCTATTTTAGTGAACATTGAATTAAATATGATAAGACTTCTAAGAGTTGAACAGTTTTTTATATTACTGTATCTGCAAAAAATAATTAATTGAGCTCTTTATGTTCGCTATACACAGGTTTTACTGTATGGGGCCAAACAACTTTGTGTTTGAGTGTACTTGATTCAAAGAATATTTAATATCATTTCAGGTGAAGCCAGTGGAGTTCCTTGGAGAATATTTGCTCATGAAATCTGGGGGAACCTTTGATGGAACTAAACAAATAACTGTAGGTTCATTTTAGTTATTGGTTACATTATGCTTGTTTGGTTATCATGTCTTTGTGAACAATGGTGTAAATAATGTACTAATTAATGAGCTCAATGCATTTAAGTAAAACCTTAGAAGGGTGTTTAAAGAAGACTAGAGAAGCATTCATTATGCCTCAACAACATATCTTTCTCTTGTCACCATGAGCAGATTCACTAATAATGTTTCCATCTTATTCTATTATTTAGGAAGGAGACACATTGGACCTATACTCTGATGAGGAAGATGACATATCAGAAGGTGGTAAGGAGGTTGCGGATATCACTACTCAAAAGCTAAGGTATGTCTGTATAGAGCTGCCAATAGAATATGAAAACATGAATCTTAGGTTTTCAATTTTAAAGTAACAAAAATAGTCAAAATTTGTACCATAACATAACATCCATTACATAGGGTATCTAGTTGTATCATTGTTCTTCTAGAGGAGATTTTTATATATATCATATTCTTCAGGCCTGGAGATGGATCTGACATAGAAGAAGACATTGTCATCAAAGAAGATGATGACATTGAAGAGGAAATCATAGAAGAGCTAGAAGAAAACCTTGAGAATAAAGATACAGATGAAGATGAAAACAAAAACCGAATGAAAGTCGAGAAAGAACAGCAAAACCAGAAGCAAAAATCAAAATTTCAACAGAGTAGTGTGCATCCCTCAAAGCAAAACCAAAGACGACTTACTAAGGACACATTGAGGTCCAGCAAAACTCTCATGTATAGTGAGAATCCAATGTCTCCAGATGACAAATTGAAAACTCAGATGAGGACAATGACTGATACAAAAGGCACTATGAGATTGGTAAGGGGTTTCTATTACATTGTATGGTAAAATTGATATATTTTTGAATGTATTTTTGTAGTTAGTATAAACGTGTAGTTACAGTAAATAAAGGATTTTAGCGAAGGGCTCAATGCATTGTAGGATGTTTTAATAATGTGTGTGTTGTTTTCAGACTTTGCATGAGTGTTTCAGCATGAATGTAAAGTCTAAGAAACAATGCATGAGTGGATTAGATCATTCACAATTCATTGAGTCATATGTTTATATTCCTGCCACACATTGCAAAAGATTTTGTACAGTATCACTTAAAAGAATGAACTTTTTACAACTACAAGGAAAGTTCTTTTGCAAGGGTTAAGTAGGTTAAATGTTCAGAACTAAGTGAACACTAACTATCACATTTGACCTACATGAACACATCACCCAACTGCCAACTTGACATTATGATGTAATCTAAATTCACAAGTATCTAAAATAGCCCAGATGCATTAAAGAGGGTGTGTGGTTGATTATTTCAAGCATCCATATTATTTTAAGTACTGCATTTTGATTGGCTAGAATGTGTGAATTTTGATTAATAGCTACTTGTATGTGTGAATTTTGTATATTGTAGATTATATTAATGACACTATTGATTGAATAAATGACATATGTATGTATTTTATTACAGACAGTCAAACAATTTGGCGACCACCCTCAAAAGCGTACACCTATTGCTCATGAGATCCTGTCTAGTGAAGTAGAATACATGAGGACACTAGAGATTATCCGTAACGTCTTTGTCAAACCACTCAAGTCAGCTCTTGCATCAAACAGGTTAATAATTGTCATGCACACGTACCACATGCATGTGATATTATACAGAAACAGGTTAATTATTGTCATGCACATGTACCACATGCATGTGATATTATACAGAAACAGGTTAATTATTGTCATGCACATGTACCACATGCATGTGATATTATACAGAAATGGACTTTTGAATATTCAAGGTTAATTCAAATACTTCATTTTGATGCACCCTGATTCAAATCTGTAAATCTGTAATTAATGAAATACTACCAAGATATTTTCAAGTGTAAATTACAAAGTCACAATGAAACATATTGATCTAAAGAACATTTTAATACAAAGTTAAATGCACTTTATGTATGATCATTTCATCCTCTGCTATTTAAATAATGATGATGCTTGAAAACCTAGCTAGGCTAGAGCTCATGAGAATATTAATTTTTTGATATATTGCATCTTGGTTGATTTGAGAATCCATTGTTTCAAGACCCCTGCAAAAAAATGAAAAATACACCAGATCTCGGAAAGGAAGTTAAGCCCAATAAATCTATTAATACATTCTTTCACAATTGATTTGCAGGGCTATCATCAGATAACATACATTGTAATTTCCAGCATATATTTATATCAATACAACAATGTATGTCTGTTTTTGTTGCAGGGCCATCATTAGTACACACAATGTCCAGGTTATATTCACAGATGCCCTGACCATTTTAGAGCTTAGTAGGTAAGTCTAACATGGTGCAAAATATCTTGAGGCTGAACTCGACTTTACATGTGAAATCAAAATCTCACAAGAGTCATTTTGAAGAAGCATGTTTTATATTTTTTGCTTCCAGACCTTTAGTTGCTGATTTAAAAGACCGGATATCACAGTGGAACCCACATCAATGCCTCGGAGACATTTTTGTCAAGTTTACAGGCAAATTAAAGGCCTATGTAAACTTCCTAAATAACTACCCCACCATTTTATTAACTATTGAACGGTGTATGGAGCAGATTCCTGGATTTAGAGCATTTCTTCAGCGTCACCAGCGAACTCCACAAACACGTATGCTAACGTGAGTTATTTGGAAATTTGTTAATGGACTGCATACAAGTACATATTTATTACTCAAGGAGGCAAGTTTTCTTAATTAGATCATCCACCAACAGGCAAAGAACCCACATTTTAAAATTATTTACATTTGTCTGTTTGAGTTTTGAATTTTTAGATCTGAGCCACATTGAATATTGATTGCTGTTTGAATTAAATCTTCAAATAAAAGAGTCTAGATCTCAAATCTTAACACCTGCCCACAAATATGTATGTGTATGCATTTGACCAATCACAATAAATTGCCTTTCTGAACCTTTCAGATTGCAGGAGTTATTACTGACAATTACACGTCGTCCCAGTGAATATGTGACATTGCTGACGTGGTTTCAACGTCATACTCAGCTTGACCACAATGACAGGCCTGATGTGGCAGAGGCAATAGAGGTATTCCGCAACCTCTCATCTATTATCAGAGACATGAAACAGAAGCAGGAACGTGAAAGGGAACTTGTGAAATTGCAGAAGACTATTCTGAACTGTCCAGTAAGTTGAATTATTTCATTTTGTAGGTATTAATAATATGTGAACCATAAAATGAACTAAAATGAATTATGAAATATGTTGTGTAATTATAAAATATTTATAATCTGATTGTATTCAATTATGGAATTTGCACTAAACCCAACTCATTGAGTCAGAAATTGTGGGAAGACTGATTATAGGGTAAATTCTCAGTTGCTTTGAAGACCATCATGATTCCTGAAGTACACACTGAAAAACATTTTAATTCACTGCCTAAAAACTTCAAATACTTGAGTCAATTAATTGGAAGCTCAAGTTCTAGCCAATTTTTAGTTTTGGAAAAGATTTCAGCTTGATTGGACTAATTTGAATAGCTTTTAAATTATATAAATTTTCATGACATAATGTGAAAAGGATTAACATATGTCAATCCATTACAGTGTATTAATTGCTGGAATTACACCTGAAAAAACACTGAAAGCGCTTTAGTGGAAAGCACTTCACAAAATCGCCATCCTTCGTGCACTTTTAACGATATATGTAGATATGGAGAATATCCAGCAGATGTGTACATCTACAATAAATGTATTCTTTTAGCATCTAAGAGAAAGCGTAACCGAGACTTTTGCCAGTGGTGTGAACTTAATTTCAATTTTTGCGATATGATTTGATGACCTATTGCATTTTTTGGCTCCCATCCATCATTTCCTGTATTTTTGCGGCAGCCCAAATGTGTAGCATTTGGAATACGTCTTATTTCATTTAGGGCAAATAGTTAAAACCCGGGTAAGGCGTTTTACAAAAACCAATCGGTATTACACTACCCTCCAAAAGCGCCTAATGATTTAAGGTGTTTTATAGTGACTAGGGTTCTAGAAGTTTTGGAAAGGCGCTTTTGTAAAACGGCAATCGTGATTAAATCTACATTGTATTTTTTAAACCGGATTAAAACTTTAAGCGCCTTTCTAAAATGCATTGTGTAATTCCAGCAATTATGTGACATTCCCTCATAGATATTTGTCTCATATTGAGAGTTAGATGTAACTCACTAGGGTAATCATGCTTAATTTCTTATTTTGACACCTATCTGCAGATTGAAAATTACAAATCTAATAATGATTTATTCTATCTTTGTTTTAAGGGGGTAAGTGTATAATAATCTTTTATTTCTACCATAATCTGGTTGGAAAGTACTATGTTCATATTTTTTCATGAAAAACGCATATTATGCATGAAAAATGTATCACAAATTCTGCACAAAATTGTATCACAAATTCTGCTTGAAAATAAGGTCAAATTATGCATGAAACCAATATCACATTATGCATGAAAAATGTACCACAAATTGTGCACAAAATTGTATCCCAAATTCTGCATGAAAATAGGGTCAAATTCTGCATGAATATTATGCATGAAAAATGTATTACAATTCTGTTTGTATATTGTATCACATTAATTCTGCATGAAAATAAGATCAAACTCTGCATTGCACTACTACTGCTGGTATTCTGGTATTTATTTTAAAATCTAAAGGATATAATATTCAATTTATTTATTTATAGTTCAGATATTTACATCATCTTTTCTCATAGAAGTCCATAGTAATATGGAATTCCAATAAATTCATGGTGAAAAGGTTACTATATTTGGTAGTTATAATTGATTTACCAGGTAGGCCAAAGGATGTTGCCCATTCTTGTTGTAATATAATAATTAAGGGTAGCATTTTTTGGTCCACTCTGCATCTCATTACCAAAATAATGTATTCAATTATTTGTCTAGGCATTGATGGAAGCTAACAGATTCTTTGTGTTACATGAGGATGTGGCACATCTGAGTAAACCTACATCAGAGGTTGCTCCTGAACTCAGGTAAGTGCTCAACAAGTTCAATGAATGGTTCTTTTTATTAAGCGTATCAAGATATTGTAATGATTTAAGGGTGCCCTCTTGGGAAAAAGTAATTAGTGATGAACATTTACTACTAATGAGACATCCACACAATCGGCCAATCCTTACTCTGGTGCAACTTAGGCTTGTGTAACATGCTCTACTAGTTATCTGGGGCATTACTTCATTTTTCTCTACATTGAATTAAATGAATTTGTAAAGATAAATAGATCCCCCTCTTAGTGCTGTATTTTCATACATGACAATAATGTCATTTTTCTCAAAGGCATGTTTTTGATTTCAGGGTTTATCAGCATATTGAGACACTTGGGTTGTTTCTCTTCAACGATTCATTGATTGTGACACGACGAACAAGCAAACATTTCCCATTTGAACGTTCAGTTGAACAAAGTTACAGGTTTGTTATTGATTCATTTTCATAAATACTCCTGTTAAACCATAATTTAATTGGGTGATGAATTTGCACGAAATTAATGCTAAACTACCTTAGCCTTGTGCAATCAATGTGTTTTGATGAGTAAAAGAACTAGATAAATAATGGATCGCAGAATTGCAGTTTGAAGACGCTCTATTGTCCACCCCCTAAATTTTGGCATAATATTTATAAAATATTATCCCTGTACTCAAGATTCATATTAAGCCTTCAAATTAGAAAATGTCATTTTTGTGGAGTGTAAATAGCATCTACATGTAGATCGGCCTGTTGTATTACTGCCTCAGAATTTTAATTCCTATAAGGAAAATGTTTAAATTACCACTTACCCTAAAATGGAACCTGTTGTTACCTGCCTCATGCTTAGCTACATGTACACCTGAATGTTACGTTTTTGTAGATTCTTAACCTGTGTCTGCCTAACTAGACTACGAGTGGAAGATATACCAGACTCTAAGTGTAAGTAGAACATATAATGAATTGATAATGGGTGGAAGTGGTATTTAAGAATACTGTGTTTGAGATCCTAACAGAATGAAGACTCCCAAATACTGTACTGTACTGTAGTTCTATTACTTCTCCGATTGGGATTATTTCCATAAAATGTGTTAAAACGACAACATATTTTCATATTCTTGCATTCAAGATTCAGCATTAACCCTTAATCCAATTTGGAAATAAACCATTCGGATTTCAAACTTATTGAACATTAATGTTTTTAATAAATACAATAATCATCAATTCAATTTTTCAGTTGTAAAGAATGCATTTCTCATGGAGACCCCCAAGAGGTGTTGGATTTGTTCGTCATATTCATATTCAGCAAAGCTAAACTGGATGACAACATTAGAGAGTGTGATACAAACTGCTATTGAGAACAACTGAAACATGAATGTATGCTACTGGATACCAACGAACCTTTAAGGGAACCTTTACAAGAGATCTGAACCTAGAAAATAAAATCTCATATTGTTGGAGTCTGGGAGCATCAATAACTAAATCCCATTAATGTTGAACAAGCACTCTTAGTATTTAATTCTCATACATTGATTTCAGACCTAAAAAATGTGACACTGGCCATAACTGATCTCTGTGATTCAACACAAAACACCATATACGATGTAACATGTACATATTTCTTCTACAACTATTCCGTCCACTTTATATGCTTACTATTCATATTGTTGATATTTTTATATAGGACCTCACATACATTTATTTTATAAATTATTGACTATTTGTACCAGTTACAGTTTTAAATAAATTGCTAAAAGTAAAATGTGAGTTTAAATATTTACTACTTTCAATACTACATCTACAGGGCATTACAAACAGGGCTATTCTGAATAAAAACCTACTAAAGATGTATAATGTCTATTTCATGTAGCAGTGTACCAGAGGAGTCATACCTTTACATGCCATAATATGACAAACTTAAAGCCTTCATTGTTATTATGTCACCACCAAAAATTGGTGAGATATTGTTATGGTCTCCGTTTTTTTTTACGGCGAATGGCATTTGGCAATCAGCGTCTGTAACAAATTCTTACAACTTCCAATAACTTAACAAGTTCTGTTTCGACTGATTTCAATTTATTTCCGTATCATCTAAGCTCAAATCTGACTTTACTTTTAAGATTTGACCTTCAATGACCTTTTCAAGGTAAAAAAGGTCTTTTTTCAACTCAATGCTTCTAATTGACCAATTTTTTTTTTTCAAAACCATCTCTAAATTTTCAAAAGTTCAGATCTAGCTATAAATTTGACCTTCAATGACCTTTTCAAGGTAAAAAAGGTCTTTTTTCAACTCAATGCTTCAAATTGACCAATTTTTTTTTTCAAAACCATCTCTAAATTTTCAAAGTTCAGATCTAGCTATAAATTTGACCTTCAATGACATTCTCAAGGTCAAACAATATTTTACTTATACCTTCAATGACCTTGTCAAGGTCAAAAAGGTATTTTTCATGTTGCTTCAAATTGACCAATTTTTTCAAAATCATCTACAAGTTCTCAAAAGTTCAAATCTGACTATAGATTAACCTTCAAGGACATTCTCAAGGTCAAAAAATATTTTACCTTCAATGACCTTGTCAAGGTCAAAAAGGTATTTTTTCATCTTTCTTCAAATTGACCAATTTTTTTTCAAAATCATCTACAAGTTCTTAGAAGTTCAAATCTGGCTTTAGATTTGAGATTTCACCTTCAATGACCTTCTCAGGGTCAAAAAAGGTCTTTTTTCAACTTGCTTCAAATTGACCAATTTAATTTTTCAAAATCATTTACAAGTTCTTAGAAATTCAAATATTACTTGAGATTGAACTCATAATATTGTGAGCAACTAGGTGGTGACATTTTGTCATGATAATGCCTTGTTATTCATATTGCCAACATTTGCTGTGCATAAGCAGTTCAAGATTAGATTAGTCAATGTGGTAAAGTATGATTCCATCTATTGTTTCTTTAATATTGCATAATCATTTCCTGATGACACATCATGTACGATAATTAAGTTGTTTATGCTTCAGAGAGGGAGGGGCTTGGACGTTGGTGTTTTTTTACATTAAATAGTTTGTCATATCCAGTATTAAAAGGAGTGTATGAGTATGCTGAAAACACTCAGTTTTGATATTATTGGCTTACAGAGCTGAGCTTATGAGAAAGTTGTCAAATATGGTTGCAATGTGGAGAATGTCAGCCATTTTAATAATAGTCATCTTAACACAAAAAGTAATGGATTTATTGTAATTATTGTTTATTCTCAAATTGATTTTATTGATGTTTTATATGATGTAGAAATACAACATGATATATTCTCTTTCCACAATTCATATGGTTGCTATTTTTGGAAGTGAGGGCTGCCAATCTTGTGTGCATCTCTCTATATTGGAATTTGCTATGCCTTGGCATTGCCATTGCATATAACAGACATTCACCTCCAGCTTATATGATTAAAATACACAAAAAGCATTTATAAATTCAAACTGACATCTTTTCCCTGCTAATATGTCACCGTAATATTTGGAATGTTTATCATATAAACGACAATGTATAAATACAATATTGTAAATATTATGGAAATAGTAAATCTCTATATGACTAGACTAACCACACAAAGCAATGACAATATAACTTGGTATACTGTATTCCAGGCCACCTTGGAATGAACATACTGTATAGTATAATGATTATTCTCTATATCTTGAATCATAGTATATGTAGCTTATACTAACAATGAAATAATTTTCACTTTGAGAGAATGCTACATTTTAGTCAGAAACCCATGCCTCTCTATCGTTTCAAAAAATTTACCCAACGTATCGGTCTCTGTTAATTTATGGCATCCATACTTTTTTGAAAGGTAACATTTTGAGGTTCAATTTTCTGCCGGATGCCCTTGCAAACTCTCATTGGTTGCTCTGTATTGTAGCATTCCATTACCATGGTTACGCATCTATAGACATCTTACCTTGGAATCTTAAATCATTTGTAGCTTTGTCATTATTTTGTCTATAGAAATGATATTGGTATCAAATTAAACCTAAATAAATTTCCCATATAATAATAATATTCAATTATGCAAATTAGCTCATTTGCATAAATTGTGACGTCATGAATCTATTTTTGGCTCAGAATTTTCAAGTATAGCAATGTATCTTTAAGAACTGAAGCCGTACGGTAGAATTTCTTCAATGTTATGACTTTTATTTTATGAGCAGAAGGTTTAAACAAGATAAAAGTGAAAACAGATTCAAAATTGGATCAGAACTAACAAAGTTATTAAGCTTTCTAGGCAGCTACCATGAACGTTATCACTGAACAATTAACTTTAAACATCTTACCTAAGAATTGATATGTTTGGTAACTTTGTCATTATTTGGTCTATTATAAGGAGATCTTGGTATCGAATTGATCCTAATTGAATAATCGGTATGGAAACGATATTCAATTATGCAAATTAGCTAATTTGCATAAATTATGATGTCATCAACCTATCTTTGGTTCAGAACTTCCAAGTATAGCAACATATTTATTAGATCCAAGGTTGTATGGCGTAGTTTCTGCATGTTTGTCATTTATTCTATGAGTGGAAGAGGTATGAGCAACATAAAAATGATTCAAAATTGAATTAGTATTAGTTAAGTAATTCAGCTTTTGAGGCAGCTACTATGAATGTTACTATTTGACAATCAAAAATAAAACACTGAAATAACAAAAATGAAACAAAGCTGATTAAAGCTTATCGAGTGAAATCTATATATTTTCCATGTCACTGAATTCGTTGGTGTATAGAAATGATACAAGTATTTATAATTTTGACTATCATTGACAGGGGTCAAAACAGTTTTTTTGATTTTGTAACATGATTTATTGTTTGTGAGAAAGTTATGGATTAATCAGTTAGTGAATGGGTGAATGGTATTGTGAAATCTGTTATGTAATCTATAAATTTTTAAACTGATTTGCTTCATAGGCGTCAATCTATTTAAAGAGATGAAACATTATGCCTGGTCAAACATCAATATTTGTTCTGCAATTCAAGCAGTGAACATCTACATGAATTTTTAAACATTATATTATATTATTATAGATTATATCATTGCTGTTTTTCATGTCATCACCAAAAGCGGTGACATATTGTTATGACGATGACTGCTGATGACGTTGCGCCATTCTTACACCTAACACCGAACTGATTTTACCATACTATATGCTTTTTAAAGAAATAAATATTATTTATTATTTGTTGAATTTCTAGCAAAAATTGCCTCCACTTCACTCATTTTGTCAGATTACTGGCAGTGACATTAAAGATACAATTTTTATTTTCTAGGGTGTCTCAAAAATGTACCCAAAGGTATATCAACAGCAAAGATAAATCAATCAATATTTTCAGATATTTTTTGCATGGTCATTTAGGAAAAGCATGTAAGTTTTCTCTCCAATACTAAATTTTTAGTTCAGTCTTGCTTTTTTGATGCTTTTTAACCCTTTTTATACCATGTGTTTAATTTAACCTCCTTACATTTTGATAAGAGCCTGCATCCTTACTGCTACATTGTTTATCATATATGATAATGTTTCTGGTGGAATGTTTTGAATTTCCTTTCACATGTTGATCTCAAGTTGTTCTATGTCTCTAGGCTTGGGATAAGCATAAACATGGTTCTTGAAGTCATCCCAGAGAAAATGTTTGGGGTGTCAAATCTGTTGAATAGGGAGGCCCTCACAATGTCTATATGCAGAGAGAAGAAACTCCTTTCATGGGAATTTTTGTGTGGCAATTGCTGTACATGGAGGGGCTCAAACTGTCTGGAACCACAGTGTTCTCATTTGGATATCATTCAGTCTCCGTAACTCTGGCAGATGGAACTCCATTATCAATTAACCGCTAAATCATTTGACGATAATTGACCTGGTTCTCTGTGATTGTTCTGCCATCTTCAACCTTGGAACTTCTTTCTCTAGGGCTATTTGAAGGAACATGTTAAGCTAATCCCAACCCAAAAGACCTAGAACAACATAAGGCCAACACCCAAAGAGAAATTCAAAACATTCCACCTGAAACATTATCAAATGTGATGAACAATGTAGCACAAGGATACAGGCTGTCATTGAAATATGAAGTAAAAAGTAAAGGGTTAAATCATCAAAAAGGCAAGACTGAACTAAAAACTTTGTATCGGGACGTACATGCTTCAGCAACATGACCATGCAAAAATGTCTGAAAATATTGATTGGTTTAACTGTGCCGTTTATATACTTTTAGGTACATTTTTTGAGACACCTTGTATTATTTATCATACCAACCTATCATAGTTCATAGATACCATTGCATTTTTATATTAAGTGTTAATGAAGCGTAGAAATGAATAGTGAGGGCTTTAACCCGAGAGTTTCTACATCCATATGACACTGATTTAATGTCATCAGTGTGACATTGATATCCGCGTTAAAATCACCTATATGGCATTCATTCATGTTATAACCATCTACAAGTAACATTGATATTCATGTAGCATTACCCATGTCTTGGACCCATATGGCAGTGGTTCAATTGTTCTTATGAGTATCTATTTCAGTGGTGACTTTCATTACAGGGATGCTTTTTATTCTTAATGTTTCCATGATCTTTGTCACATCTCCATGAGTCCATGTTTACCTCACCAGTGTGATTTGACTCCCAAATATGTGTGTGACATTAATCTCCTTGTTAACATCATCTATAGATGTGACTTTGATTCACCCCCTCTCAGCACATCTTATTGTGATGACTTTTGGATAACTGCCCTAACATTCAGGCCTACATGTACATCTATGACTTTTTGATATAATCTGTTATATTGATCAGATCTTCAGAAACCCTTGTCTGAAAATAATTTAAATCCTTACAATGAAATAATAGCTTGTACTGGTCTTCGTTCAGAATTGCAATCTATGCTCCCTAAACAACATACTGTATGCTATTTTCATTCCATATTAAAGCTTCTAAGCTATAAAAAGTGTACATTAAAATAGTTTATTCAACCTCTGTCAATCATACTACGTGATTAACTCCTTTATTTTGCGCTAAAATCTCCTGTTGTTACTGTTCTCAGTTTTGAATGGTATCCATACTCTTTGGGATATACCTGAAATCCATCCATTTGAGACTCATATTTTTTCATAGATTTTTACATATTTCATATTTTGGAAACCCTTTAAACAAGTTCAGATTATAAGTCCTATACCACACATACTTCCATAAGAGTTAGATGTAGGAAACCTATATGTAGATGTAGGAAGGGTTAGTTAAAGTCCTACAAAAATCACTTCTTTCAAAAATATTTTAAAGGGCATTTTTTCTTTGTGGCTATTTCTATCAATACACTTTAATTTCAGGATTACTAGTACTACTACTGAGCTCTTTGTTTGGATTTTGTCATCATTTTTCATTGCATATCAAAGAGGTTATACTACAGTATGTAAAATTAAACTTTTCATTTTGCTTCCCGAAGTACCTACTTTCTGCTTATAGTCCATTTTCAGAAAAGCTATAACATAAACCATTCTAAGGTTGAATCAACAAGGATTTTGAAGGTTAAAAAATTCCCTTAAGTAGTTGGCACATTAGCTGTGTGGGCTCGCCATTTGCCACCGATTGACTTATTTTGGGCATTGTTTTTTATAATTAATTTACTTTTTAATTGATGTGATAGGGATATCTTTCTGTAAAACTGTTTGTTTTGCCCACCCTGTATTCATGCTGGGTACAGCATGTCGGAAAGTATTCACATGGTGGCGAATGATGAGCTACAAGGCCTAAGTGTGACAGCTCCATCAAAGGAATGCATCCTAGAGGGTGTGATGTGACTCCCTTAATAATTGACACATTGGGACATGAGATGGAAATCTTAACATCTAAGTTCTAAGTTGATACTCTATCTGTATTTTGAATATAAAACGGTAATTAAGATTTATTTAGCTTATGTCCAGATATCAACAAAATTTTGTTTTCAGCTTTATCACGTGTTAGAAATCAAATGAAACCAGGAATACTCCTCCATATAAATTTTGTAAATATTGATATGTATATTTGTCAACATATGTCAAAAAAGCATAATTAAAGCATTACTATGTATTCATATGGATCATTGACAGTGTATGGTGAATTATAAAATTGGATTTTCAAATACAGGATCGAGATCACACGATTTTGACCCCTGTGAATGATAGTCAAAATACATATAACATATCCACATACTTACATGTTCAGTTCAATGTAAAAATATGAACAAGTCATGTGCATTTTTACTCAATAAGATTGAAACAACTGTGTTTGTTTCTTTTTTTTCGTTATTGTAATATTTTTTATAATTGTAAAACAATGACGTTCACAGTAGCTGCCCAAAAAGCTGAATAACTGATAATTCTGATACAATTCTGAATCTGTTGTCTCTTGAATGGTGCCTATATCTTCCACTCATCAAATAAACGTCAAAACTATGCACACATTCTGTCATACAGGCTAAGTTCTAATATATATGTTGCTAAACTGGGATATTCTGAACAAAAATTGATTGATGACATCACAATTTATGCAAATTAGCTAATTTTGCGTAATTGAATATTGTAATCATACAGAAAATAAGGTTTAATTTGATACCAATATCATTTCTATAGACCAAATAATGACAAAGCTACAAACATTCTAAACGTCCATGGTAAGATGTCTGAGTATAATTGTCAAATAATGACATTCACAGTAGCTGCCTAGAAAGTTTAATAGCTTTGGTAATACTGATCCAATTTTGAATCTGTTTTCACTTTTATGTTGCTTATACCTTCTTCTTATAGTCTAAAGGACCAAACTTTGCAGAAATTCTGACATACGGCCTCAGTTCTAATAGATACGTTGCTATACTTGAAAATTCTGAATCAAAAATTGATTGATGACGTCACAATTTATGCAAATGAGTTAATTTGCATAATTGAATATCATTACTTTATGGGAAATTTAATTAGGTTTAATTTGATACCAATATCATCTCTATAGACCAAATAATGACAAAGTTACAAATGATTTAAGATTCCAAGGTAAGATGTCAATAGATGCGTAACCATGGTAACGGAATGCTACAATACAGAGCAACCAATGAGAGTTTGCAAGGGCATCCGGCAAAAAAATGAGCCTCAAAGTGTTACCTTTCATAAAAGTATGGATGCCATAAATTAACAGAGACCGATACGTTGGGTAAATTTTTTGAAACGATAGAGAGGCATGGGTTTCTGACTATTTATGATGCAGGTAGGTTAAAAATCCTTAAAACTCCTCATCTTTGTTAAGTAGTGGTGTCAATTAACCGCTTGAGCATTAACCGGGGGTTTTTACCGGTTAAAGTCGGTTAAACGGCGGGAAATTTGAACTGATAATTTCAAATGAAATCTTCATCTTCGATCTTGAAAGTTGAAAAAAATTGGAAAAATTATATATCAGCGTTTATTTTTACGTTCGTAAAGCTTTACTCTATTCTATGTAAGTAAGCGCGGGAAAGCAATGTGGCAGGAATTAAAGTTGCTGATTGGATGTTTGTAAGGAATTATCGGACCTATCACATGTGTGAGTAGCTCACATGAAACTGACGCTTGAAAAACAAACAGATTAAAATGCAAAGTAAGCGCGGGAAAGCAATGTGGCAGGGATTAAAGTTGCTGATTGGATGTTTGTAAGGAGTTATAGGACTTATGACATGTATGAGTAGCTTACGTGAAACTGACACCATAAAACCAAACGGATTAGCATGCAAAATAAGCGCGGGAAATAACAGAATTATATACACGGTCAACTAACCGCCCATAAAAACACAGACCGGTCAAGGCATTATCGGCGGTTAACCAGTTAACCGGTTAATACTTGACACCTCTATTGTTAACCATGCAATTTTTTTAAGCTTTCAGGCTATGATTTTATAAATATATTTTAGGAAGGCAAAGTCCTTAAGTATCATTTAAATCCATAAAACCCCAATGGCATCAACATTTAATACAATTAATATACATGTACATGATGTACAGTACATGTACTGAAAAGAATGTATACAATAATAATTAAAGTGATGAACACACACTCTATATATATCTACCAAATCCATTGGCCATAAAGCATCCAAATGTGAAACACTTAGCAATATAAGTGCCTTTGATAAAACATCCCACTTTGAATGCCTTTGATAAGACATCCCACTTTGAATGCCTTTGATAAAACATCCCACTTTGAATGCCTTTGATAAAACATCCCACTTTGAATGCCTTTGATAAAACATCCCACTTTGAATGCCTTTGATAAAACATCCCACTTTGAATGCCTTTGATTAAACATCCCACTTTGAATGCCTTTGATAAAACATCCCACTTTGAATGCCTTTGATAAAACATCCCACTTTGAATGCCTTTGATAAAACATCCCACTTTGAATGCCTTTGATAAAACATCCCACTTTGAATGCCTTTGATAAAACATCCCACTTTGAATGCCTTTGATAAAACATCCCACTTTGAATGCCTTTGATAAGACATCCCACTTTGAATGCCTTTGATAAAACATCCCACTTTGAATGCCTTTGATAAAACATCCCACTTTGAATGCCTTTGATAAAACATCCCACTTTGAATGCCTTTGATAAAACATCCCACTTTGAATGCCTTTGATAAAACATCCCACTTTGAATGCCTTTGATAAAACATCCCACTTTGAATGCCTTTGATAAAACATCCCACTTTGAATGCCTTTGATAAGACATCCCACTTTGAATGCCTTTGATAAAACATCCCACTTTGAATGCCTTTGATAAAACATCCCACTTTGAATGCCTTTGATAAAACATCCCACTTTGAATGCCTTTGATAAAACATCCCACTTTGAATGCCTTTGATAAAACATCCCACTTTGAATGCCTTTGATAAAACATCCCACTTTGAATGCCTTTGATAAAACATCCCACTTTGAATGCCTTTGATAAAACATCCCACTTTGAATGCCTTTGATAAGACATCCCACTTTGAATGCCTTTGATAAAACATCCCACTTTGAATGCCTTTGATAACACATATTAAGCAAAATGCCATTGACATGACATCCCACTGTGAATGTCTTTTATATGACATCCCACTGTGAATATCTTTTATATGACATCCCACTGTGAATGTCTTTTATATGACATCCCACTGTGAATGTCTTTTATATGACATCCCATCTAAGCTGGGTGTAGCCATGTTCATTGATAGAATATATTGGATTTTCAACACTAATTCGCTGATCTCTATGTTCTTACAGTAGCATGTTTTCATTCATTTTGATATTAATCATATGTATATTCACAATATTTAGTTCCCCTAATTAAAGGACAAGATAACATTATATTCTGTAGAATGGTTTGTGAATATAAAGTATTAATCCCTTTAACTTTGAATCGAAACTATCCCTAATTTTTTTCATCGTATAAGCATTTCTTTCATCAAGTTGATAGTACATGTAGATACAAACAGTATTTTCTGAAAATATCAAAGCTTGAATAGAATTGCTTGTCTGGCTATTGATGTTTAATTCCCTTTCTAAGTACAGTTGGACAACTTTTCAAGCGGTGATATTTCATATCATATTACTAATTATATGGATCACAGGTTGATACAATTTTTAAAATCAATATGTACAGTTTTTTTCATTTTACATTTTACTAAAAATATAACTATATTCTCCAGGATAAATATTCAGACTCAATCTTTGTACATGCATGGCATTTCAGCGCCTGTGTCCTTCACCCAATCTGTTGTACCATCCACCTTATGCTGTTAATCTTATTATTGCCAATCCATATATGGTATTGCAATTTTATATATTGTCTAAGGAGCCCCTAAAACATGTGTTGTGTGTTCTTTCTTTAATTTAGTCAGGGCATCTTCCAGGATTGCCATATCACCTGCAATAATACATGATGAGAAAATCAAATAGGAGGCTTGGCAAATCATGAGCCATCTTATACCATATTCAGTGGCGTAACCAGGATTTTAATAGTAGGTATGCGAGGCCAAAAGCTAAGCAAAACTAGGGGGTCCAGGGCCATGCTCCCCAGAAATTTTATGATTATAGACCTCAATGGTGCGTTCTGAGCGATATAAGACTGTGTCTTGAATAGAAGTAGTCCAAGAAAGACCATGAAACAAAATATTTTGCCTTACTTTTTTATTTTTAACAACAATTTATTTTTTGCTCCATCATTTAGAATACGCAACAGCGTACCCTCGCGTATGCCTGGTTACGCGCCTGATATTATTGCTTATAATGTACGCAACAACCTGGGAAAATACAGTGCAATGCCCTGCACAAAGTATGTAATTTGTACCATCAGGGCATGCTTGAAAGTGAAGGGTCATTGACACAGGGCATGTTTAATTGAAGGAAATGTGTAAAGGAGGGCTATTCTAAGAACAAGTTTTTCTGAACTGTTGAATATGTCAATTGTATAGATATGCAAATCAATAAATGTTCATTAAATTCAGTAAATCATTTCCTAAAGATAGGATATTTTATTACAGATAGAGTATTTTGAAGTTCAGAATGGTGTGAGGAGACTTTAATATTAATTGTGCACAGAATCCCCTGTACTTACACATTCACTGAACATTTGTAGAGTACATGAAAATGATCTTTAATTTGAGTGATTTGAAAAACATATTTTGTTTAATGGAATTTGCTGCTCTGTGGGGTTGGTATTCTCTAATGTTTAAGTTATGATTACCTTTAATGGTCCTTGAGAGACTTAAGATCTGTTCGGTGTTGTCTATAACCTCCACACTTTGAGTGTAAGCATTGTAACGTACAGAGAAAGGCCTGGGAATGGTCTCAGCAAAACTCCTGAAATACATGAGGTTATAAGAATGGGCTGAAGGTAAAAATACTGAATGTACTGTAAGGTTTGTCCATATCCATGATATATTTGTCATCATCCCAAGTTTGATGGAGATACAGTGAAGTCCTCTGTCCGTCAGTCCATCTGTCTGGAGCATAACTCAAACAATGGTGGGCTGATTTTCTTCATATTTATTGGAATATTATTTTATGGCTTAAAAATGACTGTGACATTGAAATATATCTGTTTAACGTACTCCATGATCCATGTTTTTCAGCTCAACAACAGGATGGTGTATGAAGGTTGAAATTGAAATTACCTATTTTTAAATCTGTTTGAAGTATGACTTTATTATACTCAAATGAAAGTTTTTCCAGAGTAAATTGAATTGTTGAATTCATTTTCTGATTTATGCCTCGAAAAATTAAAAGTTAGTCCCCTTATGTGAGAATTCACAATAATCTGGAGATCTCCAAAGTCTGCCTATTATACTGAAATTGAAAGTGTTTTAAATATATCACTGAGACTGAGATTTCACTTATTACTTAATAAGTAACTATTATATCACAAGAATTGTCTAAAATCTAAAAACTTACATTAATTATTAATTTATATTTCAGTCTTATTTTTATTTGAACACAGCTGCTGTATGAATTGTAAGAAGTAAACCCTGGTTTGAGTAATTGAGGCAATACATACCTCATCTTTGCCTGTGCTGAGGTAAAACTCTCAGCTGTGTAGTAAATTGGCTGGTACTCTGTAATGGGGTATTTCTGAAGACCTGTCTTTGGAGGGTCAAATGCACGCTTCTCTGGTTTATCACTGAGGCAATACTGGAATAAAAAAATATTAGACTTTGTTGGGTCATCCTATGAACAATGTTGGACCTTGCTGGGTCATCCTATGAACAATGTTGGACCTTGCTGGGTCAATGAACAATATATCAAGACCATGTTGGGTCACACTATGTACAATATTAGAGCTTATTGGGTCAACCTATGTACAATATTAGACCTTATTGGGATGCACAAACGTCTCAGGAACACAAAGATACTCAAATGATCTTGATTGGTCATCATGATGCGGAGAAATCATAATTTTACTGAGTGGCTCCATGAAAAAATAAACAACATTCTTTGCCCGATAGTTAGATATAAAGCTTACCTGAAGTTCCCCAAATGATGACAACAGTCCAGCGCCATAAGCCTTTAGCTCTTTCCCCTGGCGACACAGGCCAAACTCAACAGTAAACCAATAACACTAAAACAGGAAAAAAGTGATGACTAATATATTGGTCAACATATTTGTGAAGAATATAGTAAAACCTCTCAAATTGAACATTATTTGATGTTACTTAAGGTGTTCCAATTGTTTGTACAGGTTTTACTGTATATAAAAGAGTATATGTGGTAGTTCCCCTCCCCTTCTGATTTACGTGCATTAAATGTACATTTAGTATTCACTTACAGTTGCAAGTCTCTCAATGTATTCATCAGGAGCTCCAAGACTGGCAAGTCCTATCTCCTGCGAGAACTGTGCAAATGCAGGGTCGGCAAACAATGGGACATGACCCAACAGCTCATGGCAAACATCACTGGAATATTCCAGAAGAGCAAATATGTACACTCAAGATATAAATTATAAATGATATACAATGTGGAACCTGTAAAATTGGATGAATGCACAAGATACATGTCTATATTTAAACCAAACCACTAAGGGTGTAGCCAGGCTACAAATTTTGCAGAATTGTATAATTTCAGACGTTTTTCACCTACACTTTTCAGTTCAAATGTAGTAATAGACCTCATTAAGCCTTTTGCCTCGATCACCTGTGCCTCGCCATATTTTTGATATTTGCTGCCTCAGACCATGTGGTTTTAAGAAAAAGAATTCCTGTTGCACGATATAAAATTTGAAGATTGCATACACTGTATCTGTTCTGTTATTTGCCCATTAGTATTTTTGTGAAAGTGTTGCAAGAGTCAGTTGGGTAAGGAGATTCTACCTTAAAAAATATGTGCAACATTAATACTTACGGTTCAGGTGTGTACATGGGTCTAGAACTGTGACGAATGTACTGTGTTGAGTGGAAGACACGGAAAGCCAGTCCAGCCAGAAAGTCACGTGAGGACAGTAATCCTGCAACAGGCCTCAAAGTAAATCCTGTGCAATCTGAAAACAAGGATAAAACAAGGATAAACTTCTCTATACATTCATTATCTCTCAATTGGTGGAAAATATCATTTCAAATATTCTTACATCCTACAATCAGCAGTGTATGATTAAAGTGCTGGTGTCACACCGGAATAGCCTGACAACAGTCAGATACAATTGTCACAAATGGCGGACATAACCGTCGCTTCAATTAGATTTTCATGAACTGTATGTTTAATAGAGCACCTAGACTAAATTCCTTTGGAACAACAATCAATCAAAGTGTTTTAATACTCATTGTACAGTTAATAATGTTCTACCATCGAAATAAAGTCTTTAATTTAATGGGACAACGGACACTGTAATTACCATATGCCGTTGTCTTTCTAAATTACTCAAATTTGATTTTGTTGTCATTGACGATCGATATCGAAGACGATATATTGTGGCGATTCATGACCCAATTTCATCGAAATTGGAATTTCATATGAAACATCATCACAAGAGCTTAATACATGCACAGAATTTACCGTTGTCAGGCTATTCCGGTGTGGGTGTATGAATTTGGATTTAAACAAGAACACAAGTCTATTCTATTGAAACTGCTATACTCGTAAATGCCAAATGTTTCATTAATTTGTAGACATTCTATAACCCTCTCATTTTTAACCTCTTGAATCCCAGGTTCTAAAATAGGTTGAAACCAGATAATATTTTCATTTTTGCCAACTTTTGACATTTTACTACATACATATACTCAGACGATGTTCAATTTAGTAAAATTAGACGGCAGAGATCATTTCTAGACATTTTAAAAACAATTTTTGTGTAAATTGGATAAAATTGTTCCAATAAGAGCAATTTTAGTGAAAAATTTTGTGACTGATTATCTCGCCACTCTGGGTTTCATGGTCATTTCTGAGGTGACGAGAAATCTTGTCACTCTGGGTAGTCAAAAGGTTAACAGTGGGTCAATTTGCAGTATTGTCTTCACAAAATCCATGATAAATAAAATTAAATAATGAATTAAGTGATATGATAATACATAGGTGAACGTATACAAAAAGTGTATGGCATGTAAGTGTGTATGATGGTATCAGGTAACATTATTACTGCATACTTTTTTCATACACACCCTACACATATTGTAATAAAAATTACCTTTGAGGAAGTCTGAGACATCCTGTAGATGAGGGATGTGGTCTTCAGTGTAGCCACAATTCTCTATGAGAAGTGGGAAAATATGGTTAAACTCGCGACATGCATGGGTTGGGTAAAGTTTTGTCAGTTCCCTAAAGATAGTGCCCCTGAAATCGAAATTTAAAACTTTTATGTTTGATTACTGGTATTCAATCGCCATCTCCGATTGATGAACTGAAAGTGGGAGTTAATGATGAAGGATGGATTTTAAGAAAAAAAATAATAATGTAGGTAGGAATACTGTTAACGAAAAATGTACACCTAAATTTTCAAAAAGTCATCAAAAACAGCTACCATTTTCAAGTTTGGCACCATTTTTAAAATCTTGAAAATTCCTTGCAAGTTTAAGATCAATTCCCATAAGGCATTAGCCATATATAGGGTGTACCCAAAAGTATACCATGGGCATAGGGCTATATTTTGAGTTGGTACACACACACAGGGATGCCTGATTGCGTGGCTGAAGGCCGCGCATCACGGGGGGTCTGGGGGTATGTTCCCCCACGAAATTGTTTTTCATGGATGTTATTTGATGGGTTCTAAGCGTTTTTATCAACTTTAAATGTTGACAATGGTAAACATACAGATACGATAGGAAGCATCAATAAATTTGCAAATAAATTAATGCATTTTAACACATTTTTAATTGTTTTCAAATTCATTTGGTACGCCTGTGCGTATTTTGCGTAATAGGCGCTACGCCCATGTATACCAACGGCAAAGATAAACCAATCAATATTTTCAGATATTTTTTGCATGGTCATTTAGGCAAACCAAGTTTTCTTCCCAATACAAAATTTTTAGTTCAGTCTTGCCTTTTTAATGCTTTAACCCTTTTATACTACATGTTCAATGTAACCTACATGTTCAATGTTTTTGGTGGAATGTTTTGAATTTCTCTTCGGATGTTGGACATATTAGTTATTGGCTTCTTGGCTTGGGATTAGCATAAACATGGTTCTTCAATTTACCCCAGAGAAAAGCCTTGGGTGTCAAATCTGTTGAATAGGGAGGCCCTCACAATGTCTTTATACAGAGGGATCAGACGTTGAAGAAACCGGTTTCATGGGAATTCTAGCTTGGCCCGTGTGTGAAGGGATTCAATCTTTTTGAAACCACTGTGTTCTCATTTGGACATCATTCTGTCTCCGTAACTCTGGAAGGTGGAACTCTATTATCGACTCTTAAACCATTTGACTCTTAAACCATTTCCCGTAATTGTTCTGCCATCTTCATTGTCAAACTTCTTTCTCTAGCGCTATTTGAGCATTTTTAAGCTAATGCCAAGCCAAAAGACCTAGAACAACGTAAGGCCAACATCCAAAGAGAAATTCAAAACATTCCACCTGAAATATTATCAAATATGATGAACAATCTAGCATGAGGATACAGACTGTCATCGAAATATGAAATAAAAAAAGTAAAGGGTTAAACCATCAAAAAGGCAAGTACTGAACTAAAAACTGTGTATTGGGTAGAAAACTTACATGCTTCAGCAACATGACCATGCACAAAATGTCTGAAAATATTGATTGGTTTATCTGTGCTGTTGATATATTTTTGAGTACATTTTTGAAACACCATGTAACTGGACACAGGAATGGACAAATGAACAAAAACATGACTTCTCTGGATTCCTAATCAAATTTCATTCACTGTGAAAATCAGAAAATCATAATTAAAATGTTTTCACTCACCATGTTTTGACTTCCTCCTCTGAATATTCTGGGTTGGGAATCTTTTCTCCACTACAACAGAAAATATTAATTATTAATGTCATTTCACAAAGATAGCAGTGCAATGAAATGATAAATTAACATGAAATGAAGCAGCTGATATAATGTTTGAATTGAAAACTACATTTATAATGCATAATGTTTATTGGGTATTGTTGCTATCTAATATTATTTCATACTTACTGTTTGTAGTTGAATGCAATGTCCGCAAACTGCTTTCTCCTTGCCCTATACACTGGATCAGTGAAGCCCTGAAGTTAAACAGTAATGCATACAAATTATCATACATACATATTACCCTAACGAACAAAGTTCAGTAGGGATATAGTGAAGCCTTCCATCCGTCAGTCCGTTTGTCAGTCCATCTGGTCCATACTAGTCAACAGATTTTTTCATATTTGGTGGAAAGATGTGTATGTGGTCAATAGTTTTATGCAAAACTTTTTTTCAAGATGGCCGTCGCTTTAACATTGGCCAAATTTTTCACAAAAGTAATAAATATCATTATTTGAAATGTTGGCAGTACAGGGTGTTCCAAAAGTAACAGGATTGAAGCTGTCATTTTGTTCAATATCCACTAATTCTCTTCAAAATTTTACATAATGTAGTTTCATGCATTGTTACTAAAACTGCAGTTTCCACAAAAATTATAAAACTCGGGTAGAGTTGATTGCTATGGTGACATGACATCACAACAAGTGGTTAGAATCTAGCTCTGCATGTCAACACCTACAGGGTGGTTAGAATCTAGCACTACATGTCAACACCTACAGGGTGGTTAGAATCTGTCTCTGCATGTTAACACCTACATGGTGGTTAGAGTCTAGCACTACATGTCAACACCTACAGGGTGGTAAAAGTCTAGCACTACATGTCAACACCTACAAGGTGGTTAAAGTCTAGCACTACATGTCAACACCTACAGGGTGGTAAAAGTCTAGCACTACATGTCAACACCTACAAGGTGGTTAAAGTATAGCACTACATGTCAACACCTACAGGGTGGTTAGAGTCTAGCACTACATGTCAACACCTACAGGGTGGTTAGAGTCTAGCACTACATGCCAACAGATACAGGTGGTTAGAGTCTAGCACTACATGTCAACACCTACAGGGTGGTTAGAGTCTAGCACTACATGTCAACACCTACAAGGTGGTTAAAGTCTAGCACTACATGTCAACACCTACAGGGTTGTAAAAGTCTAGCACTACATGTCAACACCTACAAGGTGGTTAAAGTATAGCACTACATGTCAACACCTACAGGGTGGTTAGAGTCTAGCACTACATGCCAACACATATAGGTGGTTAGAGTCTAGCACTACATGTCAACACCTACAGGGTGGTTAGAGTCTAGCACTACATGCCAACACATACAGGGTGGTTAGAGTCTAGCACTACATGTCAACACCTACAGGGTGGTAAAAGTCTAGCACTACATGTCAACACCTACAGGGTGGTTAGAGTCTAGCACTACATGTCAACACCTACAGGGTGGTAAAAGTCTAGCACTACATGTCAACACCTACAAGGTGGTTAAAGTCTAGCACTACATGTCAACACCTACAGGGTGGTTAGAGTCTAGCACTACATGTCAACACCTACAGGGTGGTTAGAGTCTAGCACTACATGTCAACACCTACAGGGTGGTTAGAGTCTAGCACTACATGCCAACACATACAGAGTGGTTAGAGTCTAGCACTACATGCCAACACCTACAGAGTGGTTAGTTTAGCTCTACATGGCAATACATACAGAGTGGTTAGAGTCTAGCACTACATGTCAACACCTACAGGGTGGTTAGAGTCTAGCACTACATGCCAACACATACAGAGTGGTTAGAGTCTAGCACTACATGTCAACACCTACAGGGTGGTTAGAGTCTAGCACTACATGCCAACACATACAGAGTGGTTAGAGTCTAGCACTACATGCCAACACATACAGAGTGGTTAGAGTCTAGCACTACATGTCAACACCTACAGGGTGGTTAGAGTCTAGCACTACATGCCAACACCTACAGAGTGGTTAGAGTCTAGCACTACATGCCAACACATACAGAGTTGTTAGAGTCTAGCACTACATGCCAACACCTACAGAGTGGTTAGAGTTTAGCTCTACATGGCAATACATACAGAGTGGTTAGAGTCTAGCACTACATGCCAACACCTACAGAGTGGTTAGAGTCTAGCACTACATGCCAACACATACAGAGTGGTTAGAGTCTAGCACTACATGCCAACACCTACAGAGTGGTTAGAGTCTGGCACTACATGCCAACACCTACAGAGTGGTTAGAGTCTAGCTCTACATGACAATACAGGGGGTTCAAGGTCTACATCTACATATGTTACCTCAGCTAGGGTGGTAATAGTCTCTGCACATAAACACTTACTGGGTGGTCAGCGTCTAGGTCTGCTCCATATCCCAGGATCCTATTGGCAAATCTGTCCAAATCTGCGATTTTATGAGGGAACCATGGCACTGAAAAAACATTATAAACTTTGTTTCTTTTGATACAAATACAAATATGATTCAAAAGTCAAGCCTGCTAGTTGAAGATCTTTTACATACTGAGTAGATTAAAGAAAGAGTTGAAATTCAGTTTATATTACACCCTATGTACACAAATCACTCAAAATTACATGACAACTAGTAGTGTAAAAAAATATGTTGAAATTCAAAAGGTCAGTACAAGGGTATTTGTTTTCTTGGTTTGTGTCAGCTTATTTCATCCAACCAAATGTGCTCTATAATTAGATGTTAAATTAGCAGAAGGAACCTGTAGCCACTTGCAAAGAACCATCTCTGAAGATCTACTTCAAGGTAATAAAGTAACATCATACTTACTGTATGTCCAATCATAAGTTTAAATAATAGGTGTGTTTCAAATATTAACTGTATGACAATATATGCAATCAATGTTAATTTCACCAGGGGGATTTGGACCTGCAGCCTTTACTATTTATACATATTTTTCTGCTCGATATGAGAGGTATATTTCTTAGTTTTCTACAAATCTACAAATATTTCGTTACAGTTTTATCTTTACATCGTAATTTCAATCATGCCATCATTTTTCAAACGAGTTACCTTGAAATATCAGAACGTCATGCTATTCTCAAAGTAGAACTTAATGTGACTGTCATTCACCATTTGTTAAGCAGTAAAAAATGATTAGCAACTGTACATTGGTGACAAAATGTTTCTAGTTTCCTGTTGAATGTCGAGTCTTTCATCATACAAATGTAATTTAAGGCGATCTGTCTGCATGGGGTGATCTATGATGTTTTTTAAGAAACAATGAAGTTTTTTTGCCATAATACACCAAACTTACTGAAGAAACATTTGGCATCACTGAAGAAATATTTGCCATTACTGAAGCAACATTCGCCATTACTGAAGAAACATTTACCATTACTGAAGAAACATTTGCCATTACTGAAGAAACATTCGCCATTACTGAAGAAACATTTGCCATTACTGAAGAAACATTCACCGTTACTGAAGAACATTTGCCCTTTTTACTGAAATATGTTTTGTCATACAGTAAAACCTGTGAACAGGGAATGCTCCTCGGACTGAAGGAAATTTTTCTTGTACAGAGGTTTTCCCTATAGAGAGGGACCACACTTTCAGTAAACTCAAATTTGCAGAATAAGCATATTTGTATCGTATATGGGCATATAAGGACTGAATTTCCAGTTTCATCAACCCCATTTTATATCATTGATTAGATGTAATTAGGTTTGTTGAAAGGAAGAATTAGTGTCACGATAATAAGTAACAAACAGATTAATATTAGTTTTGAAATATATCAGGGTAATTATAACAGTGGGTGGGATGCTACATCCTGTAAACAATTGGCTTATCTTAATCTCGATCATATTAATCCAAGCTTTTTAGAGAGGGTCTGTTAGCATGTAAGTCAATGGAAAAATATTTGGTATTGGTATTTATGAAATTCATTTCACCAAACCAAGGTTGGATTGAACAAATTAAATATCCCTGCAATGTTTCATCACAACTTGTATTTCTATCACTTTTACACAAAATGTGAAACACATGGCAGATTTGATTTATTAATTGGTAGTGAAGGGCAAATAAATTAGACCTTTGCCTGAGGAATAAATCTGACACCACTAAGTCATCAAACTTGGCCATCAATAATATTACTCTATACGCTATATGTGTATGACACAGCTTTAGAAATTGCTAATGCTGTAGATGCAACTAGGATCAGTGTCAGCGGTGGCTTAATTTCAGAGTTCAAGTTCAAAAAGTTTGAATATTTGACTGTCTCATAAAATATATGTTCCAATCAGGTATGCTTTTCACAGACCCAAAAGTGGTCTTTTAATTTACAAGGACTTATTCCTATGTACATTTCAACTTTCCACCTGTTCACAGATCTGTGGGGTAGTTTGGCAATCAAATGTCAACTGAACTAAGGTTCATTCATAAACATTGTGTACAATAAAAGGTCATTGTGTACAATAAAGGGCCATTGTGTACAATAAAGAGCATTCAATAAACAAATGATTAATATTGACCTATAATAGAAAGTGATAGGTTGTCAAATAAACTGCTTGTTGATTTCAAATATTATGTCAAAAGTATAAGGCTCATAGTTATATTATGAAAATTTAGGCTGTACCTGTAGATAATACAGTATAGGCTCCTCTAGATTAGGATTTAGAATATTAGAAATAATCACCCGTGCTTAAACTGTGTTAATCACAATGATGATCATGGAATGGATGATTAATGTCTTAATGCTTAATTTGTTTTCACTCAATTTCACTCATTTTTCACAATTCTGTAATTTAGATGTGTACTCATTTGTTGAGCTGCTGACTTAAATAATACTCATCTTCACTACTAAAGCAACAACTCATTTTTACTACTAAACCAATCAACAAAAATGTCCCCGTTATGACTATATCGTAGATATCCTCACCTGTTTCACAGAGAGAATCTGTACGTTTGGCATTGCGTGAAAGAACTTGTAAATCCTCTGTCTTTGCCCTCAAAGTGTCAATAGCCTGCTTTAACCCCCCTGAAACAAAAATACAAATCATGCTTTTTATAATATATTGCTAAGAAGCAAAGAGGTTATTAATTGCCATGGCTCAGACTTGAAATCATTGAGACAATATCATGCAGGTTTTGAAAAAAATTAATCTGTTTGCTAAATGTGTATTTGTTACCTTTTGTATTGTCACAGTTGACAAAGAATTCATAACCTTCTTGGTCTTTCTTGGAGGGACGGGATTCAATATGTATCAAGTTGACACCATATTCCTGAAAAAGTGAGACATCTAGATGACAGAGATCTAACTGAACATGACCTTTTGTATTCTATGTTCTGATGTTTCTAATCTTAAGGACTCAAAAGTTCAATTTGAAATTTTGAATCAAAATGGGCAATTTGAAAAAGAAAGTTTAACCTTTTAAAGGTTACTCAGTGGAATTAACCCTTGTATCTCAAATATACAGAATAATTTTATATGTACATTATATACATCAATCAATTATATATATTGCATATATGTATATATTTATATTGACCCTAAAAGTTTGAGGAAAATATGCAATACATTTGATGGTGTCCTTACAGTGTGCATGCATCCAGGTTGCTCACATACAAGAAAAGAAAACGACATGATAGAGGCGACATATTGGATTTAGACTAAGTTAACACTATAAATAAGTATTTGCAACTATTTAAATGCAGAATCAGATCTATGGGGGTGACAAAATTACAAGCAACACATACAATTGACCTACCAATCTATTCTTTACAATCTCAAATACAATATGTCCCGAAAGATTCATGATAATTGTTATAATGGATTCAAAGTGCAAAAATGGGTGAAAATGTTTAAATTCTCCCAAATAATAAGAATGGTAACCATTCTTATAGAAAATAATTGTAAAAATCTTTAGTTTTCCTGAAATAAAGTGTGCACTTTGGGGATTTTTAGAAAATAGACATGAAAAGGAATGACATAACCCAGAAAATTCTAAAATTTAAACTATTTTTTTTAGACTGCTCGCTAGATCTGCTTCTCTCTTAAAGCTATAATAACAGTTATTATACATACTGTAATTTTAAAACAAGGCATTAACATGACAAAATGTCACCACCTAGTTGCTCACAATATTATGAGTTCAATCTTAGTCAGATTTGAATTTCTTAGACCTTGTAGATGATTTTGAAAAAATAAATTGGTCAATTTGAAGCAAGTTGTAAAAGGACCTTTTTTGACCCTGAGAAGGTCATTGAAGGTGGAATCTCAAATCTTAAGTCAGATTTGAACTTCTGAGAACTTGTAGATGATTTTGAAAAAAAATTGGTCAATTGGAAGCAAGATGAAAAAAGACCTTTTTGACCTTGAGAATGTCATAAAAGGTCAAATCTTTTTTGACCTTGTGAATGCCATTGAAGGTCAAATCTATAGTCAGATTTAAACTTCTGATAACTTGTAGATGATTTTGAAAAAAATTGGTCAATTTGAATTAGCACAATGAAGAAAAACCTTTTTGACCTTTTTTGACCTTGAGAAGGTCATTGAAGGTCAAATCTCAAATCTTAAGTCAGATTTGAACTTCTGATAACTTGCAGATGATTGGAAAAAAAGAATTGGTCAATTTGAAGTAAGTTGAAAAAATACCTTTTTGACCTTTTTTGACCTTGAAAAGGTCATTAAAGGTCAAATCTTAAATATAAAGTCAGATTTGAACTTCTGCAAACATGTAGATGATTTCGAAAAAAATGAAGTCAGTCTAAACAGTATTTGTTAAGTGATTGGAAGTTGTAAGAATTTGTTAAAGACGCCGATCGCCAACCACCAACCATCAAAAAACAACAACAATCATCCTATTTATAGGTTCAGGTTATTTAATCATTGCCAAAGGATAATCGCAATATTGTGGTCAACTATGGGATGATTCTGTTTATCCTTTAATATTTGTTATTTATATATTCACAAAGTAGTTTAACATTTTCTTCGAGTATCTGGACATTTTCAGGTGATATTTGAAATTCTCCTTCATAAAAAGAGCTGCTTGTAATAACATTATTTTTCTTTATTCCAATTTTTGATTTTCCTGTGGCGTTGATACAAATAAGTATATGTACAACTATTTTTAATTAAAACCCAATAATTCAGTTCAGGGATTGATCAATTTGTAATTGCGTTTAAATCATTATTGATTTTTGTAAATATGTGTATGCTGTAATAAAACATAACATAACATACTTTATTAGGCTGTTAGTTATCCACTGGTAAAATATGGAATATGACAGCATTTTTATTTCAATAAACATATACAATAAACATATGAGTCTACCAAGGACCTCAACATACACACGTACATGAAACAACTGTAAAAAAGGATTTTCATTTTTCAATCATTTTAATTTACAACCAACCAATCAATGTGAAGCGCAGGGGAAAAGTTCATGTTGAGAAGCAACTTGACATTGCAACCGTCAGTAAAAAATGTTTTTGCATCGATTTGCCTTTTAGCAATTTCTCATATGTGCCATTTATAGACACAACCCTTGATTGAACTCTTACGGCATCAATAAATCAATAGAAGTCAAGTACATTGAACTTTTTCATGGCCAGGTAGACTACTATTCAAATATTTACCAACTGCTTACTATTATTAGGGGAAATACGACTTAATAAAAAGAGACAAATCTTTAATCCCAAACCACATCAATTATGTCTCTAGATCTTGTTAACATTAATCCGTGGTTTTGGTTGAATAAGAAGTGCTTACTTCAAATATGCGCAGGGCTTTAGCAAGTGCCCCAACCTCTTCATGTGTAGAGAAGACAAGGCTTGTAGATCCTTCAGTATCTTTCTCTGGCTGCAGGTAACCTGGATGGTTCCCCGATGTCTGAAACACAAATAATAGATTTTAGTATTCCCATGGGTGATCTACTCAAATGTTTGCAATGTATCTCTATTTAACCAAACTCTCTTCAATTCAAAAACTTGAAAAAGAAATACAATTTACATTCAAGAAAGTTAAGAATTTTAATGCTAACTTAAGTTGTTATCTGGAAGAGGTATTAATAAGCTTAACCACTCTTTCACTGATACCTATTATATATGTTAAAAATATTGATCACAATATAACACCCAGGGGTTCAATAGAAAATAAAATGATTGAAATACATTAGTTTTAAATTTAACAAGAAAACATATTTCCTTTCTCCAATGCAAAAGTTACTAGATATAGTATATGTTTTCAAACAGGGTAAGATGAATGGTGTAATCACCCTTATGTATGTTTGTAAAACCATTTTGAGGGTGGAGACACAAGTTAGACAGACAAGTAATATACTACAGTTTGGATTATGATTTGGGATGGTTTGGGTTTGTTTTCCTTATGACCAATGTACTCTTAGATGTATTCTTTTTGGAAAAATCTACATTTCCTTCTGGCTAAAATAGCTACATTAACCTGCTTTATGGACATTAAGAACAAGTGTTGAAGTATATGTTGAAGCACAAAACTATTTTTTTCTTCTTTTCTCAAAAACCATATGTTTGATGAGAAAACAATAAATTAATTTTGGAAATATTAGCTTTAAATGTATTTCATAAGTTATGACTGACAAAAACATAAAAATGTTGTTTGGAAATTAGTAGATGAAGTGAATGCGAAAAGAACAAAACAAATTCTCAGAAGATTTCCCCGGCGGGATGATATCAGAATCAGCGGGATGATATCAATGATATCAAACCTGATATCCAACTAATTCTGATATCATCCCTATCCCAAATATGTGATTTATCACTTGGTATATCGATATATCTGATATTGCTCTGATCATGGTATGAATGGTAATATCATAAAAATGAGTTACATGTACATTATACACTGTGTTAAACTTTTCACCCAGTATGTGACAATGCATGATGAATGATTTATTTGATCAGTTTAACAAACAACTACTGAATGAACCAGATCAAGGTTAGCAACTAATAGTTCAATGCGACCATGAAATAATAGTTAATCTTCAATAATGCACGTAGTCCCTTAAACTTTTTTTCTTAATATTCTTTCAAACTTTATTCCAGGCAAACTAAACATTTGAAAATCAATTTAATGTATCCAATTTTCTATATTCTTTTTCTATTTTCTATATATCAATATTCCTTATTTGGGAGAATTTATACAATTGTGCAGTTCACCATTAAAGATATCACACATTGTTAAGTAGATAATATAATGTATTTGAGATTGGCAATTATACATTGGTATCAGTTAATTATATATTATGTCACCCCTTGTATATCTTTGTTGTATAAAAAAGCTATACAATAGGAATTAGGCATCTTTCTGCTAATAGTTTGTGATATTGGAATTGTTGATGAAGCCACACATTTTACCTGCATAACATAAAGCATAGGCCTTATCATAAGTCTGAACATAAGTGGCAATTCATTTCTACCAGATAAAGGATGATTACACAATATAGAACAGATCCAATGATAGGATAGACTTGATAAGATAACATCCCAACCAAGCTCAGCTAAGATTATGCCAATCAAATATGGGTTTATGCCAATCAAATATGGGTTTATGTTATCAGAAAGATTACCACAGACTTATGATATTGAGTATGCAATAGAAATCTGCCTACAATTTGTATTATAATTGGATCAGAAGATTAAAAGTCTGAGGTTTTATGTAATCATACAGTAGAAATTGCATTCACAACCAAGGAATTCTATGAGCTTGGAATCAGAATACATTTAAGGCCACTACAATATATTTCTCAATTTTGGGAGACAGTGGTTTTTCATTTCTACTGATTTTATCTACTCTCCCATGGAGTTCTGTCTTTGAAGAATTCTGGATACAACAAGGGTATTATTGCACAATAATAAAACTCATCTTAGAAATGGTCTTAGTGTTTGAATGTTACAATCAAATATCAAAAGCTGCCAACTCTTAGGGTATGGAATTAATTTAACAAAAATTCCATAGTCATATTATGCAATTCACTTCATTGTTCCTGAGGAACTCAAGTTATGTTAACATTAATGAACTATTAACAACCAAAACAATTACAAATACCCTGGCAACAACAAAATTGAGCACTGCATTTACGAGAGGGCCATTTGCAAAAATCTTAACATAATTTGCAGTAGCACTACTGCTAAAGAGAGAATCAGATCTAGCGAGCAGGCCAACAAAAAATTTGTTTCAATTTTAGAATATTTCTGGCTCATGTCATCAATTGTCATGTCTATTTTCTAAAAATCACCAAAGTGCACACTTTATCTCAGGAAAACATTTTTACATTAATGTATTATTAAACATTATTCACCCATTTTTGCACTTTGAATCCATGATAACTTCATCAATTTATTACATATCGTGAATCTGTTGTGAGATATTGTATTTGAGATTGTAAGGAATAGATTGGTAGGTCAATTGTACATGTTGCTTTTATTTTTGTCACCCCTATAGATCTGATTCTGCCTTTAAGTTCTAACATTATATGCATTCAATAAAATCCAAACAACGCTACAAATATTGATTCTGCAGTATTTGGCTTTCCAATAACTAGAACCCGTCTCAATGACCTAAATATGACCTGGCCTTTTGAATGATCTCATTTATTAAAGTGGTAGCAAAGAAGAAATGTTTTCAATGTTCTCTCACAATCCTTTTAATATTAATTTTATTCCATTCAATTTTATTAACTTTAAAAAAGAAATGAGATATCCAATCAAATATGGAAGTTAAACTGAATAACAGATTTGAAGGTATCATCTGAATTGAAAAATAGAACTGTTGCTATTTTCAAATTCTTTATTTTAGAGGATGGATTATCATGAAATAAAATGCCACAGAATGTTGTGCAATTGAAAAATAAAGTTAAATTTTTGAAAGTTACATATACTCCTTCTCTTATCTCTATACTATATAGTATTGTGCCTTTAAAATTGACTCTCTCTTACTTAGTAATACACTGTACATATAGATAGTCATATTACAAAATATGTCATCAGAATTCAAGAATCAAGTATATATATATGTTCATGAGGGTTCTCTTAAAACCCCATGGGGTATTATAGGGCAGGATATGATGAAATATTTGATGAACTATAGTACATGGGAAAATTAGGTTTATTTCCCACATGTTCAAACACTGTACTTCATTACATATATGCACTTTATGAACTAGATTTATTAAACTCCAGGGCACCTTACTATAGTCATAATTAATCAAACTTTCAATTACTTCTTATTAATATGTTTAACTTTCATTTAAAGGTTATTTACTACTGGCCCAGCTTGACATTATCAAAAGGAAAAATATGTTTGTTGAAACTTAACATTTTCTTAGTTTTATCATACTTACATTGAATATAAAAATGCACATGTATATGCAAATAGCTGAAAGAAATATGTTCTCATACCCAATAATTGGTCAGCTAATCCTTGTTTGGTAGTAAATATATGAAATGAAAACAGAAACCAGCTACCATAAGAATGAATTGCCAATCAGATTGGAATTATATATAAGTTTATTTAATAGTACTTATATAGCCTAAATCGAACTTTAACAAGTTGCTATTACTGACACTGGGGTTGGCACAATTATTTGAGACACTCAATTGTCATTAACACACAAATATTGGTACTTTTGACTGAAACATATTTGCCTGCTTTAGGTTGCGGTGTTAGTTAACAGAAAATGACAAAACAAAAAATGCCAAAACCATGCTGGATTTTTAAAAAATTTTGTACCAAGATAACAGAGTTCTGTTCTGACCTCCAGTAAGTTTAACTAGTTCCACATATCATTTACATGACCAGGAACACAATGGAAATGGTCAAAATGACCCTAAACATGATGAAATACCCTTTTCAGCCCTCTGAAAATGTGATTGAAAAATAGCTAAAATTAGGTACTCAGGAAAGGTCACTGAACAGAATCTTTTGATTTTTTAATGAAATGTGCCCAATATATACTAAATGAAAAACTTTAGAAAATTTGATATCATTCTTAGAAAAAGAAAAAAAATGAAAAAAAACTGAATTGAAAATCGATCTATTTTCCAAGTACAGTAATTATTGTTTCAGACAATTTTTTTAAAATTTCAGATTTCAAGGTTTCTTTACCATGGAAGTTAATGAGAGGAAAAATGGGACTGAAAAGTGTTGGCCAAGTTTTCAGCTATACATGGGAAATGGTCCAAATTATATCACAAGGTCCTAATTATTACACAATTGTCCTAAATAGCTGAAACCATTCTGATACTCATAGCATCTTTCTGTTTCACCTGAAACATGCGATCAACACCATTTCTCCAAATCTTAGTGATTTATCCGTATATTTACAAATATCTCTTAATTTTTTTTGTTTACTTCGCTTTTGTCATAGATGTGTATGCGCAAGAAGTGAAACTCGTCTGACAAAGTTTTACCCCTAGTCTATATCCTATAGACTGAATTTCCTGAGAATATTTTCATTCCAAATTTCAAAAAATTTCAGACTAGAGGATAAAGTCTAGTTTTACCCCCTCCAAATAAAGACAGAAAAGCAAGAGAATCCTGAATAATGTATATTGTGTTGATATTTCCATGTAAAGTAAGGTTTAACTGTACATGTATACAGAACAGTCCATAACTCTTTTAGTCCTATTCTAAATGCTCCATCTGCTGCTCTTTGAATAAACTTGAAATGCATATTTGGAAAAGAGAATCATCACAGAGGGCATGGGCGTAGCCAGGGGGGTGCGATGGGTGCGATCGCACCCTCCCCCATAACCTTTGAAAATATGACCATTGGATAGAGGAAGAACAGAGCTTTAAAATGCTTTTTATTTGAAGCTTCTAGCTCAATTTTGAAGGAAGTTGCATCAATTTTTGTAAAATTCAAAAGAAATCTTAATTTTTTGTGTTGCTTATGCCAAAATCGCACCCCCCCTGACCGAAAACTGAAATTTTTTCGGCGATCGCACGCACCCCCCCCCCCTGACTGAAAGCTGGCTACGCCCCTGGAGGGTGTGAGTTGGAACAAATGTCTCAAAAGCCAAACAATGTTTGTCAAGCATTTTCCATCTCATTGATCATCACAGTGACACTGCAGACTGTGCCTTTAAATTTTCAAAATGTAAACAAGAGCACACGCTAAACATATTGCAACTTATTGGAATAAATCTATTATTTCATTCAAATCTACGTAGTCTGAATCATAGAATACATGTTTATGCATATCATTGCAAATCATGACATCAATCAAATAACTATAAAGGTCTTACCGAGGTTCCGTTTTCCAAGCGTGGCTTCTTGCTCCTGAATTCAGCATCCATCATTGCGCGAAATGAAACTTAAATAATGGGAGTGGTTATTTCTCGACTTTTCATTGGATAAGAACCTGTCATTTTGCCCTTCAAATATCCAATTATAACCTTGAACCTGATATGAAAATAGTTCAAATTACTCCGAACTGAAATTTATGTTACTTTGAATTTCAAGAGATACCAATGAGAGGAAAAATGTTAATCAATTATGCACATTCCCGGGAATTTCTGCGCTAGACGAAACAAATTCGATCTTTAAAATGGAGGTATATACAACACAGTCTGATTATTTTCTAGAATATTGTAAAAAGATGTAAAAGCTCGATAATTGTAATTTGCTTTTTTGTTTTCACTATCTCAATCTCGTATGAGAAAGTTATGTTCATAATTCCAGATAAATTTACTTGTCTCTTTTAGTTTTGATCAATGCTACATCTGGACTGTGTACATCAACCATTTTCAGCATGGTGAGTTTGCATTTTTGCCGGTTATTTTTGTGAATGTTTGATCCTTTGCTCATGTGTTTCATTAGGTCTTGGACTTATCTTCGAAAGGGTGTAAAAATTGCACATGAAAAAATGCATCGGCAGTTTTTCTTCCAACCTTGACTGCTTGAGATCTAAATTTGCATTTTATATTTTGAATGATTGTGTGTTGTGTTTTTTCCATTTTTGTGTGTAGAAAATTAAAATTTTTGTCATGTCAGGCCTTGCGCTTAACTTTTTTTTATCAGGTAGTTGTTTCACTAATGAGTGAATTTTCCAGGTAGGTATTTGAGAGAAGCAAGTAGTAATGATTTTGGTGAGAGTGATCTTTATTCTTATGACTTACCAGCGAAATAATTAGATATTACACTGTATAACATACTTAAGGTCTCATGGAAGTTTAACAGGAAATGACAAAACAAAAAATGACAAAGTCATGCTGGATTTTGAAATTTTTTTGAACCAAGATAACAGAGTTCTGTTTGGACCTCCAGTCAGTTTAACTAGTTCCACATATCATTTACATGACCGGGAACACAATTGAAATGGTCAGAATGACCATAAACATGATAGAATAACCTTTTCAGCCCTCTGAAAATGTGACTAAAAAATAGCTAAGAGTCTGTGCTCAGGAAAGGTCACTGAACAGAATCTTTTGACTTTTTCAGAAAATGTGCCCAATATATTGCTCTAAATGATACAATTTAAACAAATTTGATATCATTCTTAGAAAAAGAAAAAATTAAAAAAAACTGAATTGAAAATCGATCTATTTTCCTTTTTACAACAGCCATTATTGTTTCAGACAATTTTTTTAAATTTCAAAGATTGTGTCATTTAGAGCAATATATTGGACACATTTTCTGAAAAAATCAAAAGATTCTGTTGATTGACCTTTCCTGAGCACCTACTTTTAGCTATTTTTCAGTCACATTTTCAGAGGGCTGAAAAGGTTATTTTATCATGTTTATGGTCATTCTGACCATTTCAATTGTGTTCCCAGTCATGTAAATGATATGTGGAACTAGTTAAACTGACTGGAGGTCCAAACAGAACTCTGTTATCTTGGTTCAAAACATTTTCAAAATCCAGCATGGCTTTGTCATTTTTTTTTTGTCATTTCCTGTCAACTTCCATGAGACCTTAACCGGATATTACTATGATTCACTGTGATGATTTGCATATTATCGCCTCCTACGACCCCTTTAGATTGTGGTCGTACGCGCGTATAATTGGTCAGTCAATGTTTTTACAAAGTTGGAGAAAATACTACGCATTGCACACCTAAATGACCTACCTCGATACATTCCTTAGTATTTTAGAATTCTTTTTATGTTGTTAGGTCGCCAATTGTATGGGTTTATCGGCAGAACGAAGAGATTTTAGTTTTTACATCGGAAATATATCAGCAATTTTCAAAATGTCGGAAGGGGAATTCCCCAGGGATTTCTCTTATGACTGGTGCATGCCGGGAACTGAATGGAGGAATTTGACGGTTGAAATATTTAGTTAAATATTACACGCAAATATTGCTATCAAAAACGAAAACGAATGCAAAGGGTAATAACCCTCCGGATAAACCTATACAATTGGTGATTCAACCTCATAAAAAGACGGTTTTGGTTGGTGTCAAATGTGGTCAGCTCAGTATGAGTTGTGTAATCCTTACGACAAGTTAGAACTAATATCTCTTTTTTGTTTGTTTTTCAGTTTCGAAACCAGTATGACAATGATGTTACTGTGTGGAGCCCACAGGTAAGCATCCTGATCAGTGTAACAATGAATGCTGCTAGATAACTTTCTTCTACAAAGAAAAGCCAAACTGCTCCCAAAATTGATTTTGTTCAGGGTTTAGGAATTGACAGAGTGAAGTTTGGAATAAATCAAGACATTTTGCTCTAGGTTAATGTAATGGTTTTCCGTAGTTTTTGGAACCAAATTGAGAAATCATCTCCCATGTTCATTTTTGTAAGCATTAAATAAAATACAGCATAAAACGTTGTCTTAATGAGCACCTCTCTCTAGTAAACCCCTGTGTTTAGTGAATGCCACTTCAAGACACATTTTAGACATTGACTCCTGTATAAAATTTCCTCTGTAGTGAACACAGTGAACACTTTTTAGTGGCTCCATAGGTGTTCACTTTATACAGGTTGCACTGAAATTACTATTTATCAATTAAGTTTTGCACATTGTAGGGCCGTATTCATCAGATTGAGTATGCCATGGAGGCTGTCAAGCAGGGCTCAGCAGCTGTAGGAATCAAGTCAAAAACACATGCAATACTTGTAGCTTTAAAGGTAACTTTGCTGTTTTTGTATCCCTTAATAAGTGCCTTATCATCCCAGCGAATGAAGTTTGTGCAAGCCATCTTTTTGGATTATTCATTACTCATACACTGATGGTTGGGTTTTATTAGAATTTTATAGGCTTTAACCATTGAAAAATTACATTTTACAGTAAATTCCCTATGCCATTCTCTAAATTTGTTAATTTTTGCTTTAAGTCATCTCATGTATAAATCTTTTCATTTTAGCGAGCATCTTCAGAACTGTCTGCACATCAAAAGAAAATCCTACCTATAGATGAACATATAGGGATCTCCATAGCTGGGCTGACATCAGATGCCAGAACATTGAGCAAGTTTATGAGGAACGAGTGCATGAACTCAAGATATGCCTACGAGACTGCTCTTCCTGTCTCCAGACTTGTCGCAATGATCGGCAACAGTATCCTTTATTTTCTGAAATTTGTCATCTCTATGCTTTTCAGTGTAATTGTCGGATTTGATTTGTGAATATCCCAGGAATGGCAATTTATTTCTAAGTTCTAATCATATTTTGAAACTGGAACTCACCAGCTACATACTTGCCAAATATTTTGTTGTGATTTGAAGGATGAAAGCATACTATCTTTGTTTTGAGAGTTCCTTCCCAGTGCTATACATGACTTGAACAAGTACAAGTTTGTGTATATGTGTTCCAAATAACTTATATCAAAAGCTTTATGTTATCTTTGAAATAGCTCGAAAGATAAAATTCCAGGGTTTCATATTGGGTGATTTTGGTACATTTGGCATTTAGAGCATGTTTTGTAAAGTGGCCATAAAATTGTGACCTTTGGACATAGAGTCATAGACTAATGAAACTTAATAGGATGAACGAACATTAATCAAGGTTCAATTGTACTAAAACCCATACTGGATAACTGAGTTACTAAGATTTGCTTGGGTTACCTTTTTTAGCTTACCCTGTACATATTACATAGAAGAAGGAACAATATGTCCAAAGGTTCATAAAGACTCTTATTATTGAAATGTTTTCCTTGATGGTTGTCCAGAATCTCAAGTGCCCACACAAAGGTATGGAAGAAGACCATTTGGTGTAGGCCTTCTAATAGCAGGATATGATGTAAGTTTTTAAATCTTCTTCATTCATCATTCAACAGGGTGTTTCATATTGACTGTCCCCATCAATCACCAATCTTAGATGGCATACCTCCATGTGTAATATATCACTTGAAAGCTTGTTCAATTCTTGCAGCAACTTGATTTAACTCTGCAGCTTTTACAACTTGTAGCATATCAATACAAAAGGTGTCTTTTTGGATCTATGACCTTTTCTATATAAGTGGAAATATAGCTGGCATTGTGGGTGTTGATAGGGCCATTATACATGTAAATGTATTGGAAGAGTCACTTAATTTCTTGATTCCCTACATACATCTTAGCCCAGTCAATAATGGCTCGATAGTTCGCGATCATATATATTCTTAGATTTTTGGCACATAGACTAATATGGACATTCTAAAAATTTTGATCCGCATTGCCAAGCGCGGATCGCACTCCTTCTTGGTGAAAATCCAAGATGGCCGCCAAAATTGCCGACAATTATATAATATTCCTTTGATAATTTTTTTCCTTCCTTTTTTTCAATAAAATGTGGTTAATTAGTATTTTTCAACATCAATTTATAATATTTCTACCCTAAAAAATATTTAAATTATCTAAAAAGAAGATTTTGGTTGTTCATTCCCTCCATTTTTAAGATTTCGTCCAAATTTTCGATAAATCATTAAAATATGTACATTTCATATATACTGTAGTACTGTACCGATCATATCTCTATCCTTTTTTCATCAGAATATATTAGGTTTGTATGTTTTAGTAGAAACTGATTCCTTTCCAAACAATATTTAGATAAACACATAATGAAGAATATCTCCCATAGCGCCACCTATTGGTGAAATTGTTCAAAATCAAAACTGTGTTTATAATATATTGAACTGTTGAAGGAAGCATATGTAATAGTTTGGAGAGCCAAGATTTGATCTGTATCATGTACCATGCATAATAAAAAACTATTCTATAGTATTATTTTACAGTAAAATGCCAACTCTAAGATGTCAACCATATAAATTTGGGGGGGGGTAAATAGGGGTTATCTTGCATCTTATATAGTATTACCATATTTAAACCCTTACTTTAGTTATTCTAATGAATACTCGATCTCCATTACAGGCACACAATGATGTGCATACTAGAGCAGCCTTCAAGCTGGTACATCTTGATGGGAAACCCTGCTTCTGACAACCACACTTTACCAATGGTTGACTAGCATCAGCCATCTGCTTTAATGTAGTCCTGTGTGGCTTCTAAGTGTTGTCTCTTGGCTCTGTTCTCCAGCCCCAGTTCTTTGGAGATGGAATGATACCCAGGGAATGATAGGACTTGGTTTGTTAAACTGACCCCAGATATGTACACCTTGGTACAATGCTCCCTTGCAGTGTTGCATTAAGGCGTCAGCTGTTGGAGGAATGTGGTCAACAATGAAGTAGTCTTCTGTAAAAATGTATTCTTCCTTGCAGTGTTGATTGAGGTGTCATTGCTGAATTTATCATACAGCAAAATAACATTAATAAAGGATCATCTATTAGACTGAGGAGTGCATTCATCAGTTGTGAAAATGAGTTTCATCTGTCCCATGCTATAATTCTGCCCCTGCTTCCATGGAATCCAGGTGTAACTTGTCAATGAGTGGAATAATGGCAGACATAGACTTTTTGAGGCCCAATGGAATTCGCCATTTCATGTGCTGCCAAGTACCTGAAGTGTCTCCCTTTGTCAAATCCAACTCATATTGGTTCATTCAGAAAAATGTGTTGATTGTGTGCAAGGTTATTTGTCTTTGGTGGATTGTTTTTTGTGGATTGACACATGACATCCTGATCAAAGGTTGCGAGAAGTCTTTTTCGTTCATGAATAATTATATTGCTCACATTTGCAGTAAGGATTTGAAACAGTTCTCTCTTGTTTTACTCCAAGCACAAACAATCTTTCCAGTTTCTAGGTAGGGAATTTTCAGGATAAATATGCCTCCTTTTACTGTTTCCTCTCTTATTTCTTACACCAGACTCTAAACTGTTACATGTAGTTTCATAACTGTCCAAAACAATATCTAGATGGTATGATTTCGTTCATGTCATGTGCCTTGTTGTTTTAGTCAATTTAGTTTACCTTAATGAATTCACCAAGCACTGATTGGTATGTTGCATTAAATTGGTTCATGTCACGGATAAAACTGGTAGCCACCTTGACTAGTTTGTGTGATTGAGTATAAAAAGGCATGGCAACAACTCAGAAAGGGTATCTTTGTATAGGCTGAAGTTGCCCTCTCAAAAGTTTAAGATCCATTACCATCCACCAGAACTTAAATTGGGAAGAGCCATTCAGCTGGGACTGTTTTTTCACTCAGTCATCCAACTCAAACTGAGGTTATTCATCAATATCACAGCACAAACAATGTGTCTCACAGGCTTTTTGTCAAGAATATAAAGACTACAGGCAGTTATATGATGTGCTCTACAAGTTAGTGCGAGATGGTTAACTTTGATAAAAGAATCAGCTGTACCAGATGTGGCTATGCCAGCTTGAGAGAGGGAGATTATCCATCCAGGGTTCTCTCATAGATTGCCCAAGATGTGAAATGCTCCCATCTCAGTGTGTATTCCACCAAGTATCCTTATCAGCTTCGTTTTTTTCTCCCGTCTCTTGCCATTGTCCACTATTACTGCTTGAACAGTGCAAAGAGTGGCTGTTCGGCAGCAAGTACAGGTGTTTGGTCTGGGTTGATGAGAGACAACATGAGAGACAATGAATATTAGACTTTAACCTGACTTCAATATAACTAAAATGAAGAAAATTGTAATACAGTTCTGTTATACTTCAGAGTGCAGAAACACTCAGAAAATCACTCTCATTTCTACTTTCTACAACTTACATGTTGTTGAATCTAGAAACACTAACATTTTTATTCCAGATAACAGTTACTTAAGAATAAGCAAATTGGGTCAGCATGAATAAAATAATAATAATTATTAATTTATGTTTCAGTTTAATGCATATACCTATAGGTGGGGCTGCACAACACTCTTCTTTATTGGTTATAATGAAATATTTTGACAGATATATGTTGAATGTTATCACTAAGCATTGATAAAATATAAACTTGTCAAATTTTATTGAAAAGAAGAAGTGAATAAGGGAATTGTTTATTATTTTGACGTTAATTTTGGTATAATTTTATCAAAAGGTGGCGCTGTTAAAGCAATTTCTTATGTTTATACTTAATAAAAAACTATTTGGTGGGAATATTATTAAATAATAACTGAAGACACTAATTTATCACATTTTATTGATATAAAAGCAGAAAAAAAATTATCAAAAAAATATTCTTATTTGCGATTATTTTGGCGGCCATCTTGAATTTTAACCCTGAAGGAGTGAGAATCGTGCTTGGCAATGCGGATCGAGATCTTTAAAATATCCATATTAGTATGTTTGCCAAAAATCTAACATTTTCATTACAGATAACAGTTATTTAAGAATAAGCAAATTGGGTCAGCATGAATAAAATAAGAATCGTTAATTTATGTTTCAGAGCAGTTCAATGCATATATACCTATAGATGGGGCTGCCCAACACTCTTCTTTATTGATTATAATGAAATATTTTGACGGATATATGTTGAATATCATCAGTAAGCCTTGATAAAATATAAACTTGTCAAATTTTATTGAAAAGAAGTAGTGAATAAGGGAAATGTTTGTTATTTTGACGTCAATTTTGGTATAATTTTATCAAAAGATGGCGCTATTAAATATTATGTTTATACTTAATAAAAAATTCATTTGGTAGGAATATTATTAGATAATACCTGAAGACACTAATTTATCACATTTTATTGAAATAAAGGCAGTAAAAAAATTATCAAAAAAATATACATATTTGACGATAATTTTGGCAGCCATCTTGAATTTTCACCATGAAGGAGTGCGATTCGCGCTTGGCAATGCGGATCAAAATTTTTAGAATGTCCACATTAGTCTGTGTGCCGAAAATCTAAGAATATATATGATCGTGAACTATCACCATGTTAGAAACCCATTAGTGATTTGACTATCTGTATATAGTACTTAAATGAGTTATTCTTGGCTATTATAACACAAATTGGTACAAACATACAATTCATGTGCCCATACAAGCAGTATTTGTGTTCGCAATATTACAATGAAAAGATTTTCAGGAGATTTTGTTAATTTTAATTAGGAACAAGGTCCTCACATCTACCAGACCTGTCCATCAGCCAACTATTTTGACTGTAAATGTATGGCAATAGGAGCCCGATCACAATCTGCAAGGACATACTTAGAAAAACATTTAACTTCTTTCCCTGATTGTAAGTAGAAACATGTAACTTAAATTTGTAGAAGGGTGAATTTAATTTATTTCAGCATTCTTGTCCTTATTTAAACCAATGGCACAGCACTTACAAATGTATTTACAAATACTTATATTTCAACTTAGAAAAGTAAAATATTCTAACATTTAGAAAATATGATTTGAAGAAAATTATTTTTGTTAACTGTTTTGTGCTATTAGGCATTGTCCTTTGACTGTTGTAGGTGACCTTGAGACCCTCATAAAACATGGGCTGAGAGCACTCAGAGACACATTGCCAACAGAAGTAGATTTAAATACAAAGGTAAGTTTTTTTTATCCCACCGAATGAAGTTCGATGGGGATATAGAGAAGCCATCCATGGCTGCCATTTTCATTAAAATGTTATCTTTGATAACTCAAATACCAGTTGACGGATTTGGTTTAAATTTTATATGCTGATGAGTTCTGCCCAAGAAGAAATTATCAAGATGGCTGCTATGTATCAAAACCTGTTGTATTTGGTGGGATTTGCTACTCCGTGGATTTCTGGTTATTAACCATGAGCAAATGCCCTTTTGTCCCTGTTTGATTAGACAGTTAAATGCCTAAAAGGTCTTTATTCATTAACATCAGGATATCCTGGGGGCCGCTTCAGTTAACATCCTAAAGTTGAAATACAAATGCCTAAGTTACACTTCAATGGCTAACCCAATATGAGAGAATTTCCTTTTAATTGTTGACATATTGTTATGGTCTCCAACTTTTTTGTGACGGCGTTTGGCATCTGTAACAAATTCTTATAACTTCCAATAACTTCACAAATACTGTTCATACTGACTTCAATATTTTTCAAAACAGCTACAAATTCTCAGAAGTTCAAATGTGACTTTAGATTGGAGATTTGACCTTCAATGACCCTTCTCAAAGTCCGAAAAGGTCCAAACAGTATTTTAAAAGTAATTTACAAATTCTCAGAAGTTTAAATCTGACTTTAGATTTGACTTCCAATGACCTTATCGAGATCAAAAAAAGGTCAAAAAGTTATTTTTCATCTTGCATCAAATTGAGTAATTTTTTTTAAGATCAGCTAGAAGTTACAGAAGTTCAAATCTGCAGGCATCCCAAAATCTTGTCACACATTTTCTTGACAAATCATTTGAAAGATGATTTTGATCTTAACCATTCTAATATTCCTTTCATGGGTGTGATGCTATTATGTATTGTTTGGTGAAGAAGGTGCCATATATACTATACCATTACCATCAGTGCAGCAATGTTGTTGGGAATTTTCAATTGGAATGAAACATTTGTTCAATCCCAATCAGGAAAGATCCCGTAAATAATATAAATGAATATTCTCACTCCCAGGCAATATGATAAAATGCATTTTTATTATTTTTTCAAAAAAAGTATTCATCTAATTTTTTTCTAGCTTCATAATTAATATAAAAATATGTTGATTTTAGAATTGCTCACTGGGAATTGTTGGTAAAGATCAGCCATTTACAATTTATGATGATGATGCAGTGAAGGACTACCTTGCACTTATTGAAGGGGAAGACAGAGGCAAAGGGGCCGCAGCACCAGCTGCAGGAGTGGTAATACTATACGTTATCATACGTTTCAGAATGTGATACAGGAAATATTCCACAAAAGGTAACATTGCATCAAGTGGAGCTTGAGTGATAATACATTATTACCCGAGAGGAACATTTTCTGTATCACTACACATTAGCTGAAACATGTGATGATGATTTTATCGCATGTCTGTTTTATAAACATTTTTAATTGGTCAGTTGTGATTATGTTCAGTACTCTGTACTCCTGATACTTTTGATGCTAGTAATAAACTGTATTACATTTTGCATGTTTTGAATTCTGCTGTGGAATAATATGACATCATTTTATTTTACAAACAAGAACAAAGACAATGGTATGATGTCATTTCGTTGCTGTATTGACTCCGTAGTGATACAGTCCACCATATCAAATGAAAATGAGTCACGTGCCATGTGAAAAGGAATATGCATCATCACAATTGGCCAATCAAAATGCTTAGAAACTCTTAACTATGTGATAGTACATCATATCATATTTCTAAACCCTTGCACATGGTATCCCACACATGACAGAATTATATCTCCAATTTTAAAATGAAATAATTTTGCGAGATTAATGTAGATATTAAAACATTCTTTTTTTATGGTATTCAACCTTAACAATTGCTCTTGTGTGAGACTGGTGTAAACCTCTGCACCAATAAGTGAACAACAAGTTTGTGATGTTTTGATTGAAGAAAGCAAGACAGCCAATTTGAACATGATAATTGCAGTGTTAGTTGTACATGTCCACCTCTCATATGTATTATTTGATGATTTCTTACAGCAGGCAATGGATGCAGATGAGCCCCCAGCAGCTCAGGACCCACAGCCAGCTGAACCTCAGGTACAGGACCAACCCATGGATCAGTGAACAACCTTAAAACACTCACTTCTCATCTGTAGACTCATATTGTACACTGTTCAGTGACATACAATTATAAGTTGGATCTAGGTATATTCCAGCATGGACTTATAGGGGCTCATATGGTAGCCAAAGGTGGGCCCGTCAGTGAGCAAATTTGAACCACATTATTTATCTCGGGAAACATGTCAGATTTAATGATTTGGAACTTTGACGCCCAAAAAGTGACCATTATGGATAGCTTTTCTAGGTTTTATACCCCCCGAGGTTATTTTCGAGGGGGTCTCAACTCTTTCTTAATAACTTTAAAAATATTAAAGAAATGTGTCTGAAACTTGCAGGGTACCTTCCTGGGGTCAACACATAGCTGTATTGAAAGTTTAGGATTATTTGGAATAACGGTTGCTATAGCAACCAAGAAAATGTGTTTCCGAACTGGCAATTTACAGCAATTTTGGCCTGTAGCAACCTGGTTGAAGTTAGATATTTTTTCTATTGATGAATTTTCACATTGTTAATTGGTTTCAAAAACACACTACAACTGTATTCTTTCACTTTATTGCAGATTAGAATTAACACCATTAGTATTAAAGGTTCATAATCGTACATGAATGAACCCACCCCCCAAAGTCTATAAAAAGTGGGCGTGGCACCAGACATGTACCAGTTTGTAATTCATAAGTTTAAACACCCAATAAATAATGTTGATATTTATGTTACCCTGTTTCCAGTGGTAGTTGAAGAAGTTCTTTTAAAAAACTAGATATATTTCCATGGAAACCATATATTTATGTTGCCATAGCAACAGAACTATGGTAATAAAATAGCCAATAATTTGATCGAAGCCCTTGTGCATGTGGTCCCATATATACAAAAATCAAATGTCCTGTATCTCTCAAAGATCTTAAAACCTTCCTGGGGTCAACACAGACCTGTATTGAAACTTTGGGATTATTTGGAGTAATGGTTGCTATAGCAACCAAGAAAATGTGTTTCCGAGCTGGACAATTTATGGCAATTTTGCCCCACTGCAACTTGGTTGAAGTTTGATATTTTTTCTAGTGATGAATTTTCACATTGTTAATTGGTTTCAAAAACACACTACATACTGTATTCTTTCATTTTATTGCAGAATAGAATGACACCATTAGTATGAAAGGTCCATAATCATACATGAATGAACCCCCCCCCCCAAAGTCTATAAGAAGTAGGCGTGGCACCAGACATGTACCACTTTGTAATTCATGAGTATAAAAACCCAATAAATAACGTTGATATTTATGTTACCATGTTTCCAGTGGTAGTTGAAGAAGCTCTCCTAAAAATATAATAATCATATAATAAATATATACATATAATATCATATATAAATATATTATCATGGAAACCATACCTTATGTTGCCATAGAAACAACTTTGGTCTGTTAACGCAAGGCTTAATGAAATTATTGTTCATTTGACTATTCATTTGGCCATTTAGAGAAAACAACAAATGTATGAGTAAACTATATTGGCTGAATATATATCCTAGTAGTTTACATTCTTTGTAGTTCACATTTGTATGAGCTATAATTCTAGTATATCTGACACATCTCTATTCTATAGTGATACTTTTACATTTGCTTGCAGAACGTGATATGTGATAGGCCCCAGAGTGATGGCACTCAGAAGACTGCATATGATATCAAATGAAGCTTGAAAAAGAGATAAGTAATACAGCATACTATGACCCTGTCATTTAACCAACAGATGAAGCTGTAAAGTTCTTAAACCAGTCTATTTCAGTCCTCCTTAGTCCTTTTTGAAAACTTCACCTATATAATTTTGAAGCTCATATGTGGGTTCTGATTCTTATGGATCAGTCATAGCTGGCCTCATCACATCAACAAGATCTTGTCGTAATATATTTGATGTGCACCAGTCTAGTTCTAGTACACAAGATTTCAACCCATTGCCTCTGGGAGATGAGAGTACAGGCTTGTGTTACACACAAACTCTTCAATTACAGCCTGTATTTCAGTTGTAATATTTGTAGATGACCCAATACATTAATTGAATGCATCTTGGTATTTCTGGCTATTGAATAGCAGAGTTGGGGGCCTGGTTTTTCCTCGTTGAACAAATGCACTAACACAATAACAACCTGTGAGAATGGTGTATCATCAAGACTAGAAAATCTGTGTCTGGGGAATGTACAATATTGTTCTTTGACTGATCAAAACATATCATCTTCACATGTACTCATCTTGGTGTTTGCTTCTTCTTGTGTTGACAGTAGATTGTTATCAACATATGATCACTAGTGAGAATTTTGCACATGTAAAGCAAACTTTTCTGTTCTTCAGCTTGGCTGAGTACTTATCTGTTTGCCACTCGCAAAGGATAAGACTGTTTAGTTGGGTCTTGTTTTGGCTGTTGCCCAAAAATTCTTACCAATTCTTAGGGATTTGGTCCTTGGATCATGAAGGGTTTTGATGTTCCTCTTCTCATTCTCTCTGGTTCTTTTATTGAATCTATGTATTTGATAGCTGTCAGTTAAGAAATCTACCCTCTCTGACTTCAGTGCTATTATGTGAAACACTTGCTCTGCCAGTTCTTCAAATGTGGATAGACGCTACACTAAGCTGTGATAGATAGCATTACCATCATATATGTAGAATGATTCATCTTTTGCTGGTCTTGAAGGGTGATGTTGGAGATTCTCAAGAGCATTTAGGAGTGTTGCTTTTGCTGCCTTCGCTGGCAGACCATCAGGAGACCCTAGCGCCCATGACACTGGACTAAGCGGATACTCTTAAACGTTCTTGTTCTCTTGAGATATAAGAACTAACTTTCAAAAAATATTCCTTTCAGCTCTAAACTTGTCAGATGTTATCAGGATGTCCTTCTCGATTGTCACAAATGTCTTCATCTTTATTCTTTTCACTGGATCTTGAAAACTTTTGGTGTCACTCACAAGTCTTTTTCAAATTCCACCTTGCCTCTGGATCTGACATGCAGTAGGTCTTGAGCTACATCTGGAACAGGCCGCATTCCTGATGATAGACAGTAGAGTTTATTATAGCATCTGTCTCAAAGGGGTCTAAAAAAGTTACCTATTGTGGCCCTTGCTTTTGAAACACCTTCAGAGCCTGCTATGTTTGCATGGTAGTAGGCATTTGGATTGGTGATAAATCCAATTACCCACCCCATCAGATTTTGCACTCTGATTGATAGTCTGTTCAGTGGTTTGATCATTTGGCAAATGTAGTGCAGGTACTTGGGACCTGTTAACACTAAACCCAAGGTCTCTCAATAGCCTTTCTTTCTCTTGGTTTGTATCCTTGAGGCTAGCAAGCATGACATATTGTGCTGTTACATATATAGCATAGTTGGGCTGGTCCATTGCGAAAAATAGTGGACATAGGTCTTGTAGACGCTCAACAGAGTAAGTGGAGATCAAACTCATTCTCTGCTAGCTTGGATGAATCGTGATATTACATGACAATAACCTCTTGTGAGAGCATGGGGATTGGTAGCTGGCTGATAAACTTGTCTTACAAATTCCTTTGTAGCAACTCCAGGAAGATTTTGGGCACTCTGATTGATCTGTTATAATGGTTTCCAGTTAGCACACCTTAAAGAGATCCACTAACATATATGCCAGCTTCAATGATGATCTCAAAGAAACTGTGAAAGCAAAGCCAATGAATCAATAGCCAGAAATACCAAGATGCATTCAATTAATGTATTGGGTCATCTACAAATATTACAACTGAAACACAGGCTGTAATTGAAGAGTTTGTGTGCAACACAAGCCTGTACTCTCATCTCCCAGAGGCAATGGGTTGAAATCTTGTGTACTAGAACTAGACTGGTGCACATCAAATATATTACGACAAGATCTTGTTGATGTGATGAGGCCAGCTATGACAGATCCGGAAGAGTCAGAACCCACATATGAGCTTCAAAATTATATAGGTGAAGTTTTCACAAAGGACTGAGGAGAACTGAAATAGACTGGTTTAAGAACTTTACAGCTTCATATGTTGGTTAAATGACAGGGTAATAGTATGCTGTATTACTTATCTCTTTCAAGCTTCATTTTTGATATCATATGCAGTCTTCTGAGTGCCATCACTCTGGGGCATATCACGTTCTGCAAGTAAATGTAAAAGTATCACTATAGAATAGAGATGTGTCAGATATACTAGAATAGTAGCTCATACAAATGTGAACTTCAAAGAATGTAAACTACTAAGATATATATTCAGCGGCTTTGTATAAAAAACCTCCTACCTCATACCCACCTACCCACGTACGTTGGACATGATACAGTCTTTGAAGGGTTCAATTTTAAAGATCTTAATTTATTAAATCTTAGTTTATGATGAATTATAGATGCATTTGTAACGACCCTTGCTAGTAAGTTGCTACGACAGCCCAGCTGGGTTCGATTCCCACCCGGGGCATCGAATTTAGCACACTTTCTTTCAATTTCTTTATCTGGTTTGTTGGACCGATGCTCGCGGTCGTTAGTTAATTATTCCTCCGGGATGCCCTCGGGTCATTACATATTACAATACACCCATATATGCCTTTATTTATGAATCTGTCATCCGTCTAGTCATAAAATAAAACCGGAATTGTAGAAATGTTAATAATTAGAGCTATTTTGAGATTTAAAAATCTTTAAAATTGAACCCTTCAATGACTGTATCATGTCCCATGTAGGTTGGTAGGTGGGTATGAGGTAGGTGTTTTTTTATACAAAGCCATATTCAGCCAATATAGTTTACTCATACATTTTTTGTTTTCTCTAAATGGCCAAATGAATAGTCAAATGAACAATAATTTCATTAAGCCTTGCCTGAACAGACCAAAGATGTTTCTATGGCAACATAAATATATGGTTTCCATGATAATATATTTATATATGATATTATATGTATATAATTATTATATGATTATTATATTTTTAGGAGAGCTTCTTCAACTACCACTGGAAACATGGTAACATAAATATCAACATTATTTATTGGGTTTTTATACTCATGAATTACAAAGTGGTACATGTCTGGTGCCACGCCCACTTCTTATAGACTTTGGGGGGGGGAGGGTTCATTCATGTATGATTATGGACCTTTCATACTAATGGTGGCATTCTAATCTGCAATAAAATGAAAAAATACAGTTGTAGTGTGTTTTTGAAACCAATTATCAATGTGAAAATTCATCACTAGAAAAAATATCAAACTTCAACCAAGTTGCAGTGGGGCAAAATTGCCATAAATTGTCCAGCTCGGAAACACATTTTCTTAGTTGCTATAGCAACCATTACTCCAAATAATCCCAAAGTTTCAATACAGCTCTGTGTTGACCCCAGGAAGGTTTTAAGATCTTTGAGAGAAACAGGACATTTGATTTTTGTATATATGGGACCACATGCACGAGGGCTTCGATCAAATTATTGGCTATTTCGTTACCATAGTTCTGTTGCTATGGCAACATAAATATATGGTTTCCATGGTAATATATCTAGTTTTTTAAAAGAAATTCTTCAACTACCACTGGAAAGATGGTAACATAAATATCAACATTATTTATTGGGTGTTTAAACTTATGAATTACAAACTGGTACATGTCTGGTGCCACGCCCACTTTTTATAGACTTTGGGGGGTGGGTTCATTCATGTACGATTATAGACCTTTAATACTAATGGTGTCAATTCTAATCTGCAATAAAATGAAAGAATACAGTTGTAGTGTGTTTTTGAAACCAATTAACAATGTGAAAATTCATCAATAGAAAAAATATCTAACTTCAACCAGGTTGCTACAGGCCAAAATTGCTGTAAATTGCCAGTTCGGAAACACATTTTATTGGTTGCTATAGCAACCGTTATTCCAAATAATCCTAAACTTTCAATACATCCATGTGTTGACCCCAGGAAGGTACCCTGCAAGTTTCAGACACATATCTTTAATATTTTTAAAGTTGTTAAGAAAGAGTTGAGACCCCCTCGAAAATAACCTCGAGGGGTATAAAACCTATAAAAGCTATCCATAATGGTCGCTTTTTGGGCGTCAAAGTTCCAAATCATTAAATCTGACATGTTTCCCGAGATAAATAATGTGGTTCAAATTTGCTCACTGACGGGCCCACCTTTGGCTACCATATGAGCCCCTATTAGAAGAGCTGTACATATTCTAACGAGACATGTATCAATTGCCTATTCAATAGGAATGTGGTGGATGCCTCTCAATTGGGAGTGGAGTATGTGAACAATATGGTCAGAAATGGGACTGTATGGTTGCTAGAACACTGGAGTGTATTATCACCTTTAATGCTTGGACATAAGAATGTTCATTTCTCCATAATTCTTCAATTGCCAATTGTAAAATTAATATATCTTACAAGAATAAATACTATGTGAATAATTGTATACAGACTCCAGTTGGCTATTGTATAAGGGTTATAACTTGAAAACGAGAAATTAAATCTAGAGCATGTAATTCGTGCAGCCATCTTGAGTTTAAAATTGGACAATTTGATATAACATTCATCCAGAAAAACCTTTTGAACTGATTATTATATGGGTAACTGGTCAACTCGTACCCAAGTATATATTTTGTTTTGAATCAAGCGTTGGACTAGGAATGATGGTATTAATAGCTTTTAATAATACGATAATAGCTTTCCAATGATGCACTTAAAATGTTCAAATGTTATCACTAAAAAAAATTTTAAATTACTATGAAAAATAAAGAACTGCGCCGAAATGCCGTCCTTCGAAACCTCATTCTATTCTCAAGTTCTCTAATTAAAGTATAATGTTTTCTTCGTTTCCCAAGCGAGGGAATTGATATGTAAATATCCCAAAAATTAAGCTTTGTATATCTGAGATGAAATCATTTTTCGAAACCTGAATTGAACCCGGTCCGCCCATATGTGAGGCATGCTACCATTCTACGACTGACCCACCAGTGCTTTCATGTTAACACTAAAGTATGATCAATAAAACTTGCAATATATCTTCCTGTCAGTTTTAAATTTAAAAAAAAAATTGCTTTGGCAGAATCGAACTCTACATGCCAGGCTAGCATTCAACCACAGAACGACCAGTGAGGACTATTGGGATTTATATACCATTTTTATACAACTGATCGAGAAGCTAAGACCTCTTTATGATATCCCCCACATCCCTTGCCACTACACCAACTAATTTCCCCTCCCACACAGCATCAACAAATTCATAAATTAATGACTTAATCAATTACCCCCCCCCCCATAATTGGAATAAGCCCGCGCACCTACAACAATGACTGCTCCAACTCCTATGACGCAATAAGGCATTGAACTATGAGTGAAGTAAGACTCTCCTTAATTAATATTCTTGTAATGAAATAATAGTAATTAAAATATGTGTGCCAGGTTGTAATTAATAAGAAGTACGACACAATCTCTTTTGCTGTGAAATAGACACACGACAAACATCGTGTTTTCTTCTCGAATATTTTGAGAAAGAATTCAATCTGAATCAAACACGACAAGAATATAGTTAAAATGGAATAAAGGAATTGTGATAAAATTGGATAGCCATGCGTACGTTCTACATGGACAGTATTACGTAATGTAATGCCCAAGCCTGAACAAATGGTGCACACAAACATATTCGCTATGGGTGAATCATTCTGGATTTTATTCTGGATAGGATTAGCGGTTACGAGTAAGTTTTAAGTGCAATTCTTCTTTTTATTCAACTGTTAAATTGATAAAATTAGAAAAAAAATTGGAGCTTAAAGGTAGTAACAGATCTAGAGATCTAACAGAGCAGGAAATAAAGAGATATTCACATTTTACAAATAGACGACGCTGCTCTCTCAAAGTCTTGCCTATTTCCATGGAACTTCGATGCCTGATAGAGGAAATTTTACGGTATTTTACCCCTTTAGAATTTTGAAATGTGTAGTTCCAGTGGAGTACAATGAGAATTGGATCAAAAATCTAAAATAAGCTGAAATGTGACACGATTTTAAAACGGTCAAAATAATATTCCTGGGAAATTTCCGTTTCGATTTTCGTAGATTCAAGGAATATTAAAATACGCTCCTTTCCGCGTCACTCCGTGTCATCATTTAATCCTCAAAAACTTGATTATTTTATTTGGTTTCAAATTTTCCGAATTTATTTTAATTTATCAATTTATTGGAATACATTGAGATCATTGCATACGTTTCACCGTTTGCCAATTTATCAGCATATTTGACCCATTTACAAGCAAAGAAATATACACCACGACTTTAGTGTTTCTATCGTAATTTAACATCTATAAATGTGTAAGTCACGGTAACGGGAATAAGCACTTCTTTAGATAAGACATGTTTAATGATAATACATTTTTACTACATACTGTTGCTCATATATAATGTTTATCTTTTATATATTAATTATTACTGGTTTTATTGTTGCCTCAAAATTCATTGTTTTATTTGGCTAACTGAATCACACCAGTGCTGTTGATCTTTTGCAATGTTTCAATATAAACCTTAAAATGCGCAAACGCAAAACCAAGAATAACTGAATGGATGCAAAGTAAACTATAATCACAATATAATGGAACAAATAACTAATATAACTAGACTGGTGAAAATGAACAATTAGTTCAATTCAAGACTCCAGATTCAGACTTTTATTCAAAAAACAATTTTGAATCATATTAATGAGAAAATGAAAAAGAAAATGTTAATGTCCTATTCTTCACAAATTTAAAAGCAAAATATTGAATAGTCTGGTAAATTGGAAAATTACGAAAATGACCTCGATTTTGACATTGACCTTTGACACTCAAAATTTTGAGTTTACTGAATTTTTAAGTTCCTTTTATATTGTTTTAGCTTATTCTATAGTCAAAATAGAGATTGACTACAATTTGGGACGTGGTCCGACCGGTGGGATTTTTGAGATTTCAAAAGGCCACAGCTTCTAAACCGGAAGTAGGATTTCAATTCTGATTCCAGATTCGGAATCCTGAGAAAATTATCCGAATCTGCAGTCTAATAAGTGACACTGAGGTATCGTCAGGCAGCATGGGCTGGACAAAAACGGCCTCATGAGCATCAGTTACATTTGCTCTACGGCGGTCATATATAAAAATCTATTTTATGTTTCATATTTCTCTTGATTTTTGGAAGATACGACCGCTCCGTACAGTAACTGAAGAACGTTTACGTGAAATATGTAATTATGCCCCATTTCCAAGTATGAAAGAGCTGAAGAGGACTTAGCACAAATCCCGGCACAAATGCAGTTAAAGCACTTTTCAACCATTATTTTGAGTTTGGGAAATTAAACAGTTTAAACCGCTGACTTTTTTAAAACTTAATAACTTATATGCGTTCGGACTCGAGGCATGATTCAACCGCTCGTGTAGTGGTACTTTTAAGAACTTCCCTTCTAATATTAAAATGAAGATGCTAATTTGAATGAGAGTTAATTATGTGTACTAGTATGTTCTAAATATGAGCAAGCTGTCGTGTTAGATGCACAGACAATACGTTCGTACTTTACTAATTAGCGACATTCCTTCACTCCTAATACACGCACCACACCTCATCCCACAACAAATTAATCAATGTGTCAACCTTAACAGAACACCAACATAATACTAGTATACAGTGCGTATCAAAAAAACGCAACAGATTGTTATCTCGGAAAAGCACAAAACCAGTGATAACAGCATTGATTTCATTCAATGCACCATAAAGCTATGTGTCTCCTCTTTACAATGATATATCATTCATTGATATTTGGTCATGATTGGGCGAGTAATCATTCCATTTGCAAAGTGGGCCAAAATTAGTTTGGGACCAAGTTATAAACATCATAAAAGTCAGTGTGCGGAGCCCAATGCAATATTGGAAGAAAACATAAAACCAAGATGCTGACTGCATCCTTTTCATTCAATGTACCAAAAAGCCAAATTACTCCTCTTTGCAATGGAATATCATTCACTCAAAGGGAGTCATGGCTGGCCGAATAATCATTAATTTTGCAAAGTGGGGCAAAATTCAGCTCGGACCCAAGTTTTAAACACTTCAAAAGTCAGTACAAGGGGCATATGGGCTATTGGAAGAAGGTGTGACATGTGTGGCATAGCCAGTAAAGTGTTCTTCTTGCAAGAATACATCCTAATACCCCTCCAAATTGCGGGCCCACTGGCAATTCTTTCTCGAGTTTTTGCAATATCTGGTCGAGGAATTGTTAGCACAGATGCTCCTGAGATAGCTCCAAAAGAAAAAGTCACAACAATTGAAATCAGGGGAACTTCCATTGGCATTTGGCCCTTGCACTGATTTTTGCAATATCTAAAACTTGGTCCAGAGCCGATTTTGACCCACTATGCAAATGGAAGGATTTCTCACCCAACCATTACCACATGTGAATGAATGACATATCATTGCAAAGAGAAAATACCTGGCTTTATGGTACATTGAATGAAATTGATGTTGTCATCACTAGTTTTGTGATTTTACGAGATAACTACTTGTTGCGTTTTTTTATACGCCCTGTACATAGAGATTATTCTATATGAGGTTCAGGATATTGGGATTATCCCGAGGTCAAAATAATATATCTGCCCGAGAGCCACAGGTCCCGAGGGAAAATATATTATATTGGCCAAGGGAAAATCCCAATATCCTGAACCGACTCTAGGATAATATGTTTATCCCATACCAAGCTTGGTCATCTGGTTCACATTGTTCAATCGTGGAAATATTTAAGAATTTTCATGTCCAGTTTTGTTTTCTTGGCCGTGGGCGGATTTTCCCGTTCTCTCAAATATTCGCATATTTATTTTCTCGAATTTTTGATTGATTAAGTGGATGCTCCTTCCCTTTTTTAAACCATCAAACAGATCCCGATTGTCTGTGTTTTCTCCATTGTCGTTTACATTCATTATGCGAACGTTACAAATTATGAACAAATATGCTAGCGGCGATTATGACATAGCGGGGAGATATACTATATCTGCCAGCTCGGAGCGGGACGTAAAGCTATATCTGCCCGCTGATGAAAATATAAGTTTTTACAAACCGGCTTTATGTACCTGTAACACGTCCAAGTATGGGATAAATAAGGGTTATGTACTGGGAGGTTTTGGATATGGGGTTTATCCAGAGGGAGATATGCATATCTACCTGAGGGACCGTAGGGATAAATCCCTTTGTATTTACAATTTTCGATGTTTAAAATATTTGCTATGATTGTTTCAGTTATTGAGTGTAGTGAACTGATAGGGTCAGGTTGCTACAATAATGCTGGCTTCTGGATAGATAAGTGCCCCAAGAACAAGGTGATTCACGTGAAAAGAGCCTTTTACGGAAAGCGTTGGCCTTATGACAACAATGATACCACACGGTGTACATTCAGAGAGGGCGATTGTGTTGTTGACACCGATTACCCATTTGAGAGATGCAATGATAAACATGCATGTTACATAGGTATACATACGAGACATTATTCTTTAAAGTCCTCATGAGGGTTTGGTCATCATTATCATGCTAAAAATTAAATAGTACCCTGGACAGGTTGAATGATGCAGTCGTGTTATTACTCTATATTTCCAATTGAACAACCATTCTTATTGAAATTTTCATATTTTATTCTAGAGACAATTTCCAACATGGAAAAAAATATTTTAACGAAATTCCTAATTTCAAAAGATTGCAAAATGTATTTTATAAACTTAAACTGGACATAAGAGGGAAATTATATACTTTATTTGTAAAAACTATTTTCTTCATCCTTACTTCATCAGTACATTATATGCTATCCGAATGCACCTAGAACGGTGGCACTCATACAATGTACACGCTTTTGTACTCCCTAGTAATGTGCTCAATTTTAGGTATAAGTACATTATGGGTTGAGCGAAGCTGCGAGGCATACCCAACATATACAGACTACATCCAGGTGCACTATGACTGTGTCATGCAGGGAGGTAAGATACAACGCTTTGAAATCTCGTTTTTAATGAGCTTTAGAATATTTGCACGTCTAATATGATGATTAGGTATTTCAATATTTAGATTATATAAATAATTTGCAATTCAATATTTAGATTATATAAATAATTTGCAATAAGTAGAACTTTGATTTTCACATATATTTCATCACGCCCGGTGATGGGACAAAATGAACGGAGGAGCCCATTTTTTATAGAAAATATCAACAAATCTTTATTTTATCAAGAAAATGTTTACAATTGCATTGCTAAATGAATAGGCGCAATACACGGGGGAAAGGTACGGTCTTCTATGATTTTTTTAATCGATAGGCTTCTAAGATATAAGATTAAAAAAGGCGCGAAAAAAGTTTTTTTCGAGGCTTTTTAAGCTAAAAACGGTTTTTTGAGGCTCTTTAGAAAAAACGGTTTCCTCGAGCTTTTTTGCAAAAAACGTTTTGGGTCGAACCTTTTTTGCAGGGTTATTATGCAAAAAAACGTTTCTTCGAGGCTTTAAGACAAAAACGCTCTTCTTTGGTTTTTTGACGAAAAACGACGCTATTTTCGTTACTTTTTTCAAAAAGCGCTTTGGTTCGAGGCTTTTTGGCAAAATATTTCGGCTTAGAAGCTTTTTTCCAAAAAAAGTTTTGCTTCAAGCCTTTTTTCAAAAAAAAATGTTTTTTCGCCTCTACTTTGACCTTATATATCATCATCTATCTGTTTAAGCCTTTAACACGACCAGCACTGCATCAACAACAACTACCATCCCTTTGAATCAAACTGCAATGGATCTGAATTCCTCAGAAGAGATGATACCGGCCAATGCAACATCAACACGTGGGCTTAAATATCAATCACAGAGATATAACACCCCACCACTGAATTTAATAAATCGATTGAAATCGTTTAAACGCCGAAAACCAACAATTGACAAGACAACCAAAGGACGTCTGAGTAAGATGGAGACCACACCGACCAAGGCAGAGCTAGTATCAACATCAACAGAAAGGAAAGAAACACCAACAAATGGGACCAAACCAACATCAGTTGAATCAGAAACATCAACAGAAAACAACATACCATCAGATGAATCAGTAACACCAACAAAAAGCCACATACGTACTGGATATAGAAGTATTCCAACATCAGTTGTCGGTATCCAAAGCAGTAAAGATCTGACAAAAACTGATCCTTACAAGAATCTTTATAGCAATCCGCTCAAACCACCATACCTAGATGAGTTCGAATACTACGATATGGAGCCTTACCCCGTGGATGACTTTGCCTCCTTTTTGAACCCTTCTACTAAAAACACTGAAACACCTAAGACCGAACCGACACGACATATCTGGTATATTTGGAGTGAAAAGGATAACAAACGACCAAAGAAAACACCAACATTAATAGGTGGGGGGCAGAGAAGTAGAATATTGAAAGTTAAGCCAACGTATCCATTAGAAGAAGAAAAAGAAGCCCCCTTGGTGTCCAATCGTAACCAACAAGAAGAGAGCACGGGCATAAAAGGTGAAACATAATAAAAAACTTTTTAAAAAACATCAAAAAGTTGACCATTCAAATTGTAAATGTTTATTTCTCCAATAAGACTAAATGGTTATTTGTTATGAGGTGCGCTTCAAAGTTATATGTACAGCGGTAATATTTAAATGTTTCAGTTGGCAAATGGATTACAGGGACCGACTGGGGTATTGGCTTGATGTGCCTCTTAGCATTAGTATTGATGATCACCATGGCAATTCTTGTTGTTGTCACGAGGTATAGTATACAATTGATGACCTCAACAGAGGAATCTGGATTGAATCTGGAATTAATAGAACTACGTTCATGTTCAGTTTCATCTATTTAGTTCTGTAACATGTTCCTACGATATGGGCAGCGAGAATTGAGAATAGGAGTGGGAGGTATCAGCCAACATCAATAATCCACTTTTCTCAGAGCTACTCTTATTGTATCAAATAATTCTATTCCATGTGAGAATAATATCATTTGCATGTTTGCAAAGTACTGCTGATGACTATGATAGTTATCTTAATTATATTATTTATGCATTATTATTCATTTCAATACATCTCTCATCTTTTATGATACAGGAAGATCCGTGAGAGAAGGAAGAGCCAATCCAGCAAGACAACTAATAAAACAGGCGTGAAACCAAGTGACAACGAACATCAAATGAAGAACATAGCTGAAACAAAGGCATTAGATGATATTTCTAGCGATGAAGAAGGGACAATAAATGGCAAGCATACGATCAGTAGAAAAATCGCGGCATCGGCCAAACGTCTCTTTGATAAGAAACAAAAAGGACAAACTGATTCCTGTGCTAGCTCAATAAGTATTGATATCCCAGACCCAATGGGTAATGATGGACTAACGGTTAACCCAGCATTCAAAGACTCTAGTACTGATTCTGACATGCATTCTAACTCCCTGTATGGTGACTGCAACATCTATGACAACAATCACTATGCTGTCACTGGGCTCTGTGAACCTCCTTTGAAAAAACTGAACGAAACCATGGAAGACAAGATACGTAGACTGAGTATGAGAGGTAGCAAAAGGAGTCGGAAATATGTTACAGAAGAGGATATCTATGAAGAGCCAGTCAAGAAGAGCCAACTACCCGATACACCAGCACCAGCACTCAGTTTGGATGAAGCGAAGCCGAAAAGTGAATATTCAAGGCTAGGATTTATGCACCAACACTTGCCACAGTGGGGTAGTAGGAGACAGCACAAGATGTACCTGCCAGAGAATGACCCAGCTAGAGCATTTCACCTAAGTGCCTCACACAATCCAAGAATGAACAAGAAAATGGAAGTAACAATGGAAGATTGGTATTTAAAGACAGCAGGCCATTTGGCGACTATAGACGACATAGCAAACATGATTCCTGATGATAACGAACAAAACAGTGAAATGATTGAAGAGGCGGAGCTGACTTCATTGAAACGAACAAGAACACTTCCATACAAGAAAGGATCGCTGGGGCGTATGTTTGGTAGATTGAGGCGCAGCATGAAAGCAACAATGGTACAATCAGACAAAGGCGTATCCCTATCTTATAACCACGAATATCCAACTATTTATGCGTTTGTAAATGGACCAGATGTCTCTCATGGTAAGCTGAAGAAGAAAAGCCAAACACTACCACTGAGAAGAAGAGGCACATTTCCAAAGAAAGCACTTACTATAAAGAGAGATGCCTGGAAAAGGTTTGGTGGAAGTTTTAAAATCGCAGGTAGTGGAAAGAAAAGGTCATCCATATTGAATAGTAAAGACGAACGGGCGCCAAGTGCATGTTCGTCAAAGCAGTCCTCTATTGTTGATCTGACAAACACCAGAAGAGACGATGACGAGGATTATGTTATCAAAGATCTAGCTAAGTCTATGTTAGATAGACGTTTCACTCTTCCGGAACCGAATGAAGAGCCACTTCCGTTACACCTGAGGAATACAAAAAGCGACCCTAAATCAACTGGTACAATGGAGAATTTCAAGTTTTCCCCCCTGCTACCAAAATTTAACCACTTCAACAGTTACCAGAAGCCAGTTGCACCACCTCCTCCTTTGAAGTCATCTATTCTGCATGCCATAAAGAAAGAAAACAAATTGGAAAGCTGTAAGAAAAAGACGGGAAATATTCCACAGGCACCACCAATATTAAACAGTGGGTTAAATGAGTCTCCATCCCCTGGCCCTCCTAAACACAAACCGCCTCCTCCTGATATCATCGCCATGGGGACACATAATGTGAAACCAAGTGATTTGGTGAACGCTACCGTAAAGTACGAAGTGAACAAGTTTCCAAGAACAAGGAGAGAGAGTCAACAAGTGAAAGAATTACAGCAAAATATAAAGGATGTTCTGAACAGACGCATTTCTGAACAAATTAAAAAGGACACAAAAAAGGCTGTACCACATCCTTTTAAAAAAGACCGTGTTTTCATTGAAAACGAAGTATATCATACACCATGTGATGTAGAAGGAAAAACTTCTTTGTAGAGACTAAGTTGGAAGATGTTTTCATAAAAGCGTACTATATAGGAAACATACGAGGGGTGATCAATAAGTAATGGACGCTTTTTTACACAGACACTTTTTATTGACCGATCCCTTTGATTTTCCTACCAGTGATACATCATTTAATTATCTATCAACTATGAAGATTTGAAGACAAAATATATAATACATGTTGATATATCTTTATTTCCATGAAGGAGGTACAGGTACCCCGGGACCGACATTTACGTCACATATTCAGTTTTTACCCAGATTGGTAAATCTGAGTGAGATTTGAACTTTTTATATGCAACACGTGTTGTATTGTTTGAAATTTTTTGCTGACTGGTAACACATAAACAGAAAGTATTGTAATGTCAGAGTGTTGTATGGAAGGGGTCTGCAGATCAATTTGAGAAAGCATTGTGGAAGAAAGGGGTGGTGAGAGAAGGGAACACCCTACTCCATATGGACAATGCATCTGCCCACAGATCTCTAAATGTTCAGAAAACAATATCCCTGGACCTCAAAATTGACCCTTGGCCAATGCACTGTATTGTCAACATCTACTCACATGTGACTTGTTTATTTCTATACTACTTATTTTTATAGAGAAAGGACGCAGGTTTATTAACATTGATTAAATAAAACAACCCGTGCAACTGCATCTTGCTACCATGTCAGAGAATGGATTCAGCCTTGTCTCACAATCTTGAGTTAAGGGAATGGGGAATTGTGTACATGTAGCACTTGATGGAACCTATTTAGAGGGCCCTGTGGAATGAATGTGGCATGAATACCACATAGTGATGATAAAATATTCAAAATCAACTATGGCATAACAAAATGGAGTAATTCATGACCATAATGGTTTGTTTTGTTCAGCCTGCTTTCAACTGCATTGCATGTTAAACAAGCTAAAATAGCTTCAGAATATGTGACGTAAATGTCGGTCCCGGGGTACCTGTACCTCCTTCACGGAAATGGGGATATATCAACATGTATTATATATTTTGTCTTCAAATCTTCAGAGTTGATACATAATTGAATGATGTATCACAGGTAAGAAAATCGAAGGAATTGGTCTATAAAAAGCATCTGTGTAAAAAAGCGTCCATTACTTATTGATCACCCCTCGTATATAGGAAACATAATCGGGTTGCATTGTTCGCTCTAAATGTAGAGTTTATTTTAATCAACGCTCGTGTGATCGATTAGCGAGTACCAGTTCATATACTTAGGACATATTGTTTTTGTTTTTCGCACCACTTGCCACACTTTTAAAAACAAAAAACTAAGAACCAGATTCAACTTTAAAGAAATGCGATTACTACAACATACGTTGTATATCTTCGAATCTTTCTCCATCTAAAAATAAGTTTCATGGGAGGAGACGCATTTATAGACTTAAATCTGAGGAACGTTTGAAAAGTTTTGATCCAAAAATTTATATTATGCATGAATCTTGGATGGGCCTTCCGAAGAATATTTTTGAACTTTTAATTTTGAGCTTTAAATTCCATATTTTTCAGCTTGCAATTATTCCTGATACATGTACATAAAATAATATGTATACACAATTTTTATCACTGCCGATATTTTTGTAAATAATATTGCATGCAAGTTAACATATCAAACATGGATCATATCATTCCTATAGAATTTTACTGTTTACTGTTTGTAGTTAAGTGTGAATACAGGTATCAAATGTGTAAATGTATGGTTCATTGGTAGATATATAATTATTCAAATATACTATTAGCATACATAAGTCTGTATACCATATGGTGCTGCTAAGTATAAAATAAAGTACATTGTCTTATTAAAGGGAAGTCGAAGATTTTCTTATAAAAACAAATATAGAATATCAGTAATATAATTTTTATCAACGAGTTAACACGTTCGATTCAAAAGAATAAATTATCCGACCTACTTTCCAAAATGTTTTTGCTTAACATAGGTGTTTATTACTTAGGTGGTTCAAAAAGTTTTGCAGTTGATGCCATAACTTCAAGGAAAATACATTTATACATTATATGTTAACATTTGGGACCTCAATTTTGATTGGTTCTTGAGATATGTTTGCTATGGTAACAAGAGTGGTGGGTACCATGTTCAACCCGAAATTACGTTTTTCCAAATAGTTTTCTTGCTTGAATAAATTCTTTGTAAAGTGGCAATTACCAGGTGTAAGTGTCTTTGGGTGGCTATTTTTCTTCAAATTCTTCAATTTTTCTAATTGTCTCTATGACATCACAATAGACAAGTGACACGATAAGTTCCTTTGTGATGTATACTGTCCAAAACCCAGTTGAAAAATTGAGATGGAAAAGTGAGGAAATTTTGAATTTTTTTTCCAAAATTTTCAAAATGGAAGATGTTTCCACACCAACCAATAGACAATCACTGACTGGGTTCAACATTACTACACGTTTCAAAGGTGGCAGTGTCAACATTATCAAAAATCGCTTCGAACAGTATGTAATTTTTGGCGAATTCAACAATATCATAACTTGCTACATGTATCTAACTTGGGGTTGAGTTGACCAGGAAGCCTCAGGACGCGCCTCTCTTACGGGCGATTTCTTGTTCTACAAAATCCTTGATATTTTAATTTTTGTATTCAACGAGACAACAGAGTGCCCGAGTGTAGGAAATCCCATCGATAAGTCATCATTTTTACAAACGTTCAGTTATAGCAAAAATCGTAAAATAACACACATAAAATGGCCAACATTTTCAAAATGGTCGCTCATTAGCCAAATTGCCATAAGAAAATGTAATATGCTACTAAGCACATATAAAACATAACAAAAATGCACACATGGTGGCCATTTTTCAAAATGGCTGCCTATTAGCCAGTGTCATAAGACAATGTGCTATGCTTATGAGTATTCACATATCAGATATGAACAAAATCGCTCTGTTACTTTGTGAGTAATAGTAAAAAACAAAATAGTACCATGGGTACTGGGCTCACATGGTGTTGCTCAAAAAGAGAAAAGTGAATGATGGCTAAATGACAATAGCTTCCAAATGGTCCAAAAGTGAATTTTGCAAGAGAAGCTTTTGAACCAGGAGTCACAGATGTTGAACAAAAATAACTTAAAATGGGAATCCTATTGACAGAGGTTTTAAGACGTGCCACAATTGTGTAGTGACTAACCCTACTATCACACCAAACTAGTTCTCACTACGTTCTCGGAAACGGGCCCCAACTGTGTACGAACGGACTGGACGTACTTAGAACCGTTTGGGGTCTATTTACAAACTTCATCGAACGTACTCGAACGGGTAGGTCCTCTAGAACTAACATGCTCAAAATGTTCTCTTCGTCGTCAAAACTGGTTTTAAACTGTGTGCGAACGGAATGAACGTAGCTACAACGTTCTACGGTCTGTTGTTTACGAACTTCATGGACTTTCCCGGACGGGGAATGTGATTTAGAATTTTGAATCGATACAAAATTCGATGGCGACCATACCGTTCTGTAATCAGGTCATGATGACCTAGACTAAGGAACGCGTTATACGACGTTGCACACCGACGTGGTGCGACCTGAACGAACTGCGAATGAGATGGACGTATTGAAGACTGTTTATGAACGAACTAGCTAATTATTTTTAGACATATTTCCCGACCAGAGCCAGATTGAGCCCGTTTTACGACGTTTTCGTAGGACTGGCAAGAACGGGTAAGAACTAGTTTGGTGTAATAGGGGGGTAAGAGACAGATGGACAAATCAATGTTCACTATTTAAATGGCTGAAAAAATAGATATAATTTTGGGCGATTTTTTGAAACAAAATTATTTCATACAACTGCTCTACATTGACATGGATTTTTACAACGCAGCACGGGCGGATCCAGGATTTTCTGTTTAGGGGGGGGGGGAGCGTGTGATAATAACTGTGACCGAAGAGTCAAATTTTCTAAAAAGCGATAAATGAAAAATACGAATTTTCCGACTTTTTTAAAATAGGCGAGCTTTTGAACCATGAGTCAGGGGAGTTTTCTGTATTGATGTTGAACAGAAATAACTTAAAACAGGAATCCTATCAACAAAGATTTTACAATGTGCAACTATTGTTAATGGACGGACGGGCGGATGGATGGATGAACAGACGGACAAGTGAGTGATTGTAAAAGCATGTGCGTGAGCTAATAATAAAAGAACACACGTTAAAATGGCAGCCATTTTCTAGCCAAACTGTCATGCAAACAATGTGTCATGCTTATTGGTATTCATATGTCAAATATGAACAAAATCGCTCCACTACTTTTCAAGTTACGGCAAAAATTGTGTTCAAAATAGCGTTCAAAAACTGCCTTTTTCAAGATGGCTGCCAGCCATGTGTTCCTTAAATATCTATATTTCTAGCTTTAGTAATGTCATTTATAGCCTTTTTGCATTTCTGTAAAATCGTCACTAAAATGGCTGTCATTTTTAGAGTGACCATTTTGAAATATGAACAAAATCGGGGCAACGGTATGAGAGTTATCACCTGGATGGACGAACTGACGGACGGACGGAGGTAAGGAGAAGACGGACGGAGGTGTGCCCTATATCCCTCTGAACTTCATTTGATGGAATAACAAACATAAACAGTACATTATATACATGTCAAGAAAGATTTATGGAGGAGTATTTCATTGTATTCGATTGTTAAATGTGACACTGATATTCTGATACATCTTAAGCTCATCAGGATAAAGATAGTTGGAGCTACGACATGTTTGGCACGCATATCACTACTGTAGCATGGGGACATGTTCTACTGGACATAGAAACTGAAAATCCTGAGTGCAGTATTCAAAGAATATAAGTAGAAAATTATTCCAGTAGACACATGCTGTACACAAACTTGTTTCATGTAGATTTTACATGAGAAATAAAAAGACTATTTGGACTAGGATAAATAATAATTTATTTCTGACAATAGTATGTTCTTTCAAACATAGAACAATCAGATTTAATGGTATCCAGTTTTTTTTAATGTACATATATTTGCATTGACAAAATATTATCAGTTTAGAATTGTGTTATGTCATTTCCTTCTAGATCTTGAAAATGCATAACTGACTAGTAGTGCCTCAATAATCCCCACTGCAAATGCTTTGTTCAATTGCACTAACAGAATAAGCCATGGTAGATAATGATAACATAAATTAGAAAATTGAGTTGTAAATCTCAACAAACAAAATATGGTTTTCAACAAAGTGAAGGAAGCTATTTCGAAATACACTGAATCATGGAACTGGAACACCTCTTTGTAAGCAATGCCTCTCCATATGGAAATATATAATACGACTTATTGACTTTTACATCAGCAAATCTTTAGGTTTCACTGTACCATTGATATGAATATAATGAAAGGCACACAATAGTAACTTTCTCTAGAGTTGCACAAAATCTCATTCAGGTGGTCATTTTTTGCTTTCCTTGGCAAAATACATTCAATTTAAAAAACAATAAAGTTGTACTTTCATTTTTTGTAAATTAGATGCATCTGGTGCTCTTCAGCAGTATTACTTACATCACAGTAGCACAAAATACCTCTCATACAATTTTAATCATACTGCTGCCATTACCTTAGCTAGAATGAAAAGGTCTTCAAAATTATTTCATTTCTGCAAATCATGACTATACCCTTCAGACCAGTTCCCTACATGACCATTATCCACCGATGACAGAACAATCACTCAAACAGTTTTGATCATACTGCTGCCACTACATAGCAAATGCGCAGAAGGTATACTATGACCATTACCCACCATGACCATTACCCATCATGACCACATGGCCATTACCCACCATGACCATTACCCATCATGACCATTACCCATCATGACCATTACCCACCATGGCTACATGCTAGAGCAAGAGGCATTAAATATTCACTGTTACAAATGTGTCCTCCTATACCAGTGTCATGTAAAATTACCCTTCATGATAGGTAATTTTAGTAACGTCACAAAGTGCCTTATTAGTTTTAACATTGGGTAACTTCAACCTTTACATGGCACCGGGGCCTCCTCGCAATTCTCTATGCTAATATTTTAATTTTTTTTCTTTATACGAGTTCTTTTGCTTATATAGTATTCATAGATTTGAGTAGATTCAAACTGTTGAATGTTTAGTATTAAAGGCAGATTTTCGAGTTTCTCAGACTTTATGTGAGCTCAGATTTACATATGTGAATATTACCAGGAGTATGTTTGTATATAAATAATATAATAATGTTTTTGAAAATAATTCAGTCCATAATCTGCTAATATTTGCCACCCATCTCATCATCCTCACTGCCAACATATTCATCCTCAAATATGTGGATGTATTGCTCTATGAGAATGTTTGTGAACAGGTTGATGTGTCCAAGTGCAGACAGAGACACCTGATTCTTGCTCCATACTAAGTTAGGACCAAACACTATTGCAATGTTTGATGCAGTCATCTTGTTAACATCACTATGGGTAGATACCTGCAAAATGCAAATTTTGAATTAATGGGCCAAACAGGAAATGCACAAAGGTTGAAGTAGCTGGTTTATTCATGCTGATCAGTCCATCTTGAGACAAACATTCAGGACTTCGCTGGATTACTATTCTTAACTAATTGAAGGACCACAATAATCTAATCAAGGAATTAAAAATAGTTTTAAATCCATTTAAACCGTTCACTCACATACTTCATTTACATTGAGAAACTATATTTGTGTTTAGTTTTGTGACTCTAGATTAAATCACAGACTTAGACTTAGAGATTCTGAAAGTCCATTGATTAATGATCTGTACCTCACTAAGAGGAAGTAGCCACAAGATGTGACAAGCACTACAGATCCAGATCACTTGATTTCATATTGAGTTCTTACCTCATTTAGAAAGCGAATCAGGTATTTCAAGACTAGGAAGTTATCTTCAGGGAGCTCATCATACAGGAGACGCTTTATCTCATGTACCCTCTCTTCTGAATCAAGGGCTGCAAATACATGTAGTAATTATTGTTAATACATTGTAATATGCCTCATATTTTCCCTTTCATGTAATTCTACAGTTATATTTACAAATATTATCATGAGGTACTTGGCTCACTTTGATAGGGACTTTTAATAAAAATGGCAGGACGATATTGATTAGAGGTCCCTGCACCATTTTAATATAAAGTAATGCACCCCCTGAGAAGCAAACATATTTTATTAAATCACCCGTGTTTGAATGTGATAGAAATAACTAGATAGAAGTATTGTTCCATTTTAGCAAAATCTGAATCCATGATGTTACAAATGACACAACCCTGAATTATTTAAGTTATCGATAATTTGTAAGCTATTCTTAAATAGGCATAAAATCCAGTATCTAATTTAAGCAATATGTTTGAGAACTGGCAACCATATATATGGAGAATATAGAGAACAACATATCACATATGGAAAATAACATATGAAAGCTCATCAAGAACAGACTTGCACAGGTTCCCATACAAGAACATTGGAGTGTCTTACATTGTATTTTGATGACCGCATCATAGAGGTCAAATGTAATGAGAGGCTCTTCCAGTTCCCTCAGGAATGTTTTCAGGCTGACTGCAGCAACATGCACATCTCCCATCTGGTCAAAGTCAACTTGTTCACCTGAGCAACATTTACATAACATTTGAGATTGCAAGGATCATTATGTAGCTAAATGCACAACTCCCATCTGGTCAAAGTCAACATGTTCACCTGAGCAACATTTACATAACATTTGAGATTGCAGGATCATTATGTAGCTAAATGCACATCTCCCATCTGGTCAAAGTCAACTTGTTCACCTGAGCAACATTTACATAACATTTGAGATTGCAAGGATTATTATGTAGCTAAATGCACATCTCCCATCTGGTCAAAGTTCACATGTTCACCTGAGCAACATTTACATAACATTTGAGATTGCAAGGATCATTATGTAGCTAAATGCACATCTCCCATCTGGTCAAAGTCAACATGTTCACCTGAGCAACATTTACATAACATTTGAGATTGCAGGATCATTATGTAGCTAAATGCACATCTCCCATCTGGTCAAAGTCAACTTGTTCACCTGAGCAACATTTACATAACATTTGAGATTGCAAGGATTATTATGTAGCTAAATGCACATCTCCAATCTGGTCAAAGTCAACATGTTCACCTGAGCAACATTTACATAACATTTGAGATTGCAAGGATCATTATGTAGCTAAATGCACATCTCCCATCTGGTCAAAGTCAACATGTTCACCTGAGCAACATTTACATAACATTTGAGATTGCAAGGATCATTATGTAGCTAAATGCACATCTCCCATCTGGTCAAAGTCAACATGTTCACCTGAGCAACATTTACATAACATTTGAGATTGCAAGGATCATTATGTAGCTAAATGCACATCTCCCATCTGGTCAAAGTCAACATGTTCACCTGAGCAACATTTACATAACATTTGAGATTGCAAGGATCATTATGTAGCTAAATGCACATCTCCCATCTGGTCAAAGTCAACATGTTCACCTGAGCAACATTTACATAACATTTGAGATTGCAAGGATCATTATGTAGCTAAATGCACATCTCCCATCTGGTCAAAGTCAACATGTTCACCTGAGCAACATTTACATAACATTTGAGATTGCAAGGATCATTATGTAGCTAAATGCACATCTCCCATCTGGTCAAAGTCAACATGTTCACCTGTGCAACATTTACATAACATTTGAGATTGCAGGATTATTATGCAGGTGCATGTACTTTTACATATCCTACTATTAAGGTCAACTAAACTCCAGAGTAGCAAATCAAAAACTTATGAGTGAGTAAATTACCACAAATATGCATCATTACAAATTAATTTTTTGAAGTTGCAACTTAAACCTTGGTCAAATCAATGGTATATAAATAAGTGTTGGTTAAACTTACTTTGAGTGAAGGCAGTAATACTCACCTTGGTTGAACTTAGTTTGTACTGCTTTCAATGTGGTTGCATTAGCGGATCTTCGGAATATTCCCTCAGTGTGCATGCCTGTCTTACGTATGTAAGCTATCGTCTCCTCCATGACAGGAGGAATCACCTCATTGTTGTGATGCTCTTTTATACTGGAATAAGGATCACATATAAGTCACACGTAGGTCTGAAAATTTGGATTTGATGTATTTGAATTTTGATGATTTCAAAATTTGCTATCATTTTTTGAGTAAATGTTTACTTTGTGACATTTAAAATAGGGAAACAGTAAGAATGATAAAGGAACATGATGTCATTTGCATCATAAAATTGTGCAATTTCTTTCCTGGTTGTCCTTTTTTGACTATGTTAAAACATAGAATTAAATCATGTAAGAAGTGCTAGACTTGGCCAAGTCGGCATTATCTTTTATTTATCTTGATTTTCAATTCATATACACTGTACTGCCCTGTGGCATCCCTTCAATCTACACAGATATTAATCAACAGTTTCGAGATTTCCATAATTCCTATGCATATTTGTAAGGGGTATCTCGAAACTGTGTTAATGGGCAAGATGACCTTGTGGCCACTACGTGTGTTAATGATCGCTTGATCACACTTCGTGGCAGTGCGAGTCTTAAATGTATCTAAACTGACACAATATGCAATGGAGTTTGACGTGTGACTTCATACTGATTGACCAATCAAAAAGCATCTCTAAACATAATCAAATTTTAACGAATAAACAAAGCAAATATGACTTAAAAATTTTCAATGATTTGATTGAGTATTTCTTCCAAGTTCCAATATATTCTGCAATTAAATGTACATTGGAATGTAAGTAGTCATTTATATAAATTAAACCACACGATTATATGTTGATTTAAAACTGAATTTGCAATGAAAATGCATGAAGATCTAGTCCTGATCTGATTGATCTGGATCTAGGCCTTAAAATCCTCTCAGGTACAGGTATCTAATCGATGCTCCACCATCCACTAATCTCTGGTTGATAATCATCTGATAATATATTTGTATTTTCATGATGAATTGTGCAAGATCTGTTCATGAAGAAAGAACTTGTTTTGACTGTGCATCAATAATGAAATAACGCTGCGATTGACAATAACAATCTGTCGGTAAAGCACGTGTCAAAGTGAAAATCAAATTAAAAAAAATAAAGAGACAATGACTTAAGCAAGGCTAGGGGAGAGTTTGTAATACTAACAATTTTAACGATGCTCCAAATTGTAGCGTTGATGACTGTCGATAGAAGTTAGCTGTTAGGGATGGCACTTTAGGTTTGTTCTTTGCAAGATGGAGGGCATCATATCTACAACAAATATAAAAATACAATCTTTGGTTCTTAGCATCCAAATCTTTTTCTAGTATACATGTATATGTAAATAATATGATTTTAGCATTCACTGCATCTTGTATCATATGCTGAGTAATATACTGTTATATATAGTGTTTATCAAAATAAATAAAATGAAATGTATATTTGATTGAATCAAGTTTATGCTATAAAAAATAATGAATTAAAAATAGGAGGTGCCATGCAACACATGTTTTATTATATGCTTTTAATTTTAAGACAAAGAAATAAAAATGTTCAAAACTCACTCTCGGACTCTATTTGGAACTGATAGTTGATCAAAATGTAAATCTTTTTGGAGCTCATGTAGGTAGTTCACATACATTACTTTCTTACCAAACTTTGCACTGGAAAAACAGAATAAAGCCTCTAAATTAAGTTAAGCCCATTTAATTGAAAATAACTTTCATTTGCTTGTATATTTATCTATTTTTTTTATACAAGATAAAATATCTACATACACTACTGTATTTCATGTATTGTTTCTCGAGCCAATCTTTATTTAAACAGCTATTTACTTTAATTAACTAGGCTTATCATTAATATCCTTGTATGATAATTATATACATATATCAAACATATATTTATTTTGTTGCCTATTTCTAATCTATATTTCTTATTCAATTTATGTGCATTATTTACTTGTTTTTATTTCCACTGTCATTCTTCCTACAAACAACATCACTAACAAATAGTGCAGAATTTCAACATAGAAATGAACACATTTTATGATTCTGTTCAAGCATAAACAATGCATTTGATGTTTCATAATGGACTTAATTCTCTACTTATGTGTAAAATGCCAGCTTCTTATAAGTATTTGTCTTCTCTTAGACAGTCATTGATAAAGTCTAATAGAGATTAAGAGATCATGGAGTTCACTTACCTGATAACAGGTTTAAATATGTTCCAAAGCACTTTAATAAAGTTTGTTGGATGGACTACATAAAATGCTTTTAAGTTTTTCTTGTATCTGAAATTAATAATTTCTTATTTTATCAAATGCAAAAATCTACAGATCGTATCTTCAAATCTGACCGGTGAATATAGAAGGATTTTAGTCAAGACTTTAAGCCAAAGAAAGTTGCTCTCATAAATGTACAGGGTGGGCCAAAAAAACATAAATAAATATAGATCATATATCATTGTAAAGACAATTCAATTTCCAATAAAATGATATATAATTTATTTCACATAAACAAGTATTTATTTTAATATAACATTTTGATTACCACAGAGGTCAAAATCATGATTTACCGATTGCTAAAGATGGAATGTTAAAAACTGACCAGACAGATATAACCCCTATGTCAGCTTTGGGGATATAAGTCTAATTAAAGATGTCAATTGATTTATGTATCAAATGAAAGCAAATTAATTTACTAATCCAAATGTATTGAGTTCTTCTACCATTTTGACAGGTATTGGTAATATTATAACCCAAGTAACGCAAAAGTGTTGATTAAGCAATGCAATATTATGTATTAAGGTCAAAACAAATAGTGCAATGTTGTTTTCGACTAATACTACCATGGAGTCACCAATAGCCATTCATATTTTTTGAATCATATATACTTTGCTGGAAATTATCTTTCAAATGATATTTCTAACATACCAGCGAAGATATTACAAAAATATTTTTATTGGTCCACCCTGTAATGCCTTTAAAAATATCCAATATATAATACGAAATGGATACATTTAAATTCTGTGTGTCATAGTTGTTAAAGTGTAGTTCCCAAAATACATATATACATTATATTATTGATATAAAGTCACAAAACATTGACTTTATAGAAAGTGTAGGTTACTTACTTTCTAGAAAATTCCTTGTAGGCCTGAAGAAGCCAGCGAAGGCTTGGTTTATTTTTGCTTGTTAAGCCATGATGAAAGTAGACAAGTGTGTAGTCACTCTCAACATACTGGTCTAAAGTGTGTTTCAGGTAGCTGAAACAAAACAATACTTCATTAAGGGTCTCTTCTACTTTATTTCAATGTCCATCAAATTAGTCTGTTATGACATTCAATGATAACTCATGCTCCGCATTTTATTCTATCACCCATTATTGAGAAAACTGATGAATAGGCATTTTTCTATATCCCTCCTAACTACTCCAGTGGGATATTGGCCAACAAATTCATAATAACAAATCATGCTTACTCTAAAAGTCGCTGGTGGTCTAAGTCCTTACAAGGAGGTAGCCTACATGCAGAAAAGACTATCACTTTACGACCGTAGTTATCATCTCCTGCTACCTGAACAATAGAGTAGCGCGAAATGTCTTGGAACTCAGACTCTTTACTTGTATCATTCACTACCTCCTAGAAGGTAGAAACACAATTAATGAAGACCATTATGCCTTTCTCAGACAAATGTTCCTGGGATATAGCAGATTTAAATTCCTGGTACATTCAACATCCACAACCAAGGACTACATTCTACATGTACAACTTATATTAAAATACCTTTTCTCTCCAAAAATATGCCATCCTCCCTGTTCATTTCACTTCTTTAACACAAAGATTTTAAATCTGACAAATTTTTGCAACAGTTTGTTTGCAAATGAATTTTATTGAGGAGGGCCTAATCTAAAAGCATTATTGATAATATTTTCCTATTGAGTACTCCGTTTCTTTACCTCACAAGGAGATCCTAGTTCATCTTCAAAGTCTTCATCAATAAGACCATCGGGTGTGATAGCTCCTGTCCTAAACATACTCTGATTCTCTGCCTCTTCTTTGGCAAGCTCTGAAACATAACTTTCATTTATTAACCTTCATTTATCTTCAAAAATATTGACAAAACTAAAAATAAAGACTCATAACTCCAGGAAATATAGAATACTAGAAAAACAGTAACTCCACGGAGTTGCAAATCCCACCAAACAAACCATATTTTGATAATGTGGCTTGAAATTTTTTTTCTTAAACACAGCATATCAGCATATAAAATTTGAACCAAATCCATCCACTCTTTTGAGTTATTGAAGTTATTGAAAAAAATGGGCATTTTGAAAATCAGCTGCCATCTTGAAAATTCTCCTTGAGAAGAACTCCTTTGTCCCTAGGTATGAACATATAAATTTGAACCAAATCTGTCGATTGGCATTTGAGTTATCAAAGATGATGTTATTTTACAAAAAATGGTGGCCATTTTGAAATTCAGTCGCCATATTGAAATTTCTTTCTCAAGCAGAACTACTATGTCCCTAGGCATCAGCATATAAAATTTGAACAAAATCCATTTGCTGATATTTGAGTTATTCAAAGATTATGCTTTTTATGAAAAATGGTGGCCATTTTGAAATTCAGCTGCTATCTTAAAATTCTTTCTCCAACAGGGCTACTGTGTCGCTAGGCGTCAGTATATAAAGTTTGAAACAAATGATATTTGAGTTATCAAAGTTTAAATTCTTTTACAAAAAATGGCAGCCATTTTGAAATTCAGCTACCATCTTGAAAATCTCTTCTTACTCCTTTGATCCTAGGCATCAGCATATGAAATTTGAACCAAATCCGTCAACTAGATTTGAGTAGTCAATGATTACATTTTTACACAAAAATGGTGGCCATGATTGAGTAGCCATATTGAAAATATTGAAACGGATGGATGGATGGATATCCCTATATCCCTCTTGAACTTCGTTCTGTGGGATAGTGAGTTATATGTCATTCTGTATTATCACATTCCTTATATGTAACACTAATCCTGGTCAATTCATAGTCATGTGCCATAAAATAGAATTACTATTTCCTTTTAAAATCATATTCCCTCAAAAGTGAGAATTGGAAATATGCATTTGAACTATTGCCCTCTGATGTCACGATTGCAACTTTTGTTTCAATGTTCAATATAATGTTGGCAGTGTGGATAAAGTTCCGTAAGCTCAATATGTCTGTGTAATTTCAAGTGTTATGATAATTTATTTCGCATGTTAAATTGCATGTTAATTTGCGAAGTGTGTCTCAAAAATTGAATTAAAGAGCCTCTTGTCATCAGTAGATTTTTAAAGCACCAAGAATGTGATAAAGGGATAAGTAATATTGTCAAGAAAAAAAAAATTGATCAATATCAGTGATGTAATCCAGGATACTGCAGAGCGGCCAAATTTTCTCAGCCTGCGTTGGCCTTCACTGAAGAAACGGGCAAATCAATATTGGGTATATAATAGAACATATAGTGACTCTCTCATTTCAAGCTATGGTTAAAATGATTTCCCTTTGGGTATGTCCTCTAAAATGTACTATTCCCGAAGCTGTAAGAGAAATAAAACTTTCACTATTGCCCTCAATGCCAGTTGCTATTTGTATTCTGTTACATAACAGATTTTTAAATCAAAATTACTAATTTCTTGAAAACCAAGAGAACTTGGAAAATGGCAATGATGGGTCAAATATATAATATAAATTAAATAAAATGAATCCCATCATTATGAATATGTTCACATACCACTGAAATTTTTATTGACAAAGTTTTCTTTCTTATGATAAAATGTAGAAAACAAGAAATATATGTTCCTCATGTAGCTCATTTTATTACTACCAGCTCCTACCTTTACAGTACATACCTCTAAGGCTCTTGTGGATTTTGAATCAAATTAATTCAATTCATCAAATTCATTTTCAGCTCTGGATATTGTCACTTCCTCTCATTATTATCATTCTCTGATTATTATCTGACCCAATTCATTTTCATGGCACACAGTTACAGAATATTCATAAGAAAATATGTATCAATCCAATAGCCATAATGACATCTATTTTTAGAATAATTGTAAGGTCTGGTAGGTTGTTATGGTGACTATTAACAATGCATTTTTGATTCATCACAATCAAACATTCTACTGTTACAAAATGTTTTACACAGAATGACAAACAAATTCAAATTTTATGTGATAAATGATGTCACAAAAAGGACAATCAAACTAAAGTAAATACTGAAGTGACAATTTGAAATAGCTTTTTTAGGTTTGTTTATCATATTAAAATTGTTACAAAAACCTTGATCCCATGAGAATCATAACAAAGGCATTGATTCTATAAATTATGTCAAATATTTCTAATTACTATGCAGTTTTATTTTGCCATTGCCAAAGACCCCAATCATTTTGCAATATTATCATTGAATGATCTGAAAGAATCAGCAATCATAATTAATCTATATGTATATGACACCATAAATGACAGAATCAGGGTCTTTGTCATTTTTAAAATAATTGTGTAAGTTTTCTTCAATCAATAACCAAGCCAGGCAGATGTTATTTTTTAGTAAAACAGCATGTGAAAAAATAAAAATGTTAGAAAGTTTTAAATCTTTATTATTATGTTCATCTAATGCAAGCTAGATATTATTGTTAGTAGAAGAGGCACACTATGATTACATATTAGCAGCATATATTGCTGACTGCCACTTTGAGAGGCACATGCTAAATTATAACAATTTCAAGGTATAGCAAATCAGATCTAATCGAACATCTAAAGTGGCAGACATATCCATTGCTTTGGTTCCTCCATCAGGGCCATATCATAAAATTTAAAATTGGCAATCATTTTTTAAATCAGGTGAATAATTTAAAAATAAAGCATCACACTCCTTAACTGCATAAATATAATGACCAAATCATTCCAATAGTTTTCAAAAAAACTGAGCATAAACACCACATATTTATTTTATTTATTATAAGAATGAGTAGATGGTATATATGGTCAACATGAAGAATAAATAGATGGTAGATATGGTCAACACCATAAAAAAATAGATGGTTGATATGGTAATGCCAAGAATAAATAGATGGTATATATGGTCAACACCAAAAATGAATAGATGGTATATATGGCCAACATGAAGTATGAATAGATTGTGGATATGGTCAACACCAAGAATGAATAGATTGTAGAAATGGTCAACACCAAGAATAAATAGATGGCGAGAATGGCCAACACCAAGAATGAATAGATGGTAGATATGGTCAGCAGCAAGAATAAATATATGGTGAGAACGGCCAGCACCAAGAATGAATAGATGGTAGATATGGTCAGCAGCAATAATAAAAAATAGATGGTGAGAGTGGCCAACACCAAGAATGAATAGATGGTAGATATGGTCAACAGCAAGAATAAATAGATGGTGATAATGGCCAACACTGAGAATGAATATATGGTAGATATGGTCAACAGCAAGAATAAATAGAAAGTGAGATTGGCCAACACCAAGAATGAATAGATGGTAGATATGGTCCGCAGCAAGAATAAATAGATGGTGAGAATGGCCAACACCAAGAATGAATAGATAGTAGATATGGTCAGCAGCAAGAATAAATAGATGGTGAGAATGGCCAACACCAAGAATGAATAGATGGTAGATATGGTCAACAGCAAGAATAAATAGATGGTGAGAATGGCCAACACCAAGAATGAATAGATGGGGGATATGGTCAACAGCAAGAATGAATAGATGGTAGATATGGTCAACAGCAAGAATAAATAGATGGTAGATATGGTCAGCAGCAATAATAAATAGATGGTGAGAATGGCAAACACTAAGAAGAATGAATATATGGTAGATATGGTCAGCAGCAAGAATAAATGGATGGTAGATATGGTCAACAGCAAGAATGAATAGATGGTGAGAATGGCCAACACCAAGAATGAATAGATGGTAGATATGGTCAACAGCAAGAATGAATAGATGGTGAGAATGGCCAACACCAAGAATGAATAGATGGTAGATATGGTCAACAGCAAGAATGAATAGATGGTGAGAATGGACAGCACCAAGAATGAATAGATGGTAGATATGGTCAGCAGCAATAATAAAAAATAGATGGTGAGAGTGGCCAACACCAAGAATGAATAGATGGTAGATATGGTCAGCAGCAAGAATAAATAGATGGTGAGAATGGCAAATACTAAGAAGAATGAACAAGGCATTAACATGACAAAATGCCACCACCTAGTTGCTCACAATATTATGAGTTCAATCTCAAGTCAGATTTGAATTTCTGAGAACTTGTAGATGATTTTGAAAAATAAATTGGTGAATTTGAAGCAAGTTGTAAAAATACCTTTTTTTACCTAGAAAAGGATTAAAGCAAGTTAAAAAAGACCTTTTTTGAACATAAGAAGGTCATTGAAGGTGAAATCTTAAATCTATAGTCAGATTTGAACTTCTGAGAACACGAAGATGATTTTGAGACTTGTAGAAGATTTCGAAAAAATTTAAGTCAGTCTAAACAGTATTTGTTAAGTTATTGGAAGTTAGAAGAATTTGTTACAGACGCCAACCACCAACCGCCGTCAAAAAAAAACAGGAGACCATAACAATATGTCACCACTTTTTGGTGGTGACATAATAGATGGTAGATATGGTCAACATCAAAAATAAATAGATGGTGAGAATGGTCAACACCAAGAATGAATAGATGGTAGACACCAAAATAATGCATTCTGATTTTCAGAATAATGTATTCTGATTTTACATCTTAGACAACCACATCTTAACAATGGACGGAGTACTAATTAATCATAATATGGGTATGTTTGGGGGTTTTATGTCTATCCATTTTGTCATTTAATTTGGGTGATAACTTCTTGATTTTGATTGGGAATCTTTTGGGAATAGGACCTTTGTTTGATAAAAAAATGAAATATGGATATGGTGCTCAATTCAAAATGGCCATCACTTTTTGTGAAAAATATAATTTGCAATAACTCAGATACTAAAGTAGTTGGATTTGATTCAAAAAACGAAATACATTCTATGTTCATTTCATTTCAGCTTTTCCATGATCAACATCCAATCAGTATGTATAAATCAGTGATGAGACCACCTCCTTCCTGGAAAGAACAAACTTACTTTAACTGTAGTGGTCAAAAATGTTGTTTTTTGTAGAGGAGTGCTCATTTCAATGTGTTAGTAGCTAATGATCTTGAATTAATTGCTTGTATTGAGGATGGAAAGGCAATCACACCATTAATATAATCAGATGCACGTTATGATTTTATGATTTAAGAATTTTTAAAATCAAAGCCCTTTTTAATTTTTTCTATCTGCACTATGAAAAGAACATTCTTGGATAACAACAGGAATATTGTGTAAATATACATGTAGATGTATCTAAAACATTTAGGCTGCCATAAGGCAAAAATTAGAGGTTGCAACATAAGTGAAGGTCACATCTGTTAATTGTCACGAAAATAAACATACTATTTTAACATTTCCAGTAATAAAGGAATTATGAACATAGGTTAACAATTCCAGGGAATCTTAAATCTTACCACTTTTTGGAGTAAAACTGATATATAAAAATATGTTGATTACAATTATAGAAGTGACTATGGAGTATTCTTGTACTATTGTTAATAACATGTTGGTTGCTAATAAGTTTTGATTTGAATTTTATATCTTTGTTTCCTGGTCTAGCCCGAGATGATTGGTAATGCATTGATCTCTTTTAGACTACATGACTGATAATGTATCTTTGTTCATTTGAAATGGAGCAAAATAATTCAATAATTGATTTGATAATATATCTTTGTTCACATGTATCCTTGTTCACCTGTAATGCAGCAAGATAATTGAATTGATAATGTATCCTTGTTCACTTGTAATGCAGCAAGATAATTGAATTGATAATGTATCCTTGTTCACTTGTAATGCAGCAAGATAATTGAATTGATAATGTATCTTTGTCCACTTGTAATGCAGCAAGATAATTGAATCAATAATGCATCCTTGTTCACTTGTAATGCAGCAAGATAATTGAATTGATAATGTATCCTTGTTCACTTGTAATGCAGCAAGATAATTGAATTGATAATGTATCTTTGTTCACTTGTAATGCAGCAAGATAATTGAATTGATAATGTATCTTTGTTCACTTGTAATGCAGTAAGATAATTGAAATGCAAATGTATCCTTGTTCACTTGTAAGAAAACAAGATAATTGAATTGATAATGAATCCCTGTTCACATGTCGAGACAGACAATTGAAAATGTATCCTTGTTCCTATTTATGAAAGAGGTTTAATTTGTATCAACATTCCATTTTGGGAGCCATGCATGAAATGTTAGTAATATAAATATATAGCAATGCCACCATGAGACAACCACAATTCCACATGCGTCACTCACCTGCCATAAGTTCCCAATAATCTGGGCATTGTACCGTAACATCATTCTGTACTATATATAGAAAACACCACAACATTTTTTACAATATAGAGTATATTGAAAACACCATATCAGGATTATAGAGAAATGAGAACTTGCTATATACTCAAGAACCACAACATTTTGAACAATATATAGAAATAGGAACTTAATGTACACCAAAGAACAACATCATTTTGTACGATATATGGAAATAGGAACTTAATGTACACCAAAGAACAACATCGTTTTGTACGATATATAGAAAAAGGAACTTAATGTATACCAAAGAACAACATCATTTTGTTCGATATATAGAAATAGGAACTTAATATACACCAAAGGACAACATCATTTTGAACAATATATAGAAATAGGATCTTAATGTACACCCAAAGAACAATATCATCTTGTATGATATATCGAATAAGCAATTAATGTACACAAAAGGACCACATCCTTTGTAATTATATAGAAATAAGAACTTAAAGTACTAAACACTCAGGAAATCTTTTCTCTGATCATATGTGATATTTCTTAATAATATTCCTCCAAGTATATTGTATTGTTTTTTGTTTACTGCAATATTTTGTTGAGCAATTCCTCATGTTTCCATATATTTTACACTTAGACAGAGCCAGAAACTCCTCCTTGGAGGAGCCCTGTGTTATATCCATGTGATATGTATAGACATACAAGTACACACCTCAAGTTGCGGACTCAATCACCCTGAATCACACAATGCACAAACAAATTTTGTCTGAACTGGGACTCATACCCAGTGTGTTTGAATTGAGTGCCCAATTGTTTTTTAACCATGTACTTAGATTATGTAAGAAATTTATCTTATTTTTTCTGACTTAAGTAAGTTGTTATTATGATCAGAGAGTACTCATGGTCAACTGTATTAATATGTATGTATAATATCTTTATTGCCCTAATAGTTTAGGAGATACAAATATATGTGAGGTTCTTTTTCTTTCAATCTACATTTTTTGTATATCCTCAATTGTAATTTCAAACCACAAACAAATTAGCTAATTCAAATATTCAATGAAGATTTTTAATTAAACGAATACAGGTAGAGTGTACTTCATTATTATTTGATATCTTCATAATTGCCCTAATTATTCACAAATATGGCCTAAATAAGATATAAGCAGATTAAGAAGAAGCAAGTCAAAGAACCCATGAAATAATATTGTTAGCCCAAACTCTGTTCTGACACCAGAGAAAGTCGCATTATTGCGCCATGACTTACCCACAACTTTTAGTACAGAGCGTTACTTTTACAAAACAGCGCATCTTATCTTTTAACACTTCTGCTTGTTTTCTAGTCAATGGAGACTTTAAGCTGGGATATAAAATCGAAACGCCAACCTGTACGTATGAAATCGTCCTATACAAATGCATGTAGTTTTCTCACAGAAATAATCGTTCGGTTATAGTGTTTACTTAGTCTGTTACTTAGACCACACCGTGGCGTGTATTATGCCATCGATAGTTATACAGGGTGGGCCAAAAAATGACACTTTATTTTCAAAATGTTCTGTGATTCCCACACTTGTTAATTCGTTATTATTTGTTACATTAGTGCAGTAATTTGAGGGTAATTGCCTATGGTAATTTATGACAATTAAGATGTTCTGATTTACATGATCTGGTAAAATTGAAAAATCGATTAGTAATCAACTTTATGCTACATTATTCTAATATAATAATTGACATAATATTAAGTGATTTTAGGTGGCTGATAATGAGAGAGACACCCATCACTTGGTGTACATCTGCCAGGACAATACAAGGTACATTTCCATAATTTGATTTTTGATTTTTGGAGCAACTTTTGTAACATTTTTGCATTGCAACTTTAGCATACCCCTGGCGCAACTTTTTAGAAAATAAGTTGCAACTTTATCTGGTGTCAGTCTAATGGAAGTTTCAAGCACAGCTACCCATATGCTGGTGGCTGTGTGCAATAGACTATCCAGTTGTGCCTATTTTTCAAACTTTGTGATTTGCACTGACAATTATTGAAGTTCATAGTATACTTGTACCTTCTAATTCATCTTCACTCATGTCTGCATGAAAAAAGATATATTGCATTAGATGTAAATATAATATAATACTATCATGTTACAAACCATTTAATTTAAAATGGTAAAATGTGGTAAGAACTTCCCAATGAGACAACTAGGAGGCTGAGAGACAACTGGATGGGAGGCAAAGAGACAACTACAGGTAAGTAGGAGGCATTGTAACAAATGAGTGAATTGGTAGGGAGATCCTAGGGTGTTTCATTTTTTGAACATTTTTTCTGATCAAGCTCTTCTTTTGCCCAACTGGTCTCCTGATAGTCTTAACTTAGCATAAAAAGTTTCAGCCAAATCAGGTGACGTTTAGACCTCCCTGTACCACATATTCTGGCACTCATTTGCTACCATGTTAATACTCATCTGGAAATTGCTGAAAGTGTCAATTTCATCATGTTTGAGACCCATGTTCTAACAAAGGCATTACAGCGATTCGTATCAAAGGATAGGTATCGATATGGTTCTGAATTCAACAATGTTTTTCTCTTCAACCAATTATTGAAAACATTCTGTAAAAAAACATGGTCCTTTATGTAATGTTGACCGATTGAACAATTTAATGCAAAATGTCAACAGATTTTTTGTGCTTGGTTAGAACTATCTGGAAATCAGTTGGGCAAAAGAAGAGCTTGATCAGAAAAAGTCTGAAAAATGAAACACCCTTGGACAAGCCCATTGTATTCAAATAATTTGTGTCCATATTCTCCCTGTCTCCCACCCAATCATCTTATCTCCAACACACTCATGGCATGTTTTTCAGAATAATTATACCATTATTACCATTACATCTGCCTCAAGAAAATGAACTAGACAACAGCAACGCCAAAGCATATGAAATCCCATCGAACAGACATGGCTTGCATTTTTACAAAGTATATAGCAAAAATGGCAGCCATTTTTCAAAATGGCCGCCTTCTACCAAAAGTGTCATTAGACAGTGTGCCATGCTTACAGTATTCACATACCAAATATGAACAAAATCACTCCACTACTTTTTGAGTTATAGTAATTTAAAACATGTTGCTATTACAGTTTTACATATTGGACAGGGTGTCCAAAAAAAACAAGACGGTAAGAAAGTTGAATACATGTACTTCGGTCAATTTTGCAAATTTTGCCTTGACATTTTAGAATTATTTAGTTCATTCAATGTGAATTTTGTTGTACAAGTTTCATGGTACTCTGTCTATTTTGTCAAAAACTACAGTACCTTACAAAACATGCTCAAAATGGGCACTTCTCCTCTCTATGCACAAATGAATCCTGCGAACAAAGTTGTTAAAGACCCTGACCTAAATGTGGATGGTACAAATTGGGATAGTTATTGCCCTCTTAAGATTGTTAGGGGCCTGGCAGATTTCTATCGAACTTTCACAACAGAATTCACATTGGATAAACTAAATAATTCTGAAATTTCAAGGCAAAATATGCAAAACTGACTGAATTATTTAACTTTCTTAAGGTCATGTTTTTTGGAAACCCAGTACCTAAATTACTGTAAAATAGGCACTAAAATGGCCGCCATTTTTAAATAAATGAGCAGCCATTTTGAAAATCAGCTATTGAGCAGAATTTCTACCCCCATAGGGTATATGTGTACAAAATATGAACAAATTCGAGCCAACAGTATTTGAGTTATTGCCTGGACGGACGGAGCTGCGTTCCCTATATCCCTCCGAACTTCGTTCGATGGGATAATAAGGCGATGTCCTCAAATAAAACAGACCTTGCTAAATCTTTTGAAAAATCAACAACATTTTTTTATGAATTATCTAGTTGTGATTCTTTTAAATTTATGTAGAAAAATAGCAACTCCCAAGAGTAGCTCAAATCCCACCAAACAAAACATATTTTATCAAATAACTTCATGATAGAGATAACAAGGCATCTTGGCAAAATCTACACCCATGACATCTATGACATGACACCATAGTAGAAATTCCTTCTCAAGTATGAGTGCTTCGAAATTTTGACCAAATCCAATAGAATATAATAGAACTTTGACTAAAACTGTTATCACAATTGTTTTCAATTTGACTGGATTTTTTCTGAAAAAGAATGGGGTAAATCCTCATTGACAAAACATTTAATATCTTAAAAGTTTAATTTATTCTTTGGAGGAAAACAATTCTAAGGTTGTAATTGGATGGACAGGCATACAGGCAAATGAATGGATAGACAAACTGATGGACAAACAAACAGATAGATGACTTTTCTATATCCCAACACAAACTTTGTTTGGTGGGATAATCATACAATAATCTAGTAATACACACCTGCAGCGGCTGCTAGCTCTAGTCCTGTTTCATCAAACTCTAATTGTGGTTCTTCGATGTTTTCTCGCCATTGCAACTCTTCTTCCGCACTTGACCTTGACTCATCTTCACTGGTCACCAGATCTATAAATGCAGTTAAAAAGGTCAAAGTTGATAAAATTGTACTGTAGTACTGCACACAAGTGAGTTGTATTATAATCTCATTATTTGAGAATAGGAGAGATACACTGTACACAGGGAGAAATGGTTGAAAATAAATATTTCTGGTTATAGACATGGTTGCCTGGTCTAAAACCTTCTCTGGTGAAATTTGAATGAAGGTCAATTCAAAGTCGATGTTTGAACCTTAAATGCCATGTTTAGACTGAGACTTTTTTGAGATTTCTCTCAGTAAGTATGTACATTTATGAGTTCAGATAACAGTGATACTGTTCTTCAGACAAGATAGTTCAGATACAAGAATTGATATCTACTTATTAACTTTATTATATCACTGTCATATTTCTCACTCTCTGATTGGTCCATGTCCTACATGTGAAAAAAAATAACAAGCGATAATTCAACAACAGAAGTCATGTGACATCCGTTGAATATCAAATGATATTCACCAGTCACAACTTAGTCCAGTGTAATTTTTTAAATTTTATATATCCTCGGAAGTACATTGTTATGATTATGATTAAAGGCTGTACATGTACATGTATATAACTATCAAAGTGATTTTCACTCCTTTTCAAAGCTTTAATACAGCATGTGCTGAGTATATATAACACTGGTTTTTACTTACGCATTTTGAGTGGATATTCATCAAAGAAAATAGAAATTGATAAAATATTGAGTGGGAGCTGTTACAATGACCCCTACTTTTAGCAATTTTCAGAAAGTTTCGTCTAGAGTATTTAATGAGGGTCCAACCTTAATTCAATTAATATAAAATTCCCATTTTTTGGCTTATTTCTTGAAAGCATTATACGCTATTATTATGATGAATCGATTGCAATATGATAGAACGCTTATTTTAAAGAAGTTAGAGTTAATTTTATATATATAATGTGAAATAATTTGGGGAATCCAGTAACAGTTTGGAGGTTTCTCCAAATCTATCGTTGTTAGGGAAATGACGTCACATTAATTGGTTTTTCACAAGAGCGGGCTACAAGTATTACGTCATCAATATACAGGGCATATAAAAAAACGCAACAAGCAGTTATCTTGTAAAATCACAAAACTAGTGATGACTACATCAATTTCATTTAATTTACCATGAAGCCACATCCCTCCTCTTTGCTATGATATGTCATTCATTCACATGTGGTCATGGTTGGGTGAGAAATCATTCCATTTGCACAGTGTGTCAAAATTGGCTCAGGACCAAGTTTTAGATATTGCAAAAATCAGTGCAAGGGCTAAGTGCCAATGGAAGTGTTCCTGACTTGAATTTTTGTGACTTTTTCTTTTGGAGCTATCTCAGGAGCATCTGTGCTAACAATTCCTCCACCAGATATTGCAAAATTTGGAGAAAGAATTGCCAATGGGCTGCTTTTCTCCGCTTTATCCCACATATGACTTAGGATTGAACCATGCATGACATGGAGAGATGAGCGCATCTTTATGTGCAAAGAGGTGGTGGCAATTTGGAGGGGTATAGGATGTATTCTTGTAGGAGAAGTATGAGTATGAACACTTTACTGTCTATGTCACACCTGCCACACCTTCTTCTAATTGCTCTAATATGCTCCATGAACTGACTTTTGCAATGTTTAAAACTTGGGTCCGGGTTGAATTTTACCACTCTTTGCGAATTTAATGATTATTCGGCCAGCCATGACTCCGAGTGAATGAATGGCATTCCATTGCAAAGAGGAGTAATTTGGCTTTTTGGTACAATGAATGAAATTGATGTAGTCATCATTGGTTTTATGTTTTCTTCCAATATTGCATTGGGCCCCGTACAATGACTTTCACGATGTTTATCAATTGGTCCCGAGCTAATTTTGGCACACTTTGCAAAAGGAATGATTACTCGCCCAACCAGGACCCAATATCAACCGATATACCATTGGAAAGAGGAGACACATGGCTTTATGGTACATTGAATGAAATCAATGCTGTTATCACTGGTTTTGTGCTTTTCCGAGATAACAATCTGTTGCGTTTTTTTTATAGGCACTTACAGTATATCAAGAAAATATTGAAGAATATGGCAAAAATTGACAAATCAATCAATTTTTTGACTGACGAGGAGTTACTTTATTTGCACATAGCCATCTTTTAGATAAATGGCTATGCAAAATACGATATTCCCAGTCCTTTATAAAGGTCTTTTGTAAAAATGTAAGAAATCTTGGAAACATTTACCCTACTTCAATCGATGCATAACATTCTAAAGTATTGTTTTTCTAACCATATCGGGCTATCCGGAGTCGGGAGACAGTGTAATTGACGAAAAAATGTTGAAGAGTTGATAATTTTCAAGATGGCTTCCAGAGCTGTCAAGTGTCCCGCGAATGGCGGGATTATCCTGCGAATTTGGCTAATTCGCGTGTCCCGCAATGTCCCGCGAAGTCCCGCAAATGTCGGCTTTGACCTCCGCGAATTTTCAAAATTGTAACAATCCCCGAGGTTAAATAATTGTGATTATCTTGTGATATAAGAAGCTAAGTTTTTGCGCTTTTGAGGAGTAAAGTTTACCTAATTCGAAAAGTGCTGCCAAACTCCCAGTGCATCAGATCATCGAAGACTGCTTTTGAAAAGAGCATATAGTCCATTTATAAAACTGTGATTTTGATCCAAATAACACCATATAGTCGGCTTCTCAAGTACCTATTATGCCGTTATTTGGTATCAAAATAAAGAGGAAGAGTGCAATTTTCATTTTAATTACGAAAATAGGGATGTATGTCACGTATAGTTCCAACGTTGGCCTTTTTACTACGCGTGTCACGGCCTTCATCTAAGAACTGAGCAAATGTTAGCAAACGCGAGTTCCAATAAATGAACACTGATATCTCGAAAAGAAACCTGACTCCCTATAATTTGATGTAGATTTATCAAACCCCGATATGAATAGGTACATTTTAATATGTAACACTATGGGGGAGTAAATGTTTCATAGTTGGTCACGAACACCATAAGTGCAAAGTATTGTTCAGAATTTTTGAATTTCGTGTTGGATTACGGTACTCACAACTAAAGCGTGTTTTTTTGATACAGGGTGGTCAAAAAATGGAAACCCTGCATTTTCCTTATATCTTTGTCACTTTAAGAGATTACTCCCTGATATTTCACACATTTGTACATCATTATTTTTCTACGACCCTATCATATTTCATGACCATCGGACTAATAGACACAATTTTACAGCACTAAAAATAACATGCTTCTGATTTGGCCATTATCGCGCTGAGGGCAAAACAGCACAGTTGTCAATGAGCCGAATGCACTCCTCAGCAGGTATGAATGAATGAATGACACAAATAATCTCACTTTTGAGGTTTGCAATTGTCCTGAGGTCATTCTCATATACTCTATCTCTGCCATATCCCCACAGGTAGGGACATTTTAGACGATGAGTCAAGTTTCCTCACAACCCAATAGTGGCCACTGGGCATGTTCTTTAGAGTACTGTAACGTTGTGACTATCAATCTGATGGTCGGGAAATAAAATAAGCTGGAAGCAAATTGAATGATGTACAAAAGTGTAAAATATCAGGGAGTTATTTTTTAAAATGACAAAGATATGAGGAAAATGGTATTAGGGTTTCCATATTTTTGACCACCCTGTAGTTTAATTATATTTCTTTGCGTATTGTGTGGAATTGTGTTGACGTTTACTAAGCCAAGTGCATTATATTTGATAAATCAGTATCTGAAAGTTTGGTTTGAGAACTTTTACATTAAGCCCCAATCCCTTTCAAGAATGTCTTGCGACATCCCGCAAATTTAGGTACATGTCCCGCAAATCCCGCGAATTTAGGGCACTTTGACTAAAAAAATCTGTCCCTCTATGAAGTCTTTGGTGGTAACCCTATTAACTGTCCCGCAATTAGCGTGTTTGTCCCTCGAATGGTCCCGCGAAATCCCGCGAATTTGATCAAAATTTGACCTATTAGCGCAATCACGCAAATCCCTTAAATGTCCCGCGAAATCCCGCGAATTTTTGGCACTGGGTCTAAAAATTCTGTCCCGCGAGAAAATCTTTGGGGGTTGACAGTACTGGGCTTCTCAGGAAGTTTGGTAACGCGCATGCACCTCCATGCCATGAGATTTCCGCTGCCGGTTCCACGCATGCGCATTGGCAAGACTTCCTGGTCAGACGACATGGAAAATAACGAGTTCCAAATACATTTTTCGTCAATTACACTGTCTCCCGACTCCAGATAGTGTGATATGATTAGTACATCAATACTTTATGATGTTATACATCGATTGAAGTAGTGTAAGTGTTCCCACAATTTCTTATATTTTTGTAAAATACCTTTACATGGACTGGGTATCAACATGCAAAGCTACATTGTATCTCTCAGGAGATAGCATAGGCTAAGGGTTAAGTAATAGTAAGCTGTATACAGAAGAGACAGGTGAACAACTAGGATTTAGGCCACTTGTTAACATGGTGATTTTAACATTATTTGTGTATAATTTGCAAAAAACAATGCAGAGTTGATCCAAAATTGATAGTTCTCAATTCTAACCTATGAATCAACCACATTCAAGTGATATAGAGTGAATAAAGCCGTCTTGAGGTGAGATATTCTGAAAATCTACAATTGCCTGGCAAGTTACCCGGATTTCCGTGTTGAATCATGAATGGAAGTTTGAAACAAGGAATTTGATTGGTTCCTGCTAACCGCCGCCAGTGACACCTATCTGGTTCTCTAAAATGTAATTCATTTTCTAGAAATAACAATCAATTAAAGTGTACAAAACTATGAAAGGTTTACTTAATAATTATTTATCAAAACATCTGATTCATATAATATCTTTTTAAACCCAATTTAAATGGTGAAATTTCAATCTTTCCATGTGTCCGGAAGTTTCAACTTGCCGGGCAATTGCAGGTTCGTACAGTTGGTGTTTTTTTATGCTGTCTTATCGAAGAGTTAGGATATAGATTTGAAATATTCAACAATCTACGTTTCGAAAACACTTTGGAGAAGATTCTTGGGAGATTTGGTGGTACGACTCGATACCAGTAAGGAGAACTCGTACCAAGACGGCAAGTTTTTGAAAAAATTTTCAATCCTAATTGTTTACCTGTCTCTTCTGTATACAGCTTACTATTACTTAACCCTTAGCCTATGGGAGATAGCTTTGTGCAAACTAAGTAAACGAGGAGCATGAATTAAATCGACATCATAGGCCAAGGAAAAAGTAATAGTAAGCTGTATATAGAAGAGATATACGGCTTACTATTACTTTACCCTTGGCCTATGATCGACATAATGCTTATTTTATACACTCAAGAAAGCACAGACGTCAAATACATTCTTCGAAAGGGACAAACATGGAAATACACAGATCGCAGGATAATTTTTTGCAGATTACCTACATATGAAGTTTAATTTATAAACATAAACAAGTCAACATACATTACCTTTTTCTGGGGTTATGTTGTTTAGAGATTCATAAAGTTTCGGTTTATCAATTCCAATATTTTCCGGGTTGTTGTCATCCATTATTTTAGCTTCCGGTCCAGGGAAATAAATTACCCCATTGAATAGTCATGAAACTTGTGTTTTTGAAATTCTCCAAATTATTACAGTAGTGTGCCGATACTATATCTAGAATAACCTCGGCGTTGGGCTAAGATCTACCAAGAAGTCCATCCAAAAATGTCCGATCTCAATCTGTCATTTTTAGAATCTTTTCAGAAACTTGATCTACTGCAGCGGTAGCTATATATAACCGTAGTATGGATGATTGGAAGCCAGCGTTCTAACTCGATGGTGGAGACTTTGAGCAAGCGATGTTTTTCACCACAGAGACATGTAGCACTATGATATGAGATGAGCACTATGATAGGCCATATAGTATAATAATAATATCTATATAAAGCCCCATATCAGTCATCATAAACAATACCATATAAGGTGCTACAAGATCCTGTGTTTTTCACAACGCAACCGTGAACGCAAAGTCAATGAATCAATACAGCAATGAGTATTTAGCGCGCATATAAAACAAGCGATACTTAGTCTATTTATACAACTACATCAATAATCTGCAAAAGGCTAATAAGCCGATATATAGCAGATATATAGTCCGCTTTTTTAACTACCCGCGGGAAAGTGAATTGCATAACATATAAAAGTATTCCCCCTAGATATCACAAAAAGTAACAATGAGCCCATGCGTTGCAAATTAGATGCTCACACGTTTTCAACAAAAGCAGTTCATCCAAGCACACTTACACTGCTAACTACGATGTGTCAAACTTGTTGGGTAACCGCGCCAGCTTGTTGCTTGTGCACCACAGAAGTTGGATTGCAATATGAATAAACTGTCGTGTTTTTCAAAAGATTTGTGTGAGTGTAAGTGCGCTCGGATAAGGTTTTTTGTTGAAACCATGCGACCATGTAATTTGCCCTACAGGCCTTTTTGTTCTTTTTCTTGATACCTTGGGGAAATCTCATTACCTATGACGCAATGCACCACCGTCGAAGGCGATTCAAAAAAGCAGCAATAGTTTAACAATGATAGAATTTGAATAGAATATAATCTGAACCTTAATATTTAACTCAAATTGAAAAGAAACTCCCTGGTTGGCCCATGTACCTCCTAGGAAGTTGAAATACCCTGGAACGATTGTAAGGCTACCGCTTTGACTTTGTCCCTCTTTAAATACCAGTAATACAAGCATGTTACTGTGCACTGGGACATTTTACATTAAAAAATTTACAATAGACCTATTGCTTAAAATACAATTGAGCTTAATTGTTAACAAAAGATTTAAAACTTGATAAGCTATCACTGTCTAAAATACCACTAGGCAGAGTGTTCCATTTTACTATTGTCCTTGGAAAGTAGATAAACTTGTATGCATCCGTTCTGGCAGCTGGTTGGATGAATTTGGATGGATGAAACTGTCTTGTGATTGTGTTTGTTTGAGGGCCGGAGTATGTGGGTATAGAGATTGCTGCTAGTTGTGAGTTTCTTTGTAGAAAAGGGAAAGTCTTGAGGCCTCCGTTCCCGATTGTAGCGATTCCCACTGCAGGTGTTGGAGGGCTTGGGTGACACAGCCTGGTTCCCTAGTGTGAAATTTGGTAACAAATCTGGCTGCTCCCCTTTGTACCTGTACGGAGGAAGCCTAGAACCTTGTTAGATTTAGATACTACTGTTTGTATGTGTGTGGTCCAGTTGAAGTTGTTCGTGATTACAATTCCTAGATATGGAATGTGAGTCACAGATTTTGATTCTTCCCCTAACATAGTGTACTTGTGTGTGATTGGTGATTTATGTCTGTGAAAACTCAGTACATAGCATTTCATTTGCCATGCATTTGCCCAGGAGACCATTTTCAAGGTCATCCTGGAGTGTTAGTGCACCCTGTTGGTTATCGACAAACATGAAGAGGAGGCTATCATCTGCAAATAGTTTGAGGCTGGTTGTTGATGATAAGTCGCTGCCCATATCATCGATATAGACAAGGATTTTCTTAAAAGCCCATGGTTTTGTGTTTAGAAAGGGAGATTTTCAATTTCACATTAGTGTCAACGGGAATCATCATACTCATATCTATTCAAAACTATGCTGGTAATTTTGATTTTGTAACAATGGCTTGACTCCATTAATGATGAATGCCAGGATTATTGTACTCAAGGAATAAAGATTTGTCACAATACTGTTACACTTGTACTCAGGTAATAACGAATATCACATGTCACACTTAGATAACGATGGACATCACAACAGTTGTACTTGGGAAGATGAACATCATACTACACCACGTGGACGCTGTTGACGACTATGAATACTACTTTACATTTGTAAGTCTATCCCACAAAAACTTGATATGTCTCCAATCGGGGCAATAGAAGGCCACGTGTAAATCCTTCCTTAGAGAACTTCACATTACTGAACATAACAACACGAAACACTCCAGGATGCACAACAGATAAACGTGATTAATAAATGCAAACATATTTATATGAGTGAACAGTGAGTGAAATACTAAGGATATGGAATGATGCCAATTGATTTCTATACTAATGAATCCTACCTGTAGATTATATTGAATGATCAAATGATCATACTAAGGATATGGAATGATGCCAATTGATTTCTATACTAATGAATCCTACCTGTAGATTATATTGAATGATCAAAATTCACGTTTGAATGCAATGCTAACCATACTTAACATCAACCAAAACGTAAGAATATTGTCACTTACTACTCAGATCCCGAGCCATATCCAGTCCCCATCAGTAGTACACGCAATAAAATAATGAGTATATGTATTGAGCATAGAGAACAAGAGGAAGAATCTGCCAGAGGTCCGTAGTTGATCAATTACACCTTCTGTAACACCATCGTGTCTGAAGTACCCCCCCCCCCCAACCATACCTAGGTCTGACCATCTGCAACGGCCTCAAGTGGAACGAACAAACTGGGAATGCAGTCTCTAAAGCCACCAGAGCACTTGGAGTTGTGTGTCGTAACCTCCGAGGGTGCCCCACATCTCTCAAAGAAAAGGCCTACAAGTCCATTGTTAGGCCCTATTTGAGTATGGAGCCTCAATCTGGGATCCTCATACCCAAAGGAACATCAATGCCCTAAAGCAAGTCTAACATAGTGCTCTCCATATGGTGGACAACAACTACGCCAGAGAACCAGGCACTATCACAAAGTAATATGGCATATGCCAGTGAGATAAACTTGACACTAGATGGAGCAATAGCAGACTTTCTCTCGTATACACAATAGTAAATTTCCCACAAAGTGGAAATGACATCTATCTCAAGATTCCTTTGCCCCTCAGATCAAAGACACGCCATAAAAATACCATGTACTTTACCACATACTTATGCAACGCAAACATACTCAAATGCTCTTGTATCAAGGACCATAATTGAATGGGATAATTTTGATGACCTACTGTAATTAGCCCATCAAAAGAACTCTTTAAAAAACTTAAAGCTACACAAATTATCCTTCGCGGTCACCTATCTACATTTTCTATATTGAAAATACATGTGTAAAGATAATAAGATATACAATTGTGTTATAACGGCGATACCAGTTTCGACGCTGCAGCTAATTCTACCTCTCCTACTTTTATTTTACGCATGCGCAGCGCGTTAAACTGAAAAGGCAGTTATCAGGAAAACCGCCAAGAAAACTTCTTTTACTGCATTTCAAGGTAAACAAATATCAGTTTACATTATGTAGATCTGTTTGATATATCATTATGTAAGGTATCCTATCTCAAAAGCATAAGTCCTTCGGATAAGAATGACGCTGTATGGAAGGTTCTGTTTTTTTTATTTTTGTAAATTGTAGGCCAACCGAACCTTACTTCGGTCCAAAGCCTTCTCTATATTCCGGCTTTGAGGAGGAAGATTGAGCTGCCTTAGTATTATAAATATTGTAAATCATTGTGTCACACGCACAGTAAATATGGCATAATAATATGAAATATACCTTTACAGTGCTGGTACAGTTGGGGACATAAATACAGTTGGGGACAAAAATAAATGACAGGTCGATTTTCGATCACCATTTCCTAATTATGGTGGTCTGAAAGCCCATAATTTCCAATATTGTCTAGATACATATCCCTTAAAATTTGTATATTTTACATTTTGTATAATCTCATCCACTGATTTATGGCCTCTTGTAAATTCTCTTATTTTTAACATGGGAAATCCTCACTTCAGCAAATCCACCTGTCATTTATTTATGTCCCCAACTGTAAATGACAGGTGGATTTGCTGAAGTGAGAATTTCCCATGTTAAAAATAAGAGAATTTTCAAGAGGCCATACATCAGTGGATGAGATTATACAAAATGTGAAATATACAACTTTTAAGGGATATGTATCTAGACAATATTGGAAATTATGGACTTTCAGATGACCATAATTCAGGAAATGGTGATCGAAAATCGACCTGTCATTTATTTTTGTCCCCAACTGTATATTGATCTTACTTCGGTCCAAAGCCTTCTCTATATTCCGGCTTTGAGGAGGAAGATTGAGCTGCCTTAGTATTATAAATATTGTAAATCATTGTGCCACACGCACAGTAAATATGGCATAATAATATGAAATTTAAGCGAGAATAATTTCAAATGTTATTCACGTCCAGAACCGGAAGCCATTTTTAGCTACAGCGAGAAAATTTCACCATCTGTCAAACTCCGAAATGAAATTTTGAAATATCTAAATCCAGACAAGCAACGCTTCATCCTAAATATGATTAATATTCTTAAAAATATTTATAAAATTTATTAAAAATGAATTCTAGGTGCGTGTAGGTGCGTGTAGCACAGTACATACGAAATCAATGAAGTTTCGTCTAGCTGTAAGCTAGAGACTCGAGTAAAATTGATCAGTCGTTTAATTGGCATATTTTCTTGAATTTTAACATTTAATGTCCCAAACTCTCACAAACTGCAGAAAAGTATACCCCATAAATCATATTTACCAAAATGAGTGTCTCCAAGGCTTCACACCAGCGTATGCATAATGCATTTGTCACGAGTTTGAGCTGAAATTTCGCCAAAATGAAGTGGCTAAGGGTAGTCTCTGCCAGGTTTGTTTATTGTGGTAAGCTTCTAAGTGCTCAGAAGCAAATAATTCACGTGCGCAAAATAATCAAATAATCTAATTGGTCTAAACTTTGCTGCACATCCGCACAATGTGTGCCATGTTTTTTTCTAGTGATTTCGTTTCGTTTCATGGAGTTTGCGTTTCAGTGTAACTTCCGCAAAAATGGCGGACCATGGACAGAATTAACAGGTAAAATCACTTCGAAATTTCAAGAGAACTTTTTACCTATAATAGCATAGCTTTTGTTTTATTTGTGCATTCTATCTATCAGATAAGAGTTTCAGGGGTATGTAGGCAAATTCATTTTGGTAGGAACACTCTGTTTAGTTTGAAAACGCACCCTATATTATTATATATCAGCACTGTATGTATAGATTTGAAGAACATCAGCTCGCATCCCCATCTGAATCTATTGTTATATTTGATTTCTTTAAGCGAGAATGATTTCAAATTTTATTCCCGTCCAGAACCGGAAGCCATTTTTAGCTACAGCGAGAAAATTTCACCATGTGTCAAACTCCGAAAAGAAATTTTGAAATATCTAAATCCAGACAAGCAACACTTCATCCTAAATATGATTAATATTCTTAAAAATATTTATAAAATTTATTAAAAATGAGTTCTAGGTGCGTGTAGGTGCGTGTAGCACCTTTTCTAGAGTACATACGAAATCAATGAAGTTGCGTCTAGCTGTAAGCTAAAGACTCGAGTAAACCGAACCTACATTCTAATTTTTTATTCTGTGAACTAAGATTTTCGACATCTAAAAAGTCACTCGACTTTTTTGCAAAAACACTTCCAAAAAGTAATAGTCGCATGAATTCACATTGTCGTACTTACAAAATGATCCACCGCCTAACCTTTGCGCCATCGAACTCTGTAATATTGTACACGTAACTATTAATTACCGTATATTCCCATAGAAAACTGGGCTTGCTTTTCAACATTTCAAGCGAAAATTCTCTTCGGAGCTTTTGTTTTTCTGACGTAATTTCTTCTAAGAAATCGGTGACGTGATAGGTTCAGAGTTCATCTTATTTCGAAAGGGGTGTCATCTATTTCAAATATTTATTTTAATCTTGTCCAGTCCTATATACAACCTGCCCTTATCCTTTTCACTTGTAGTAACGCGTAGTAATGTTGAAATTATGGAATAAATTCTCTGAGAGTGGCGACATGTCTGCATCTCTACCATCTTGCGTTTGACACCCCTTGTTTTGGGCGAGTCCAAGTAAACCGCACATCCGGGTGATTAGAAAAGGGACATTTTTTTTTTTTAATCGAGCGGCAACAAAGATACTTCTGGTCAAACTGAGTTTATGACGAAACTTATGAAAGAATCAATAAAAGGTGAGTGGTGTAACGACCCGCCGTAGGCAGGCGTAAGGGGTTGGATAATTAAAGTGTGTTGGAGAAAGTTAATTGTCGGGAAATGAATTTAGAAAGTAATTAAGGGAGTTTGACTCAAATATGATGGAATGAAATAACAAAATAAATATGTAAGGTTATATAAATCAGAGTCTTTTAATGCACACTAAAACTATTCAATACAAAGATGTGTTCACAAACTTACAATAAGACAATACCAGTCATTTAATTCACATGTACTCTGAGACATATAAACAATAAGACAATGAATCAATACAGTTAAAAACAATCAATCAATTAATGTAACTCACCAATACTTCAGTGCACTAACGGGTTCAATACAATATATCCTATTCCTAAATGAACTCTCTATTTATCCTAAACACTCTAAACTATCCTATCCTATGAGTCTGCTCATTAGCAAGAGAGAGGCGGAAACGCGAAAACCGGCGGGCGCAAGACTGACGTTTCTGAGGGTGGGGAAACTTATATACTTCCCCAGAGACAAAGCAAGGGACAAGGGAACTCCCAAAACCAAGAAATGACAGTCTGGCATTGGTCAATGACACGTGGCTAGCATGTCAAAATATCATTTATGACCTAAAGACTGACGGTGGTGCCCATAACAGTTAAGCATTACAAATTAAACATATATGATTGGTGTAAAATAGAAATATAAGTGTGCCACTGACTAAAAGCCACTGGCCTCTGTAAGAATAAGAACTGGAACTAAATACACAATGGTGATTGGTTGACAATGGTACAATACTGTTAATGAAATATGAATGAGTAGAAGACTTGAAAATATTACATATAAGGACCCAAGTCCGTCACAGTGGTATACATTAGGTGGATGCCAAAAATTAAACGTGGCGCCAATTTGAAACTTCAGAATGCTTTCTGTGATTCAAAATCACAAAAAAGTTGAGTGACTTTTTAGATGTCGAAAATCTTAGTTCATATGGTTAAAATAACGAAATAATGAAATGTTACCATGTGTCTACTTAGCAGTTTGTTCTATGTCATCCATCCTGCTAGGTTACATTGTGGAAAAGTATGGTTACACTCGAAAAAAACAAAATTGCATTCCTCACCTTTCGTTCATATATTGCTAGTTTCAGCACATACAACAACCTGACAATAACCCAGATGCGAGTAGAAATAATCTTGATTTACGTCATTAAAAATTCAAAATTCAGTCAAAGTAATATCATATTTGAAATCTACATGTAAAATTACATCCAGAAATGTGGTTTTAAAAAGTGTTTATCAACTTTGAAAAATTACTTTTCTTTGAAAATGTGACTTCTAGCTCGGGGAGATTCCCCATAGACCCCACGCTATAAATTCACAAAAAATGAAATATCTTTTATTTTAGTGGACAGTTAATATTTTGCTTTACTGGACATATTTTCATTAGTATAAGTATTAGACACATAAGGGTTATATGAAAATTGAGCCACTTAAATTGATAATATTCAAGTTTAAGGGAACTTTCTTATATACCTACCATGTTAATTGACCCGAATCAGCCACCTGGTGGTGAAACTGGTAACTACCTACTCGCATTTGGGTAATTGCAGAGATGCTTCATCTTATCGCATCCTACGACCCCTCTAGATTGTGGTCGTACGCGTGTATAATTGGTCAGTCAATGTTTTTACAAAGTTGGAGAAAATACTACGCATTGCACACCTAAATGACCTACCTCGATACATTCCTTAGTATTTTAGAATTCTTTTTATGTTGTTAAATCGCCAATTGTATGGGTTTATCGGCAGAACGAAGAGATTTTAGTTTTGACATCGGAAATATATCAGCAATTTTCAAAATGGCGGAAGGGGAATTCCCCTGGGATTTCCCTTATGACTGGTGCATGCCGAGAACTGAATGGAGGAATTTGACGGTTGAAATAAGTTAAATATTACATGCAAATATTGCTATCAAAAACGAAAACCTCTTCGTTCTGCCGATAAACCCATACAATTGGCGATTCAACTACATATTAAAAAGAATTCTAAAATACTAAGGAATGTATCGAGGTAGGTCATTTAGGTGTGCAATGCGTAGTATTTTCTCCAACTTTGTAAAAACATTGACTGACCAATTATACGCGCGTACGACCACAATCTAAAGTGGTCGTAGAATTCGATAAGCTTCATCCACTTCTTTGGAATGTATTTGCTACTTCATTAAAGTACAACAGAAAAATGAATTGAGTACTAGCAACTGAAACGACTGGGTTAATATATATGGCACATTGTTATAAATTGTTACAAATTGTTATAAGACTGTTAAACCTGCATCACTTCATGTAAATGCTTGGAAAAATGATAGAAACTTAACATTAAATCAAAGAACTGTAAAATATTTTACGTTTGTAATTACATGTATACATATACAAGAAATAGGCCAGCTAAAAGTTTGAAATTTTTGCCAGGAATATATCGATATCTATATAGCATTTTACAATAATTTACGATATTTCTGAGTGTTCTGACCTGACTCGAATTGGTAAGTATCTGTTCGTGACCTGACCCGAGCCTTCCAACCCAAGTTTCGGTGTGACACCTCTAGAAAATAATATAGTTATCTGAAAACCTGCAGGAAGGGAGTTATAACAAGTGGAAATAATGGGACGCTGTACCTGGGTCAATATGATGTCCTCAGAATCAAACCTTAGTATATTCAATCCCTCTAAGTAAATATTACCTTTGATTTTAATGTTACAGAACACAGTAAGAAATTTACAAGACATCAAAGAACATCAGTCATAAAGAAAAGAAACCTGAACAATCTCAAACTAAGTCATGTAATGTCAAAAGAAACAGTGTCCAATAGACTAATGCAAGTGCCATTATCACAGTCCGAAGGGACATTTCATTAAAACTTAAGTCATTAGATTTAAATATTCAATCCCTCTCAGTAAATATTACCTCTACTTTCAGTAATCCAGATAACATCCGAAGATGAGCGTAGATATAGCTGAAATATGTGAAAATACAAAGATGGGGAGGGAGTATGCATTGCTGGGAAACTATGATACATCACAGGTGTATTACCAGGGTGTTATACAGCAGATTCAGAAACTCCTTGCTTCTATCTCTGATCCTGGGAGGAAGGAGAAATGGCAGAAGGTAAGAAAGCAATATTATAAGGCAAAGTTATACAGTCATAGTGTAAAAAAGCCCTGGGTTCCCATAAATTTAGTTTGCTTGCATTCATAATTGAGTTTGGAAATTGAAAAAAAAGTATAAAAACCAAGTTTTATTGGAACAAAAACATGAAGTGAAATTGTTATTGGATGTAGTGTTGTCGCGATGTGCCATAATCGTACATAGATGCATCGGCAATTTTCAGTAGTAAACATCGATGCACAGCACGATGTACATCAATGGAAAAAGTCCGAGAAAAGTGCACTGAAATACCGAACGCTAATGCACTAAAATACCGAACATAACAAATTAATAAGAGTACGCTGGTACATCCGGGAACTTCTAGTAACGGTGAAATGAAAGTAAATTTTTTTAGATTAATGGTTCATTTCGACTAGCAAAAACAGTTTTAAAGCGAAAATAAGATAAGAAAGGGTGATTTTTAGCAAATTAATTTTTTTTTAAAACATCAATGTTTTGTTTAAGACATCGATGCATCGCCAGAATCAGCTTTGGCGATGTATATCGCGATGTATCGATTAATCGCGACAACACTAATTGGATGTACAACAAATCTAACACTAAGACTATCATGTATTCATACTATTCTTTGTCTTTCAAGGTGAGACAGCAGGTAGCTCAAGAATATGAACATGTGAAAGATATAAGTAGCACTCTACAGAGCTTCAAGACAGATGCCCCGAGACCTGTTAGTGCAGCTGCACCTAGTAATCATGGGAACAATCCTCGCTATAACTATGAAGAGCCCACGAGAGACCCTGATGTATGGCCCCCTCCCACACCAGTAGAGCACAGGTATGTTGACATTTTTCCACTTGAAGAGCGCTTATATGTATGGCCACAAACACACATGTAATACACTTATAATTATAGCTCCCCTCCCACACCAGTAGAGCTCAGATTATTATTAGACTCCAGATTGAAATTTTACAAGTTTTCTCAGTTGTCCTTCGGTATTTTCACTCCGGGTTTTTTTTTCATAATGTTCTATGGAAAAAGTTAATTTGGAAAGGGAAATAGTTTCTTTGATTACTCTTACCGATTTTGAGATATGGCGTCCGAAATGTAGGTCAGAACAAAAAAAGTTCTCCAAATTCAACGTGTGAGTTACCAAATAAGTGTAGATTTTTCTCAGGAATCCGAATCTGCAAACAAGTCGATGGGAAGACTTTTTTGAAGTGTAATATACAAGATATAGACTGAGTACAGCTTAACATAATGAATGCCTATAAAACAAGGGGACCTCAAAAGCTACCTAGCTTCAAAATTTGGACACCAAAATGCCTAGGTCAAAATCTAGATCAAATTCATCGTTTTTCCTTATTTTTATGATTCTGACACTACACTTTAATAATTTGCTTCAAAATTTTGTATATAAGCAAAGAGTGTGCTAATAGTGTTAGCCTTTTGCAGCCAGAAAGTATTTTGACCCACTTTTGAGATATGGTGTCCGAAATGTAGGTCAAAATGAAAAGTTCTCCAAATGTAACGTATCAGTTGTGAATTAAGGGTAAAATTTTCTCAGGAATCCTAATCTGCAAACCAAATTGCAATCCAACTTTCGGTTTGGAAGTTATGGCGTTTTGAAAGCTCAAAAATCGCTAAATTTGGTGCCCCATGTTATGTCAATGAGAAAAAAGATTTTTTTGAAGTGTAAAATACGAAATATAGACTGAGTACAGTTTAACATTATGAAAGCCTATAAAAGGACGTGACCTCGAAGGCTATACCTAGCTTTAAAATTTGGACACCAAAATGCTTAGGTCAAATTCAAAATGTTGTATACAGGTAGCAAAGAGTGTGCTAATAGTGTTAGCCTTTTGCCGTCAGAAAGTATTTTGACCCACTTTTGAGATGTGGTGTCTGAAAAGTAGGTCAAAATAAAAAGTTCTCAAAATTTAAAGTATGAGTTATGAATTAAGGGTACAATTTTCTCAGGAATCCAAATCTGCAAATCAACTTTCAATCCGACTCCTGGTTTAGATTCTAAGCCATTTTGAAATTCTCATTTGCCAGTATCTACAATGCAGATCCATCAAATATACTTTCAAAAATTCCTACTGACCTACCTACCTACTCGGCTGCCTACTTAGCTACCTACTTCTCAGCTACCTACTCAGCTTCTTACTCCGCTACTTACTCAGCTACCTACTCAGCTACTTAATCAATTACTTAAAGAGGCTCTATGCCATAGGATAGCACAATCAAGACCCCTCTGGACTTTTTTGCATTTTGAGTTTCACCACATATATACCCATCTACTTACAAAAGAAGAAGTCCCAAATCCCCCTCTTTCAGTGTTAATTTTGTGATTGTGCTGGCCGATCTAATTATTTTCGAAGATTAATTCAATCTGAAGTTTGAATATTCCGGGAAAGTCCTCCTGTTATCTGATTGGTCGTTGAATTTGTTTATCATAAACCTGATTGGCTCCTTGGTACAAGGCGCTTGTGGGTGCTTGTGTGACTCAATGGGGATACCCCTCTATAACCGAGGAATCGATTGTGTTTAATTCTGGAGTTTGGTTGTTCTGTTGATTATTTCCGATATTTCGGCAATAATATACCCAAAACTTATTCTCAAGATATATCCTTGGTATGTGAGATATTATATGAGCAATAACAATAGGACATCATTGATTGTCTGGGGAGAAACCTATGGCATAATGCATAAATTCTCTAAACTTGGCGCCCCATGTAAAGTCAATGGGGAAAAAAGATTTTTTTGAAGTGTAAAATACGAGATATAGACTGTGTACAGCTTAACATAATGAAAGCCTATAAAAGAAGGGGACCTCGAAGGCTACCTAACTTCAAAATTTGGACACCAAAATGTCTAGGTCAAAATCTAGGTCAAATTCATTTTATAATGATTTGCTTCATAATTTTGTATACAGGTAGCAAAGAGTCTGCTATTAGCGTTAGCCTTTTGCCGTCAGAAAGTATTTTGACGCACTTTTGAGATATGGTATCCGAAAAGTAGGTCAAAATAAAAAGTTCCCCAAATTTAACTTATGAGTTATGAATTAAGGTTGACATTTTCTAAGGAATCCGAATCTGCAAACCAAAGGACGGGTGTCATTAAGAGCCCTTTTTAGCCCCCAAAGATATCTGATAATAATGCATATCATATTGAAGAAAAATCATTTGTGCTTCATAAAAATACAATTTCAGCGAATTTTGACCTTTGATGTTCACACAACAGTCATTTAAAGATCATATACCATTTTTGGTGTTTTTACAAAAAATTCTTTATTTATTGTTGTCTAAGTAATAGTGTATATATATAAACCAATTTAAATATATGAAAATGTAATATATGAAATACTGAAGAAAAGATACGATTAAAACTATTTTCATTGAAAAGCACATAGGGCAATATTGGCAAAATGCAAATGCTATTTTGGTAGGTTCTAGCAACGGGTACATTTCGACTGACTGTAATGGATTACGATTGACTTATTATCAACATCACAGGACAACATTTAAGCAACTTGAATACAAGGAAAATCAAAGATTTCCTCAAATTTCTAAAACGAGGAACAAAAGCATGAATTCAAGGAAAAGAAATGATGGCCAGTGCCAAAAAATAACACATGAGAAAGTTGTGGCACAGTAAAGGATATATATAGGATATCATATGATTTTAAATGATTTCATCTCCCATCATATATCAATATCTTGCCAAGCTAGCATAGCTAATTGGCGCAGATATTGATATCAATGAGTGGATTAACACAATATCACGAAAATTCATAGAATGTTCTATTTATCCCATAGTTCACCTATAAAACTAAACAAAACATATCAAAACAACATCCATTCATTCATCCCCTTGATGTCATGAAATCGCTATGCCGTAACAAAACATCATATTGATGGTAGTTTTCAAATCCCTGGCAAAAGGTGATATCTGTGAAATATTTTCCGTATTCCACAGATATCACTTTTTCCACGCATTTACAAAATATCAAATATTGGCACAATGTCTAATAGCATTTTGGGTAGCAGGCGGCCATTTTGAAAACTGGCCGCCATTTTTTACGTGTGCTATTTTACATTTTTACTATAACTCAAAAAGTAGTAGAGCAATTTTGTTAAAATTTTATATGTGAATACTATAAGCATGGCACACTGTCTTATGACACTTTGGTTAGTAGGCGGCCATTTTAAAAAATGCCAGCCATTTCTGTTTGGTGTTGCCGTTGTTCTGGTTAGCTCTTGTATAGATGTAGAGCACATGTATGTATGATCCCTGTGTACAACACTTGTATCATGTCTCTGTTGAGATAAAGCTGCCATTGACATGATTGAGGAAAAGAATTTGACCACGGCCACTCAATATATTTGTATAATATGATTAAAAGGTGTTTGATTTAAGTCTTGTTGCTAAGCTACTACAACTATAACATTTGAACTTTCAGGCCATCACCAAACATTCGTGGAAATCGCCCACCGCCAAAAAGAAATGAACCATCAAAGGCCCCACCAGGGCGGGCTCAGGCCCCATCTGGCAGAGGGGGAAATGACCGCCAAGACCCACGTCGTGGGGCAAGGCCTGGTTATGATAAGGTAGATAAAGACAGGGGTCGTGGTGACGCAAAAGCTGGTGAGAAAGGCCGAAAGAAAGGTGAAAAGGTAAGTACACTAAAAATGAAAACATGTGTGCTTGCTTGAAAAAGTCTCTTCAAGTAGATTATTATGGGTATTGATACACATTGATCAGTGCAATCAATTTTAAGAGAGAATCAGATCTAGCGAGCAAGAAAACAAAAATTGTTCCAATTTTAGAATATTTTTGGCTCATATCATTCCTTGCCATGTCTGTTTTAAAAAATCCCAAAAATACATTAATAATGTATAATGTATCATAATGTATCATTTTTCTGTTTTCATGGTTTGTTTTGGGTTTTTTTGAGAATTTAAACACTTTTCCCCCATTTTTGCACTTTGAATCCTAATAACCTCACCAATTTATAACATCTCACAGATCTTACGGGAGATATTATATTTTGGATCATAAGGAATGGATTAGGTCAGTCCATGTTGCTTGCAATTTTGGCTCTCCGATGGATCTGATTCTGCCTTCAAGTGTGTTTTAATAGACAGATAGTATTGTTCAGATGATATTCAGGGTGTTAAAAAAACGCAACCCAAAGAAATCGCTATATCTCGGAAAATACTAATCCAATTATGTTCATATTTTCAGGAAAAAAAGAAGAGACTGTGTATGTATAGGCCCTGTTGTTAGTTAGTATATAAAACATGATGTCTTGGACACTTGCTCAAAAGACAGTTGTACATGCAAAATACGAAAAACGTGAATGGAAAATCACTTTATCTTGGAAAATACTAATTCAGTTATGTTCATTTTCAGTAAGTTGTAAAACATGATGCCTTGGACACCTGCTCAAATGACAGTTGTACTAGGAAAATATGAAAACGTAGTCAGAGGTGACTGCCACAGCAATAAAACCAAATAACTTTCTAACCATAGTGTTTTGGCACTTCAGATTTGGCACAAATTATTCTCTTTCAATGTGTGGTGAATTTGTGGAGTTTCATCAAAATCACTCCAGGGACTTTACAGTCATGTTCAAAATGCCTTCTTAAGCATTTCGACCATGACTGTAATGTCCCTGAAGTGATTTTGATTTCTCTACAGATTTACCATACAGTAAATGAAGATGATTTGTGCCAAATTTGAAGAGCCAAAGCACTATGGTTGGGAAGTTATTTATTAGTTTTTTCCGGTTGCAGTCACCCCTGACTGCATTTTTCGTATTTTCCTAGTACAACTGTCTTCTGAGCAGGTGACCAAGGCATCATGTTTTACAACTAACCATTTACAGGACCTATACATACACAGTCTCTTTTTGGCTCACACAGTGAGCCTATGGGATTGACCAGGCGTCCGTCCGTCCGTTGGTCCGTCCGTCCGTCCATCCGTCAACATATGCCGCACAAATTAAAACTGCTATTCGGATTGAGTCATATCCACATTCATTTTATGCATATCCATAATGCCTATTTGACCTATCATCGCCATTTCCCAAGTTCGCCCAGTTTCCGAGAAATTGCGAATTTTGACTTCAAAAAGTTAAATTTTCTGTAAATACTAGACACTTTGTTGAAGTAGAACTTTCAAATAACTTTTAGTAGTTGGTGTATATGCAACTTATGTCCTCTGAATATTTCAAAGCTCTTGGAATTACGGTTTTTGGTGTTTACTCTATAAAATTTGAAAAAAAGTAGGACTTAGTCATTTTCAGGAAACTTTCTCATGTATAAAGTCAATGGCAGGTTTTGTGATTGACAAGATTCTTAAAGTTTGCCTTATACTTGATCATTTCCTGCAATAAATTACATCATTTATAGATTTAAGCATTCCCTACATATTTCTCAATATATGTCAGCATCAAATTTTTACCGTTTTTGAGATATTTGACGTCAAAAAACAGTAAAAATAAGTTATTTTTCAACTTGCTTCAATTTGACCAAATTTGTTTTTGAAAATCATCTACAAGTTGCCAGGAGTTCAAATCTGACATTAGTTTTAGGATTTGACCTTTACTTGACCTTCAGTGACCTTTGAAAGGTCAAAAAAGTTGATTTTTCAAATTGATTTTTGGATGTAAATTTTGGTCAGCTTAATCACAAAAGACCTTACTGAGCTCTGAATAAGTAAAATTTTCAAGGTCAAAGGTCATCAAACTAGGTCACACAACTATGCTATCAAAGTTTCTCAAAGTTCGAGACTACAAATCCAAATCAATATTTTTGTTTGAAAGTCAGGATATAAATTCCTCTGAAGGTTCCAAACTGTGTGAGCATAGGACCGTGGGTCCTTCATTTATTTCCTGAAAATATGAACCAGTATTTTTCAAGATATAGCGATTTCTTTGGATTGTGTTTTTTTAACACCTGTACATTGAAGTAATTCTTGTATTTTAGGATGGGGAGTCAGAGGAGAAGAAATTTGACCTACCAGGCTTTGACAAGGAGTTGGTGGAAAACCTGGAGAGAGATATTGTTTCTAAGAACCCCAATGTACATTGGTAAGTGTTATTCTTGTGTCTAATGTAGGATATCTACCAGGTCTAATGTAGGATATCTACCAGGTAGAATCTACCATATTCTTTCCAAAGATTTCAGTGTGCTCCTTGAAGCTAACATGTGAAATCTTGATATTTTAAATAAAATATGCACATGCAAACAGTCGATCTGTTATGACATGCGCAAAGCTCTATTTAGTGATATTTTCATTTCAAACATGGCTGCCAATCTGATGTCTGACAACACTCAAAAGTGCGGATGTGCACCTCAATGTCAAGTTAAATCAATGTTGTGTCTAAAAAAAGTGCCTGATCTACTCAAAACCGCTTGTCATTCACGTATACACGCTTAGCAAACATAGCAAAATGATCTGAATTTGGGAGTTTCGTTGAGAGCTAGTAATGTTCACTACATGTCTGCATCATAAGTGTCCATCAGACTTCGAGCATGTTCAGGAGAAAATCATCAACCAATCAGTTATAAATTAATTTTGCGCATGCGTCTTACAAGGGTAAAGAAATTCGTATTCATAAACGAACCAATTTGAGATAACCCGATATCAGTCGGAGAAATCTGACGATCTACGAAACTCATTTCAAAAAATCAAATGTGGACTGACAGCATATTCTGCAATGCCGGGATCTAAGATTTTCAGTATAGATAAAGTCTTTTGGGATCTTTTGAATGAGATAAGTCTCTAGTTCGAAAGACAATCTTATCAACTTGAACAAAAGTTGAGTTTTGACGAAAAATGTTAACATGCATAGAAGTCCCATTTTCGAAGTGGTATATTGACTGCAAAAAATGATATATTGAAAATTGAAATTTTTTAATGCTATCAAATATAACCAAAATACATATGTATTTAGGTCCATCTTTTAAAGATGTAAGTGAACCTTTAATTTCTATTTGATAGGAATGACATTGCTGGATTAACTGAAGCTAAACGACTCTTAGAAGAGGCAGTTGTTCTCCCTCTGTGGATGCCTGACTACTTCAAGGGGATAAGACGTCCTTGGAAGGTAAGAATAATATAATGTATAATGTGATCATTAACCCATGTAAGGGAAGGCATCAAAAGTTCAATGTCTGTTTAAAAACTTAACTCATTAAGTTTTACCTTTGACCTTTCCCATCAACCCCCTTAAAACTTAATTCTTGAAATATTGAAAGCCAGTCAGAGATTAATATGAAAATGCAACAAGTTAAACTTGTCCAATATATGAGGGAATTATTGGTAATTAGTAAAGTTTCTAAACAGACATTGATCTTTTGATGCTTCCTCTAAAGGATGCGTCAAAGGTCCCATGTGAAGTTTGAAAATTGCTTGCCATACCATACCTGGTTCTTTAAATTAAAGATGTTGTACTGGACCTAGATAATATAATAAATAAAGGTCATTCAAATTAAAGGTCAAAATTTGAAGTCAAATCTAGGTTCCTAAAATATGAAGTCAGAAATTATATGTCTATTTAAGCTTAGTCTAGTATTCAATTTATGCTTGCCAGGCATCATTTTTAGAAATGGTTTCTGCTACACTGTCATGCTGTTTGTGATTGTTATATTTAGGGTGTACTTATGGTGGGTCCCCCAGGAACAGGTAAAACCATGCTGGCCAAAGCTGTTGCTACTGAATGTGGAACTACATTCTTCAATGTTGCCTCTTCCAGTCTGGGATCAAAGTATCGAGGTGAATCTGAAAAGCTCGTGCGGATCCTTTTTGAAATGGTAAGACCAATAGCCTTTACTTTTGTCTTACAATGTTATACTGCTGGATAAGAAATTTGATATGCAGTATTGTCCCGGGGCTGGGAGTCTGAATTTTGAAATACATATGCCTGGGAGATTTTTGACTGTGTTTGTTTTATCTAGGGTTCTCAAGAAAAAAGCCTTGGAGCTTAGAGGAACTTAGAGAAAGAAATTCAGAATGATATACAGAAAAACGTTCATCTCATTGGCTTTTCCAGCTTGATCTCACCCTCCCTCCGAAAAAATTGCTTTCCAGGATCTACCTATATTAATAGCCTTGTCATAATTTCATTAAGAAGAATAAAAACAGGGAAGGGGGTAAACTATTAACAATTGAAGATCCATTGATCTTATTGCATCTAAACATGTTCTATAATGATAAATGTATGATATATTCCTGGCAAATCTGGCTTTAACTTTGTCTGCTGTTTAACGAGACATTACTGTACATGTATGTTTGATTTGTAGGCAAGATTCTATGCACCCAGCACAATCTTCATAGATGAGATTGACTCCATTTGTTCAAAGAGAGGCTCGGATTCTGAGCATGAGTCTAGTAGACGCGTCAAATCTGAAATCCTCATACAAATGGATGGTGAGAACTTTTAGTAGGGTATAGTTTTCAAAATGATAAGCAGTTAAATGAAATATGTTTTGTTTTAAGTATCTGCTTCTCTAGGCTGTTACTGTCACCTAATTAACTTCTAAATAACTTCATCCACTTTTAACCAATGGATAGTCTCTCTGCAGAGTTTTATAAGGAATTTTTGAAACATTCAAAAAATTGATGCATGCTTTATTGAAAACACATCACCAAAAGAATTGCATTGATTTGTACTAGTGACCATGGGACTCTTCTTTTGTGCAGGTGTGTCGGGAGCAGTAGGAGGTGACGATGCGTCAAACCTGGTTATCGTCTTAGCTGCAACTAACTTCCCCTGGGATATAGATGAGGCCTTACGAAGACGCTTAGAGAAACGTATCTATATCCCCCTCCCAGATGGTATGTCTTTTATTTTTGCCATATTAAAGAGAAATAGATCATGTAAACAATAATGTCTTCAAATTTTGCCAAAGTATGTCCCAGATATTCAAAATGGCAGCTACTTTTATTGTTGAAATATGACTTTTCATTGCTCTTTTTCAATGTGCTATTATTGTCATTTTCTTGTGGTCTCTTGAATTTAAAAAATCCATTGGATGCTTTTGTGATTGAAAATAAAATTTTGTTTGATTGAAAAACAGCAATGGTGAAGTTGTAATGTGAAACCAAATTTAAATGAGTGTATTTAACCTTTTACTTGGTTTTCTTTTTCAGCCGATGGACGTGAACAGCTTTTGAAGCTGAACTTGCGTGAAGTTGAGCTTTCTGAGACTGTTAATCTGTCTTCTATTGCTGAGAAAATCGAGGGCTACTCTGGAGCAGATATCACTAACGTTTGCAGGTACAGGACTATATTTGTTATGAATGTTTCAGTGAGCCTGAAGATATAAAATGAATTCCTAAGTGATTGATCAGTAAAATATTTTCTTGAATAATAGCATCATCCTCTGAATATCAAACAACACAGAATTCCATGGCATTACCACAGAATTGGCCTTTTTCCATGCAGAATTCACTAAAGTCGCATGCAGAATTCATCATTTCATCTTTAGAAAATTTGGAGGAGTGTATATACTGTATGTTTACAACTTTAAAATCTGACTTGCTTCTTGTGCTAATATTGTCACATTTTCAGATAAAGGAATTTACTCATATTAATAATAACATTTTTTTTGTTTGTAAGGATGTGAGCACAAACATGAAATACTTTCTCCAAATTGCCATTTTCAAATTCTCCAGTATCTTGAGCTTTGAAATCACAGTGAAGATAAGCCTAACACAGCATATGCAATATCTAATTAGCTGTTTAATTGACAATCAAAACCTCTAAAGGTGTTCACAAATAAGGAGCTGACACTTTCCTTCTGATCATATCATCTTGTACATTGCAGAGACGCTGCTATGATGTCCATGAGACGTAGGATCCAAGGCCTAACACCTGAACAAATCAGGCAGTTGCCCAAAGAAGAACTTGATCAACCTGCCTCAGCCAAAGACTTTGAGGAAGCTTTAGCTCGAGTTTCCAAATCTGTCTCCAAAGATGACCTGCTGAAGTATGAAAAATGGATGACTGAGTTTGGATCTGTATAATTAACACTGCAAATGTTTGATGACATGGGTCTGATGAACATGTTATGCAGACAACTAAGAAACCAGTTGAACTGAAACTCTTAAGACAAACCTTGTAACACTCCAAATAACATGTATATCACATTTCAATCATAACGGGAACATGGACTTCATTGACTTCAGAGTATAATGGTATAATCATATATATGATATTTTATAAGCATATTGAATATAACATTGCTTTCATCATCATCATCATATAGCTCAATAATAACAAAATAGCTTGTAAATATGCATTTTATGAAACTATGTAGTACCACTTTTATTTAAGAAATATAGGCAGAAGTGCAGGGGTAATATTGTTGAATACACTCTGCAGCGGGGCTAGGCAGAAACGTTTTCTGTAAGCTTTTGTGCCTATCCCCAAGGGGTTATTCGACAATATTACACCTGCTCTGAGGTCTATATTACGATTCGAACTTGAAACCTCACCAAAATGTTTCAAATATTCATTATGGTCCGCCATTACTATGGCCTGCCGTTATGACGTCACACATTACTAGTAATGCCAGGGGTATTGTTCGTGAATATACCCCGGGTGAAATGTTGACTTTGTTTACAGTTTATAGAAGGCGTGAATACAGTCATGTTCGAATACTGAATACCATTTAGATAATTGCAATGTTGCTTATCATTCTGAACAGAGAAGAAGATTGACCAGTAAAATAAGGTGCACTCATTGAACTCATGTTTATCTCTCTGAATACTGGTCCTTTATCACATGCAATTATATGACACTGAACACTAGATCACTAAATTTTACTTCACTGAACACCAGATGCTGCCTTGACCTTTAGTAAAGTTCAACATTGTTACACCCACATTATTCTTTAGTGATCTAGTGCATATATAGCATCTTTCTGGAGTACTCAATTACTATCACTAAATTAATGCTTAAGAGTAGTAATTCAACACTAAGAATTTTTATAAGATCAGTGGGCGAGATTTTTAGATTGTAAAAAGTATAACCATTTTTGGTTAGTCCTAGAAAATTAACAACAATGATGTTTATTTTAAAGAATGTATATTTTTATTAACTTAGTTCATTGAACACAACTGATCAAAATCCTGTACCCAATTAAGCTAAAAACTCTAGTTATTATATTGCATATTGTTATGGTCTCCGTTTTTTAGGGCCGTTGGTGGTTGGCGATCTGCGTCTGTAACAAATTCTTACAACTTCCAATAACTTAGCAAATACTATTTAGACTGACTTCAATTTTTTTCAAAATCACCTACATGTTTTCAGATTTTCAAATCTGACATTATATTTAAGATTTGACCTTCAATGACCTTTTCAAGGTAAAAAAAGGTCTTTTTTCAACTTGCTTCAAATTGACCAATTTTTTTTTTAAATCATCTAAAAGTTATCAGAAGTTCAAATCTGACTTTAGAATATTGACCAAAAATTTTTTTTAAATCATCTACAAGTTCTCAACAGTTCAAATCTGACTATAAATTTGACCTTCAATGACATTTTCAAGATCAGAAAAGATTTGACCTTTAATGACATTCTCAAGGTCAAAAAGGTCTTTTTTCATCTTGCTTCAAATGGACCAATTTTTTTTCAAAATCATCTACAAGTTCTCAGAAGTTCAAATCTGACTTACGATTGAATTCATAATATTGTGAGCAACTAGGTGGTGACATTTTGTCATGTTAATGCCTTGTCTTATAATTTTGTTTACATTATCATTTATATATTTATCATGCCACCTGTAGACTATATATACTGTATAAGTGAAGTCATTATGATGGCAACATGGTCATGATCACAATTGGTTCCACATCACGATTGCAGGTTGACCACTTGTTGGATTTTCTTCAAACTTGTACACATATTAGTGGCTTGCAAGTCCTCTAAATACAACCCTTTGAAAGGCCTTCTTGTTTTGTGACATGCATGTATGATAAACGTTTTGGTTGCTACCTTGTTGTGTGATTTCGTTTGCTATGTACCTTATTATTGACTGCTTAAATATATTTTGGTCTAATAAAATGGCGTTATGTTTACTTGAACGCTGAATTTGGAAAATAATGCTCCAACCTTAGTTTTCTCTTCCATCGCCGCCATTTTATTGGATAAATCAGTGAACGTAGCTGTCCAACCTCGTTTTCAGAGGTGGCGTAACCGTCATGCTATAACACCGTGGGATTGGTATTCCAAAATACCCTGTGCTTGTTTAGTAGTTTACCGCCCTTACAGTAAATTGCAGGGAACATCTTGATTTAATCCAATGAATAGTACAATAATAAATGCTAAGACACTGATCAGCAGGTCATCAGTAATACCTTACATAATTTGCTCATACTTTAAATTGAGTTTAATTACTTGTTTGTAAATGTTTGAAGAACTTCTAATCCTTCAACTTCTCTTATTTTCCCAAATCCCATCCTGATTAAAGTTATAATGGTTATTTACGTGTATATCGTTTTTGATGGCATACATACACTCCTGATTTATAAATAAGACAATTTGTGTATGCCAAGTTGAATTGAGCTTTCCGAGGCACTGGAATTCGTGTATGGCAAGTTCTTCTAGAACCACCACACATGCAACACCTCCTACCCGCCATGTATGTTTGATCAATCTGGAAATTAAAAGAAACCTTGAATCATTCTGAAATCCTCCTCCTAAGCAGGTATCCAGAATCCGTACCTCCTTCTTAAAAGAAAGAATATATTCTGGATTTTGAAGCCCTGTGATCGGAGGATGTTCTGAAATATAATACTGGAATTTCAATACCGGAGTTTCTCACGAATATGCCCATTGGCAGGGGTTTATGAAAACGTTTTTCCCTTTTTCTAATAAGCCCATGGACGTTCATTTCGAGGAGTTCTCGGTAAATGGCCAGTGGGCGAAAACATTCAAGAAATTGATTGAAAAATAAAATGTTGTTCACTATTTCCAAATCTAGCAATATGTATGATGCGACATCTATCTAACATTACATTAATGACAATTTGCAAGCAAATAACCATTAAAACTTATTTAAACATTACACCCTATGCAGACAGAGCCTGTGGGAAATATTGGGTGCGGCGCAAATGAGCGGAGGGTGCGGAGCTAACGGTCATTTTTGAATTTAAAATTGGGATATTTCTGAAACTAAGCCGTTTTGGGACTTCAAATATATACCAAGATATGTGTATTTGACACCAAATATCAATAAAACTGTGAAAATAGTAGTGCAATTCATTTTATTGCGACACAGTATGCCTTAAACATTTCCCAGACCTATATATTTTGAGACTATCCTTTTGATACTGCGTCCCCAGCATTCATAAAAAATGGTGTTCAAGATACACTACCCATGCAAATTATTTTTGCATCTTGGAAGCCAGGCAGTATCTGTGTGATTTTATAAAAATTCGGAAATGTTCTTCAGATATGAGCCCCCTCTAAATATTGGGTGCGGAGGTACGTTTATGGAGCTCCTCCGCACCCAATATTTAGAGGGGGCTCATATCTAAAAAACATTTCCGAATTTTTATAAAATCACACAGATACTGCCTGGCTTCCAAGATGCAAAAATAATTTGTATAGATAGTGTATCTTGAACACCATTTTTTATGAATGATGGGGACTCAGTATTAAAAGGATAATTTCAAAATATATAGGCCTGGGAAAGGTTTAAGGCACACTGCGTCGCTATAGAATGAATTGCGCTACTATTTTCACAATTGTATTGATATTTGGTGTCAAATACACATATCTTGGTATATTTGAAGTCCCAAAACGGCTTAGTTTCAGAAATATCCCAATTTTAAATTCAAAAATGACCGTTAGCTCCGCACCCTCCGCTCATTTGCTCCGCACCCAATATTTCCCACAGGCTCTGTCTGCATAGGGTGATTAGCATGTTCAATTATCCACATCTTCACAAGGGTATGACTTACTGTTGTATTTCATGATAATAATGATAATGATTATGAAACAATGAGAATACAGGAAGGCCAAAGTGTGTACTCGGATAACTGATGGGCAATTAGATTGGTGAATATGGCAAAATTGAATCATACACAGCTTGGTGATCATGGCAAAACAAACTAAAGGAAATTAACATGGATGTAGAATCATACTGATTAGAGTACACCCTATGCAGACAGAGCCTGTGGGAAATATTGGGTGCGGCGCAAATGAGCGGAGGGTGCGGAGCTAACGGTCATTTTTGAATTTAAAATTGGGATATTTCTGAAACTAAGCCGTTTTGGGACTTCAAATATACCAAGATATGTGTATTTGACATCAAATATCAATAAAATTGTGAAAATAGTAGTGCCATTCATTTTATAGCGACGCAGTATGCCTTAAACATTTCCCAGACCTATATATTTTGAGACTATCATTTTAATACTGCGTCCCCAGCATTCATAAAAAATGGTGTTCAAGATACACTACCCATGCAAATTATTTTTGCATCTTGGAAGCCAGGCAGTATCTGTGTGATTTTATAAAAATTCGGAAATGTTCTTCAGATATGAGCCCCCTCTAAATATTGGGTGCGGAGCTACGTTTATGGAGCTGCTCCGCACCCAATATTTAGAGGGGGCTCATATCTGAAAAAATTTCCGATTTTTTATAAAATCACACAGATACTGCCTGGCTTCCAAGATGCAAAAATAATTTGTATAGATAGTGCACCTTGAACACCATTTTTTTTTAATGCTGGGGACTCAGTATTAAAATGATAGTCTCAAAATATATAGGTCTGGGAAATGTTTAAGGCACACTGCGTCGCTATAGAATGAATTGCGCTACTATTTTCACAATTGTATTGATATTTGGTGTCAAATACACATATCTTGGTATATTTGAAGTCCCAAAACGGCTTAGTTTCAGAAATATTCCAAATTTAAATTCAAAAATAACCGTTAGCTCCGCACCCTCCGCTCATTTGCTCCGCACCCAATATTTCCCACAGGCTCTGTCTGCATAGGGTGGAGTAGAAAGTTTAAAATTAGACCTTAAAAGTAGTATGGCGGCGGGATCATACTAAGTGGTGAGTTTAAATAACAGTGAAGATTTTGCACTGATGATGCTCCAAGTGAAAGAATAATTTCAAAACCATACATACTGGCGAGGGTATGCATACGTATACACTTGTAAATGTATATACATGAAAATACTATACACAAATTGTTAAAGTCCCCGTCTAAAGTTTGAAAATATTTTTTTATCATTCATTTACTATTTGTCAGGACTTAAAAAGTGATTTTAGAGATTTTTGAACAAAAAATATTTTTTGAAAAAAAAGTTGTGAGCATTTCATTTCTCAAATATTCAAATTTCCCGCCATTTTTCAAAAAAAGTTGAAATTTCTTAATCATCAAATATTTCTTAATGCATTTCAAAAAAGATTATCTTTTTAACACCAATGCAAAGGTTGAACAAAGGACACACTATTTCAATAATAAAATAACATATTTAATGGGCCACTTTAATGTTTTAGCATATCAAAAATATTTTGAAACATTAGTGATGTCACTAAGGTACCAAAAACTTTTTGAAAAAAATTGAAATTTTTTT